TACAGTATAAAATACAAGCAGTATTTGAACTTGTGAAAATTCGTGAATTATTTGATGGGTCTGTCCTTCCACTCCGATTTGGTTCACCAGATGTGGGAGGTGGAGGTCAGACTGACCGTGCCGGTGTATTTTGGTAAATATAAAATGTGCTTGTTTTTTATTGGGTCGTTGGCTATTTGAAATTGGGGTTTGGGGTTTGGGGTATCAATGACTCGCTGACTCGCTCGACTACATCGGGATGACGTCATTTAAAAAAAACCCACCTCACACCTCACACAAACTGCTAGAGCTGTGTCGCAAACTACAGTACCAGTAGCTGGCACTCGCACATCGTCTCATCAAGATCTTCGTTGGCCCACTGCAGTTACTGTAGTTGCCGACCACAATGAAAATCTATAAATTCGCATACTTTTCGTTGTTTGTTTCAGCTACTTCTTTTCAGCCATCGGCATCTCGAAAGAATGTCAGAGCGCTGACGTTGGCTAGAAACGACGAGGATACTCGACAGTCTAGACGAGTGTTTTTGAATGTCAACGCTGCCGTTCTGGCAGGATTAGCAACACAAACCCTCTTTGTCGAGTCTTCCTCAGCTGGGCTTCTAGATGAGTATGGTGCCGATCCGTCTAAGATTGAAGAGGCAGCGAAGAAGGCTGCCGCGGCATCCGGAAGCAAAGCCAAAGTTGAATCGACACTGGAACCAAATCTTAGGTCCAACTACTACTACCCAACCAACAAGAAGAGATATCTTCCAAGAATAAAAAAATGTAATGATGCGATCCCAGATGCAGCAACAATGATTGGCAAAGGCGACTGGGAGGGTGCAGAGGTGTTCGCAACGAAAATTGCGGATGATACCATTCTTCCAATGAAACTGTACACGTCTAGCCTTCTTGGAGGTGGTACCAATGTGAAAGTTTCATTTGCAAAGGAAATGACCAAAGCAGCTGCAGATTTTGAGAAGGCTCAAAAAGCTCTTGTTAAGGCTATTGCGAAGAAAGATCAGGAGAAGAGCTCCAGGGCGCTAGAAGATCTCTCTACTGCTCTTCTTTCTTATCGAACTGCTGGAAGGCTCCTTGGACCCGACGGGGGAGGTGACATTCCTAGTGTTGACGAAATTCGTCGAAGTGCATGCCGGGTCCAGGGGCGCTCTTTTGAACAAAAGATCAAAGCCCGCGACGCTCGGTTGGCTGAAGCTGTTACGAAACCGCAATGATGCGTGGATGAATTGTGGTTGGTGCCTTGGCGAGAATAATAGTTTCTATTTATGATTATACTATTATTATAAATACTCTTTTACTAATTACCGATCGATAAAATATAACGAATCCCAAACTTACTAGAATATATGCGACGGTATTACCGGCAACGCATTATGTACCTTTGTTTTCAGCACTGACGTCATTCGTTCGAACAAGTCGTTTGCCAGCGTTTTGTCGGTCAGTCGACCCCGTTAACGGAATGTTGCGCGAAAGCGCAATCTTTCTGTTATTACAGTTGTCTTCTAGTAGCGGGCCTAAAGGGGGTCTGGGGGCCACCCGGCCTTCGTGGGTCAAGGGTGGAACCCTTGCGGGGGGTATCAGGGGGGGGGGGCATGGCCCCCCTTCGAGAAGAAAATTTCCAATTTCAAGTCATAATTAAGCAAAATCTAACAAGAAAAGTGTTGTACTATAGTTGAGAAAAGTGTCGTACTTTAGTTGAGAATAGGTTGTCGAGGGCGGTTGTTGGACTTATAGTACTGGGGCAATCAGGCATCACACGTAAAAGACGAAACGAGAATGATGTATGGGACAGGCAGGATCTGCAGGCAGGTCCAATGACGAGCCGGATCCTCAGCTCCAATGATGACGAGAGGCAGCTAGCTACAGTACAGATCAGCTCAGTGCACCACACAATACAGTATCATAAGCGGAATTCGTGAAAACGGACGATGGTCAGACCGATGTACGAACAGACATGGTACGGACGACAGACGGTGTCATTTTGAAATTTGTCCGTTAAACTCATCGATCTATCATCCCCGGTTCTATTAACGGGGTCGACTGACTGTATATTGCGAGCGAAATGAAATTGGAAGCATTCCCATTCGAAAGAAGACTTTGTCGTAGATGTACATCGTAATGTTGAGCCCGAAGTTATCACTACTCATGGTTCAACTCGTCATAGCACGCAGCATCGCCTTCCATGCTTTGGAGCCTACCATTTCCCCCCGTTCGTGGATGCGAAGGCATGGCAGAATTCTGAGAAGCCTTTCCACGAGTAATGACGATGACTCTACTCAGACAGATGGAGATAGACTTGCAGATTTCCGCAATAAAAACAACATCCGTGATCAAGTGTTTTCGGCAATGTCAGCAGATGGCTCAATCAAAGTAACTGCGTGCACAGCGAGGAACTTGGTTAACGATCTTATGATTATGCACACCATGACAGCTACTCCTTCTGATGCCCTGGGAAGAGCCATCACATGCGCCCTGCTCATGAGCAATGGTATGCAAGAAGAACAAGTGATTCAGTTGACTGTGAACAGTAAGAAATATTGTCATGTTCATTGCTTGTAACAAAACTTTTTCTTTATGTGTTCTAAACCCGATTCAACGGATAGCGGATGGTCCTATTCGCGGCGTAGTTGCGACTTCAACAGGTAAAGCTGAGGGTAAGTCGAGTCGCTATCTAATATGATGTATTGTCGCTGATCTATATATATACCCTCCATCTGATTAATTTTTCTAGTTCGAGGATATGTCGGAACCCCTGGATTGGGAGACATCGAGTTGAAAGAAGCTGTGGGTCTAGGAACCCTCCAAGTTGTGAAAAACCACCCAGACTGGCCAAGACCCTACACAGGTATTAGTGCAGTGAGACACGGTGATATTGATAGGGATGTCGGTACGTTTTTTTTCTCACGATTGTTATGTTGCTATCAAGAATCATATTAACATATCTGGTTTCCAGGCGCGTACTTGGCCGAAAGTGAGCAGAGATCCTGTGCTCTTGCCGCCGCAACTTCTATCAACGGCATCCTATGCACTGCTGCTGGAGGCTACCTGATTGAACAGCTTCCAAATGCAGACAGGGATACTCTGTCGCAAGTAGAAAAGAATCTGGCAACTTTGGTCCAAAAAGATGGTGGCGACAAACTACCAACCAATCTTCTCCTTAATGGCTTCACACCGGTTGATATTGCGGAGACTATTCTTGACGGCTTGGAAATGCAACCACTTCAACAGATGGAACCGAAATTCCATTGCCCATGTTCGTCGGATCGCTTACTTCGGGCTCTGAGACTATTGTCGCCGGAAGAAGTTGAGGATATTCTTGAAACAGAAGGCAAAATTGAAGCAAGATGCGAATTTTGTGGAAAGGTGTATAGAATGTCACCTGAGGAGGTTCGAGTAGAGATGGCATCGGCGACAGGAGATCCATCCAAGGACACCGACTTTGAAGATAACTGAGAAAAATAAGTAGAAGCTACAGTACAAAACCTAAAGGCTGCGCGACCGTTTAACTATCATCTCTTCGAAGCTTTTCTCTTTTTCCTTCTCATATGAACAGAATTATGACTATGATCATCACCATTGCTGGATATCCTTCGACTTTTCATACTCCTGCTACGTTTTCGATTCTTTCGTTTTCTCTCCATCTTCCTACGTCGTCCAGATGATTCGTTAGACGAAGAGTCACTGTCTTCGGGAGAAGGGTCGCGCCTTCTTCCGATCTCGTTTTTTCGAGAAGACTTCTTTTTTTTCCGTTTGACTGCGACCTCCACAAACTCTTCCTCGCTGCTGCTGGAAGGGTCGTCCAACAAACTTTGTAGGTTCGGATCGGAACTTTGTTGTGTCTCGCCTTCTCCTCGATGCTGCTTTCCCTTCTTTAATCCTCGGTACATCTGGGCGGTGAAACCACTTCTGTTCGCAGAGTCAGTGAGATTCTGGCTCCTTGCCATCCCCATAACTTCCTTGAGCTTCTTTTTTCCCGCGAGAGCCTCTTCACGAGCACTCTCCTGCTGATTTGCTTCAGACGCTGCAGCATAGGGATCGTGACCAATTGCAGTTTGCCAGATTGCATGTGTTTGCAATGAAGCACTAGTACTCACGCGGTTGTTATGGGGCATTCGGACTCGTCCTGCAGATGCTGGCATCTTTCTGCTTCAATTCTCGGAGATGGAATTACTTGAACGAAGCGTTGAAGAAGATGTTGATGACTTCGAGAGATCGATGATGATCTAATGAAAAATGCGCGCTTCTCTGGAAGAATCGATGGATAATTATTGACGGTGTTGTACGGTAATGAGTTTTATTTTTATTTTATCTGATACAGACAGCTAACAGCCCTTGTCTGTGCGTCTGTCCAGCTTCTTGACAGCAGCGGGTAAGTCGAAAGTCGTCTGTTTGTCCATCAGATGATAGCCGTTACTGAACGTCTGCACCCCAACGGCTAACGTATCCAAAGTATCTTACCTGTATGCAGGTATCAAGATTCCCAATCTTGACTACAATGCTCCCTCGCTAAGCTTCGCCACATTCTCAATGTTGTTAAGACTAAGCATCGCTAGTGCATGCGTTGAGATGGTCGGAGTTTCATCCTGTTTACATTCTTCACAATACAAAATCACTATAATTTTCAGAATACTGTTTATCACACATTTTGGACATTTTACAACTAATTCAGTACTTGAAGCGTGCCTTCATTCTCAAGTAATCAAGGCTGTACACGCTACAGCTTTGAGTGGGTATTAATACCGTAGCACAACACAGCAGGTACCAGTACTGGTACTGGTACGGCCCTCCTCGTTATCTGCAACCCTCGTCATCGTGCTCTCCTCTCGTCGTGATTTGTACCGGTACTATCAGCACTGTACCGCACACCAGGTACAGTAGACAATTTATTCTACAATTTATTTTTCGCTATGCTGCAAAAAATTGGACATTGCAAGGCAATTAACTGAGCCAAGACTCCTCGTGCCGCTGCCATATACCTACTATTATCATCCAAATCTTCAAAAACAACGCTTGCTTCTTGCTTGGAATCATCATCCCATCATACTGCGGCATCACATCTGCTACATTCTGGCGCTACATTCTGGCATTACATTCTTCATTTAGTAGGATACTACAAACTCTTCCAAATATAAGTAGAGTCACATGTAAGCATTTTTTCAAACCTGTACCTTTCGCCGGGCAAACCATCGCCTTGCACGGCGAAGAGGATTGAGGCAGATTTGAGACCCTTCTAGTACCAAGGAGGGTTCTGCTTTAAATGTTTCAGCAGTGGATGGCCAATCGTTACCAGCAGCAACAATACGAAAGTCACGAGGGATACTGCATGTATAAGGAAACATGTGGCTTGTAAGAAAGGAAGAATCAAACACAACTAACACTAGCAATCGCCAAACTTACTCGTCATAGTATGCATTCTTGCGGGCTGTCGGGTTCTCAACCTCGTTGTACCATGTGCTTTTGAATGTGCCGAAGTTTTCTGGCATCTGATGTGACCATGCTGTCAGTCTGAATGTGTACTTCAACTTAGCAGAATTCGAGAATGAATTGCATGTGGTAAAGACAATAAGGAGAGCAAGGAGTGTGTACCGTGTCTGAGGAGGCATTATGTATTGCTTGCGTTCTTTGTGAATCGGACGAATTTGTGAGGAGAGCGAGTATCTGGCGGGATCTACTGTATTGAAGTCTACGATGGCGTTTGAAGAATTTCAATCGCTGATTGATTCAATCATTCCATCAAAATCCAGAACTTCACGATGAAAATGTTGTGTCAAAATATCAAGAGTTTACTCCAATGAAATCAAATGTACTGGTAGGTACACGTGTACCGGTAGGTGTGCTCCACGCTCCACGTCAGCGAAAGTGTGAAAATTAAAAATCACAGACGTGCGAAGCAAGAACTCAAACGTGCGAAGCATGAGATAAATCCTGAATTAAAAATTTCAAAGCACCTTTTGACAACGCTTCGGCAAGATGATGAAGCTTTATGGAATAAACTGTTGCTGCATGATGCTATCGAAGATTTCTTCCGTCGATTTCGAGATAGCTCCTTTTGTCAAAGCTTCGGCAACCTTTTTGGTTGCGAGCTGCTTTTTTGCTTCGTCTTCAAGCTTGCTAACTACGATGATAAGCTTGGAGAAATTGCCAACTTTTGCAAGTGATGGGACCCATGATGCACCGGCAGCCTCAATAATGAGCCGGAATTCCCTAGTTGGCGGCGTCATGTTGCCTTTTTTCTTGTTCCCAAGAACTCCAGGGCATGCCAACAAAGTATATTTATCTAGCAATGAAATTCCCAAGGTACGCATTCTCCCCGCTCGTCGAAGAGATTTTCTCATTTCAAAGTTATACTGCGCTTCTGCTTGCGAATCTTGCAATAGTTGAAACCTTGTGCTTGGCAACGCTTTGTGATGTTTGAACGATTGAATCAACCACTCAACGTCGACTATATTATTGGTCTTGCACAAGCCAATCATTAGCTTCGGCGTTCGTCTCATTGAGCTGGCCGTAGACCCAGCAATCACATGAGTTGCGTTGTGCGCATCGCCGATGTTCTGAAGCAGTACACCACCAATCCTCTTAATCATCTTTACATAGAGCAACCGGTGTGAGGAGATAAGCTTGTATTTAAGAAAATGCAATCGAGTCTTACATTCTTTTGTGATGCTGTCAGCTCAATTCCAGTGGTCAGCACACGGACGGGTGATTCGTGATCCAAGCATGCATCAATTTCCAGAGACGACCTCCTTCCCTTTCGAGCTGAACTTGATCCCTCCTTCTTTTCAGAGGACAGCGATGCTTCGTAGCTGTATGTTGACTTGGAGAAATCACTATTTCGAGTGCGTCTCTCGTTACTAGTCGATGATGGGGTGTGCGTCACTGATGTCCCATCTTTCGTTGGTGAAGCTGTATCTAGCGTTTCTTCCATGGTGGTTTCTTCCAATTCTTCCTTATTCGAACTTTCTTCCTTGCTGCTCTTATGTCGTGCACGTTTCGATCCTTTATCAGTTGTCTTCTGCATTTCAGGTGCCTCTCTTGCCCTTCTTCTTGATTTTCGTGGTTTTGTCTCCTCGTTTACAGTATTCGGTGGATGCATTTGTGGTGAGGTGGGCTTGCAAAGCAGATATGGTGACGGGTTATGTTGAGTTGAATCCACTGCAATGACTTCTGTAGATCTCTCATTTTCTTTCAGCTCATTCTTTCCACTGGAACGCTCCTTGATCCTGCTAATATTGTCGTAAACAGTGGTGGCAACTGGTGTGCCCTTCGAGCCCGTAGCGCTTGCATAAAACGTATCTTGAGTATCAAGCTGCAGCCTGTCAACCGTTTCCGAAGTGTCTTCTTCGGAAGACAATTTCGATGTTGTAGCTCCTCGTTTCTCCGCCACTTCACCGTTCCCTACAATGTTGGTCATCATTCTTTTCCTAGATTTGGCAGGAGGTGTCGTGACAGTAGCTTCTGTTTCAATTTCCATCGTGTCCTTCTGTTTTTCATGACGATTATCTTGGATTGCATTGTATTCTGTGGGAAGAATTATTGACCTGACTTTACTGTTCAAGCTCTCTTGAACCCCATCCATTGAAATGATTTCCTTAGCCCCGTGCTTGTCTTTAGTAGAAGCAGGAACCATCTGATGCGGTCTTCTCTCTTCTTTCGCATGGAAGTTTTCGCCAATGCTTTCCGCAATCTGCGTTGAAGATGCAGTCACTTCCTGCTCCACAACTGGCGGCTTTTGCGTTCTAGATACTTTTCTCGTCTGTGAAGCCCATTCTACTGTTGCTGTTTCCTGCATATCTGGCCTACACATTGTTGGACTCATAAGTGCTTCGCATTTTTCCGATTCTGTGTCTTGTGTGGATTCTTTTACGGGGCTCAAGAGAGGTGCCGATTCTTGTATCACAAACTTGGGGCTGGACTCGAGTGGGTCTTCTGTCTCGGCGCATAGCGAAGGGCTCAACTCGACAACCTGAAGCCCTGTGTGTAACGGTTCTTTCTTCCTCTCGGTAGAAATTTTAGCAGTCGAATGGTGCAGGATACTGGGAGGTGCTTCTCCTAGTTTCTTGGACACAGACGTCTGTGTTTTTCTTTCATGGGGCTGTACCTTGGGTGTCCGATGGTTGGCCAAATAAACATTCTTTTCGCCCTCTGTATCTGTGTCGTCGTCCGAGTCTTCAATTGGGTCACTCAACAAGGTGGAGCTAATTCTGTTCGTTTCTTCGTTGCATCTATCTTTGTCGTCGGTTGTTTTTGCGAACTTCGTTACAGATTGATCTTTCTCATGTAAAAGTCGGTCCTCTATTGGATCATTTTCCTGGCCAACCTCGCCAACATCGGTGTCGTCGTCAGAATCGCCTGCATGCTTTGTTGCCACCCCAGAATTCCGATCCATTGGCTTTGCCCAGGGCCCGAAAACACTCGCCAGAGCGTCATTGTTCGAGGTAGGCTTCTCCTTTCTTCCTTTTGATGATGCCTCTAGAAATTTGTCTTGTTTTTGCCCTTTTTTTTCGACATCAGTTTCTTCGTCCGAATCAGGTTGTGTGGCAAGAAGGTTAAAACTCGCTTGTGAAGCAGCCGTTGCACAGTCAAGAGGGTTCGACTCTTCTAAACAAACCGTTCTGTCCGAATCGTCATCTTCGTCGTCACCAAGAATTTCAACCTTCTGTGATGACACGCTTTGATGTGTCTGTGTCACATATTCATCCTCTACAAGTGTTTCATCTTCTTGATCCTGGGGCTGCGTTAGCAACCCTAGGGATAGAGTCTCGTTTTTCTCCTCCAGTGGCTTCTCACCAGAATGATACTCCAAACAGAGGCCTCCTGGCTTACCTCCTTCAATGGACGTGCAGATGCGGTCTCCGGGGGAGAGAATCCGTAGACGACGTCGCTGGAGCACTTCCCAATGACCTGTTTGCCTGCGATATATCCCGAGCTGACTGCTCCTCTGGCTCACATCTTTGTTGCTAACTTTCCTATCCGATAAATCAGGGTTTCTCATGTCCTTCACTGCTAAACTTACGCCATCCAAATCAATGCAAATGAAGCAATCCATTGATGGCCGAACAATACCAACATGTGATAGCGCAACAATGGAAGGGTAAATAGTCAAACCCTGCGATTCGTTTTGAAGTTCTTGAGTATTCTGCGTGTCATCCAAGATAGAGCGACCCTCTTTCTGTAAGAGCCGTAGCCAGTTCTCTCCTTGTTCAATCTCGTACCGCGGCAAAACGATATCCATAGCATCTTTCTCAGGACCCCTAGTGTCGCTCATTGGTGTGAAATACCTGTGCAACACAAACTCGTGAAACCTAACCATGATTGGCAGAGAATTCGTCAGACCATCCTCGGAACTCATGTACTCGTATGTCTTGAAGAAAAGAAATGGCTATGAGAGGTACAAACCAGTGCAGATTTCGGGACTAATTCAGTGGCGGATAGTCTGCAAAGTGAACCGTCTTCGTTTCCCCAACCAGCTTTGCTTGCTTGTGCACGTGAAATGTACAGTATGTGATATTTTTTAAATGGAAAACCTGCCAGATTGTCGGTTGATGAGTTTCAAAATCACGTGCGACAATACACGTACCAGGTGCTCAACACTTACAGAATGAGCCTTCAATGTCTAAAGCACAATACCAGACAATCGGTAGCCAGCCTGAGATGCATTTCGTCGATCACCAAGAGAGAAACTCCAAGCAAACTTTTTCCGGAGAAGAGGATGCATCCATCGCATTTGAAGGGAACAAGAAACATAATTCGCCGCTTCTCTGAAAACGGGATACCATCAGAACTTGAACAAGCGGTGGCAGAGCAACAGATGATTATTCGCCATTCAAAAGCAGACTCTGTCGTAAGCCTCAATGTAGGAGGGAAAGATTTTGTTACCCTCAGATCAACTCTCCAGATTAATCCCGTCTTGTATGACCGAGTGTTGAGGGCCGAAGCCAATAATGAGCTTATCAAGGGTGCTGTCTTTGTCGATAGGGATCCTACGCACTTTGGATCCATACTTCAGCATTTGCGAAATGTTGCAGACAGCATCACGCTGTCTAGTGCAAAGAATCGAAATGCATGGTTAAATCGTTTCAGTTCTCCCAGGACTGAGGTTAACATTCAAATCCCTGGAGATACTGCAAAACTGAGAGAGCTTTTTATCGAAGCACGGTATTTCAAAATTAAAGAATTGGAAGACGTCGTTTCGGGATACGATTGGTGGTCTTGGCTGGCGAGCTTGTTGAATGGAGGGGCAACCAACCCGTTCCATTCGGCATTGCAAGCTGTGAAAATTGCGAGGCGAACGTTGCTAACCACTGGTGGTTTGGGTATTTTGATCGGCGCTCAAAATGAGGCACTTTGGAGTGAGGTAACTGCAGCTGCGAAGACCGCGTATGCTTGGATCACGAGTAGAGCTCCTTCAATAGAGAGTGGCTGGTTTTCCTCAAGTGCGGACCAGGATCCAGAACCGAAACCGAAAATGAGCTGGTTTGGGAGAGCGGAGTAGTGCCAACGAGCATGGCGACGAAAATCCTGTATTCTAGATATCCCAACACTTCGGATTCTATCAAGCGCGACGGCTACTCTTGGGCTGTCCAATGCACAGTGCAGGCGATGGACGATGGACAGATCGTCAACTAGAGCTTCAAGCATTGGCATTCAAGTACATATTATTTACAGGCTCTCTAGATTTTCTGTGAAGTCGTCCATCACTGCCTTAACAGTCTCGACCATCTTGCTACCATTATAGTCCTTCATTACTGCTGTTGCACCGTACTTAACGAGCTCCTTCGCAACAAGCTTTTCATGTTCATCAATATCCTTTTTACTTGCTTCTGAAGATGCCTCCAAGTATTGATTAGCAACGCTAACCAACCCGAATTTTGCTCGCAAGTTTGTGCCATCCAATTCCAACGCTTGGGCCATATGTTTCCTTGCTAGCAAAAGATTTTCTAGCCCCCCCAAGGTCGCATAGACTTCAGCCAGTTGCATGTGAATGTCTGAATCCAATGGACAGCCAAGAACGACCTGCTCGAGTGCATAAGCTGCACCTTTGAAGTCAGCAATTGAAAGTCGTAATTTCACCATTTCGTACCACCCGCTAACATCGGACAGCTGCTGTCCCAAATATTCATCCAACGCTGCAATGACTTCAGAAGGTTCTTTTCTCTGAGCTCGTGCGATGCAGTATTTGCGCTGTAGTGCTACCAGATTAGCAGGGTTGTCTGCCAGCAATTGATCATAAATAGCGTTTGCTCCATCGAAATCAGCCGAAGCCTCCAAGCACCGCGCTAGCAAACATCGAAATCGTGTCGACTCTTTTCCAACTTTATCCTTTAGCTGACTGAGACACCCTTCGGCGAGGTCATGGTTGCTCAGGTCCAAAGCAGCCAAGCAAACTTGTTCCAAGACTGCCAACCGAGCAGCATCGTCACCAAGATTTCCTGAAAGCTTTGTGCCTAAGAGGCTTTGTCCGTGAGTGATTACCAGGGATGGCTCGCGAAGTTCATGTACCCGAATATATCTCAAGACCTCGAGATGGTCTTTGCGAGCAATTAAGGTCGGAAGGTCTTCATTGGGACCGAGCATCTTCACTGGTTTTGTTGTCCAACAGCAGCATTTTGAAACGAACATGGTCAATTTGACGCGCACAACACGTGCGATTTTATCGTCTTGCTTCATTTTCCATGCGGTACTGGTACCATTTTACCAGGTACCTGGAGTTACTGGTGGTTCCATTGCCTACTCTACCGTATTTGCCTGCTACCTAAGAAAGTCATACATATCATGCAAGGCTTGGCAGAGAACGCTGATCGACTATTACTTCTACGACAGTACAAATATCATGCCTTTCAATGCAAACATGCCTTTTGTTATTGAACCAATTCTGAGACAGATAGTAATAGGGATACATAAGCTCTCCGACAGACCTCTTTGTTTCAAATATAGCAAGGAATCTTATTCGACAATCGTTCAAAAGTGCATATTTCAGCTGATAACTCCAAACGTGCTTTTAAGCCTCCTCAAAAATCCAGCTGTGCTCTTCCCGGGCCTTGGCCTCCTCCTCTGGGGTCAATTCTGGAAGGCGTAAAAGCTCTCGGATCTATGTCAAACAAGACGCAGAACATCAATCTGTCAACATACTGATGGTAAACAAATCAACATTAGAAAAGCAAACTCACCTCTTCAGCATTCTTTCCAGTGATCTGGAAGGTAACCTTGAGACAAGTCAAATCAAGCAAAGGCTTGATACCAAGGAAATTGGCTGCGCTAAGCATGTTGAAAAGCATATCGCGGTTCATTTTTTCGTCAGAAACAAAGTCTTGATACCAAGGCTGATCCATCACCTTTTTCATACAATAGACGGAAAGAGTTAGTTGAGATGGCATTGGTACAAACGGCCATTTGAGGCAATGGGAGAAAAAAGGGCAAAACAATCCGAACTCACCTCGTTGAAAGTAGAACCACCCAATGGAGTCGGGATTTCCTTCATTTTCTCCTCATCGTAATGCTTCATAAATTCAACAACTTTCTCCAAGCACGGAGAAGCGACTCTCACAATATCGATTTCGGTAACTTCGTCGTCCTCTTCACGAGGACTATCCTTGAGCAACTCGGAGATTTCAGCAGCACTCTCAGTGAGCTCAAAAACCTTGCCATCGCTGCTGCGAAGGCGAATGATTCCGTTTCCCTCGTCTGCCATAGTGTCTTTGTTTCTTCAGTAGTTTTGTAGTTGGTACCAAGAATTATGAATAGATCATGGATAAAGCTCACACCAAAACAGCCGGCAGCGATATAAACGCGCCTCACGCATCTGGCTGCGGTACAATTCGTTCGTAAAAAATATCGTAAAAACAAACCAGACTGTGAGTGCGGGTCTAGCTAGCTAGGTACGTAGGAACATTTAAAATACATTGGAAGGAGTCTTTACATTATCGCTTCAATTATGACTCTTCTCTTCCTTCTTTTCAGCCTCCCATTCGCTTGGTGTCATGAATTCCCCATTCGCCACCCAAGGGTGCTCCACAATGTTGGAGAGTGATAGTCTGTCCTTTGGGTCCACTTTTAGCATCTTCTGTAGTAGATCCACCAAATCGTCACTTAGCTCAATTGTTTCCCCAATCAGTTCGCCGTATGTTGATGCAAGTGACCGGATTTGTCCTTTCAAACAGAGTTTGACAAAGGTGCGGTCATCGTCCACTGGCGCCAAGAAGAGAGCATCGGCCCCGATGACCATGCTATACAGAATCAGCCCACATGCCCATAGATCCGCAGCATATCCATTCCAGGCACCTTCATCTCCCCGAAAATATTCTGGCGCGATGTATTGTACTCGCGATCCTGCTGGTGTTGGCGGAGTTTGACGACTATCGCCGCTGGCTGCCGTTTTGCAGCGAACAGGAAATCTAGATTCAGTGATGCTCACATGGTCCCCATCCAAAGAAACTGCATCAAGTGATAAGTCACGATGGCATAGTCCGTGATTCTGCAGCGTTTTCATACCCTACTCACAGTTTGGAAATGCACGACAAAGGTGTTTGGATAGCGCTTGGGTCAGCATACCGTCGAAACAAGGTCACTGCTCAAAGGTCCACAAGGACTTTCTCTTCCAATACGTTTGCTTACCTGCAAAACTTGACAAAACAAGAATCTGGCCACCGGCTCATCAAGATTACCGTGCAAACGACAATAAGCACCCAAACATCCATCTCGATGATACGGCAGAACAATGTATATATGATCCGCGCAGGTCGCCACAATGCTGGTTCCATCCACATGTGTATCTTTCGAGTTTTCGTTCCCGATCATTTGCAAGAAACTCATCATGTCGTTTTCGGACGAGTTGCTGTCGTCCAAAATTTTGGTATGTACAATTTTTATCGTCACAAGGGGATGCACGCAGGACTCGTCAATATCCAACTCCCATGTTCCATTGCTGTTCTTCAGTTCCTCACGAGTGTTTCGACGAAGCTTGTAACCAACTCTTGTGACGCCATGCACGTTCTTCTCAATTTTTCTTGCCAACCAGAAGGCTTGATTCGGTTTGTCACCTTCATTGTCTTCAATCACGATGATGCTTCCCGTCATGGTTTGCGACCGTTTCAATGCGATTGGGCTTGGAACTGTGCTATTATCCGAAGTCACTCTTTCCAAGGACCCGTTGAGGGCTGCTGGAACCTCTATTGGTTTGTCAACAAGATCATTTGGAACATCGACGAACCCAATGTGTCGTCTCGCTGTCAACAACTTTGGCGGGTCGAACGGAACTGTCATCGTAACGTTGTTATAGCTTCGAAGTGATGTGTAAGGTAAGAAGATCCTTTTTGTGTTTGGTTCTGTTTCAGACAAGTGCCCATTAAGATAGAACAGCAGAAATTCACTGGTCAACCTGTACAACACACTTTAATATTCAATCAATGTGCTAGTTGCCTGATCTGTGAATATGGATCTACTATGACTGCTGTTCCAGAAGATTGAATAGGGACAAAACCTCGGATTCTCAATTTATTGGTGGGGGCATTTTCAATTTAGGGAAACTAAACAAGGGGACACTAACAAAATATTCCGCACACTACCGGTACTGTACTCTACCGGTAGGGGTTTGTCAATGAACCCAACCCAACTATTTTTGGTGCCAAAAGTTCTAAAAAATGTTGCTGCCGTCAATACTGAATGCCATTGGAGTATTATTCCTGATACTGTTGCCATTGATATCAGCGCTTTCCTCCTCAGATTCCTCGAAAAATGTCAAGTCGAACTCGCAACTATTGCAGCAAGGGGAAGGTTCACGGAGACGCTTCAACCAGGATCTTGCTCTCAGCAGCATCTGCGGGTTTGCCTTGCGTTGCGATGCACGTGAATGTGATGAACATGTTTCCGGAGTATCACAGGTTGATTGTCAAATACAAGAAATTGCCTACGCGACGTTGTCACTTGCCATCCCAAATTTTGATTGCTCTATCCCTGTAGCTATGTGGTTTCCAACAAAAGATAGCGACGTTACGAGCAAGACTACTTCAGAGGTTCGGTATATCCACCGAATATCTGTCAAACGAATCGGTGGGTTGCTGGCAGCCTGGGATTTTATACCGGAATTCGTCTCTCGCGATTTTGCTTTCGAGCCATCCATCGACACGCTGTCATCTCCCATACCTAAAGCAGAAGGCTGCAACGTTGTATTCTTTGCCCACGGGTACCTTGGAAGCCGCTTCGATCTATCGCATATTGCAGAGGCACTGGCAATGGAAGGGTTTGTCTGCATCAGCCCAGAATACCCCGAAAGTTTAGCAGCTTCCTACGCTCGACAAGAAGGCTTGGACCGGAGCATTATCAACGAACACTTACTGTCGTATGTGCAAAAGAGCTTTCGGCCAGTCTCGTATGCCGGGATTGGACATTCCCTGGGTTGTGGGACGATCCTTCGCATGGGTGATGACTCTTGGACGCGGGTCATAATGGCCGGCCGGGCGCCAGCAGTCTCTTCATCGCCCCTTTTGTTCATTTCTTCTACCAACGATTGTACGGTCCGGTTTGGAGGACCTTTGGAGATCCCAACTTGTTATTCGATACTATCCGAATCCGAACTACCACTGAATCATATTCCGCCCTTTTCGGCGTTGATATTTGATCGCCCCGATGGTCCAAATCACATCTCATACTTGTCCGAGAATGTGAACGAAGCCATGACCAGCTTCTTGTCGCCTCTACTGCCTCTTGCCCAAGCCTTTTCTATCCCAGTGCTGGATTTTGACAAGTACCAAAAGTCGCGAGATTCTAGGGCGACTGCTGAAATCGTGCAACCACTTATTTCTAGCTTCTTGGCCCAACACACCAATTCTAAGGTTCAACTTTCTTCGAGTCGTCGCCAGCAGAAATACTCGTGACAATGACACTTTAGTAATGAAAGTGAAGTTAAAAGTGATTTTTAAAATCCGATCTGATTGATTGACACGTGTCAAGCGGGAAGAGCTAGCTGGCAGGCGCTCAATTTGATTTTTGATTTTGATAGGTGCTCGTCAATTTCCATCGAACTCGAAGCGTCAGTTTTAATTCTAGCGTACTGAAGTGATTGATTGACAAGTTTCAGATTCAATCAAGCACATCACTCAATTCACAGTCAACCTACTGACAGCCCTAATTCAATCGTGTGCGCAATATCGAAATCGACGCGCCTCCATTTGCTTTGTCGACCACACCGACAAGATCACAACATCAACAACTGTCCGATTGAAAACCTTTCACCTTGATACGATTCTGCCTCAGCATGATCCTTCGCAACAGAGCAACCATGTTTGCCATTTTCATGTCCACTTCTGCATCAGGAGTGACCGCCTTTGTTCCTTCCATCTCAAGAGATGGTCTGATTAGAACGCCTTCGAAAAATGTCGGAAGTCCTTCCTTCTTGCAGCCAATGTCCATCTGGAAGTGCGCATCTTCACCAGCAAGATGCTCGTCGTTCGTGCTCTCCATGGCTGCCGACGACTTTGATGAGTCCAAATACACGACTGCTGCCTGGTCAGCGATTGCCTCTTTGACCAAAGTTGCGGAGTACTATCAATCTGTTTCATGTGAATCTTTTCACCTTCTTGACATTCTTTTGAATCCCAGCAAACACTCAGCTGGAGACGAAGCTGAGTCTGCCAGACGAGTGGTTGAAAAGACTCTTAGTCAAGCTGGAGTTGATGTCAAACAACTTCGCAAGTCTCTTGACACATACCTCGGAAAGCAACCAAAACTCAAGGAATCTGCTGGCCAGAAAACTATGGGTCGCAATTTGCCTAAGATCTTGGAGACTGCGCGTGGCACTATGAGCACACTTGGAGATAGCTTCGTTTCGGCAGAGGCTCTTCTTCTTGCTCTCGCAAAGGAGGACACTCAATTTACCATAGACGCTCTCAAGGAACAAGAAATCAGCTACAAGGATGTCCTAGAGGTTGTCAAGAAAATGAGAGAATCATCGGGGCCAACCATTTCGCGATCAGCGGAAAACATGTTTGATGCTCTTCTAAAATATGGGATTGACTTCACATCCCTCGCCGAAGAAGGAAAGCTAGACCCTGTGATTGGCAGAGACCAAGAAATCAGACGCGCCATTCAAATCTTGAGTCGAAGATCCAAAAATAACCCAGTCCTGATTGGAGATCCAGGTGTCGGAAAGACAGCTATTGCCGAAGGTATTGCGCAACGAATTATTGCTGGTGATGTTCCTGACAGTCTTAAAGACTGCCGATTGATCGGTTTGGATCTTGCTGCCCTCGTAGCTGGTGCAACCATGCGAGGCGAGTTTGAAGAGCGTTTGAAGGCTGTTGTGGAAGAAGTTACCAAAAGTGAGGGAGGAGTCATTCTCTTCATTGATGAAATGCACACTGTCGTTGGAGCGGGAGTAAGTTCTCCAAAGAGGTTGTCTGTTATGAATCAACGAATGAATAACCCACTGATACTCTGGTCTTTTTATTTATTGTTCAACAGTCTGCACAAGGTTCTATGGATGCTTCGAACCTTCTGAAACCCGCGCTGGCGCGTGGTGGTTTGCGTTGCATCGGTGCCACCACTATCAAGTAAGTCAATCTTTGCATGGGTTGTAATATCTATTGTTGTTGATCTGCATACGCCTAACATCCCGATTTTACACTACAACGACAGTGAATATCGCAAGTACATTGAACAAGACAAAGCATTAGAGCGCAGATTCCAACAGGTCATAATTGACCAACCATCTCCTGAAGATGCCGTTAGTATTCTTCGCGGTCTGAAGCCTCGATACGAAGCTCACCACGGTGTTCGAATCCGTGACGAAGCCCTTTTGGCAGCGGCAAAGCTTAGTCATCGTTACATCCCAGACAGATTTCTACCAGATAAAGCCATTGATCTTGTGGACGAAGCTTGTGCCAAGCTGAAGAATGAGATCACTTCTAAGCCTACTATCTTGGATGAGATTGACCGGAGAATTATCCAGCTCGAGATGGAACGGCTCTCGCTTCAATCTGACTTTGACAAAGACGAGAGTGTGAGTAAAGATGGAGGTGTACGATTGATGGGAATCGATAAAGAGTTGGAGGACCTTCGCAAGCAGCAACAAGAACTGACAAATCGCTGGCGAGCCGAAAAGGGTGGTGTTGATAGAATCAAAGACTTGAAGAATGAAATCGCCAAAGTCAATGTTGAAATAGAGAAGTGTGAGCGTGAATTCGATTTGAACAAGGCAGCTGAATTGAAGTATTCCACTTTGCCTTCTCTCCTAGATGAACTTGGAAAACTTGAAGCCATTGCCGAAGAAGACAGCCTTGCCACTGGAGGTGCAGAGCGAATGCTTCGTGATGAAGTGATAGCTGACGATATTGCAAATGTTGTAGCTATTTGGACTGGAATTCCACCAAACAAGCTCCTTGAAAGCGAACGTGATCGCATTCTTAATATGGGAGACAATCTCAGGAATCGCGTCATTGGTCAAGACGACGCTATCGAGGTTGTTACAGAAGCAGTCCAACGCTCTCGTGCAGGTCTGAACGATCCATCTAAGCCAATTGCATCACTCATATTTCTTGGCCCTACTGGCGTCGGTAAAACAGAGCTTTGTAAGGCTTTGAGTGAATTCATGTTCGACAGCGAAGACGCTCTGATCAGAATTGACATGTCAGAGTACATGGAAAAGCATACAGTCTCTCGACTCCTCGGTGCTCCTCCAGGCTACGTTGGCTATGACGAGGGTGGTCAATTGACAGATGCCATTCGCCGAAAACCATATTCTGTCCTTCTTTTTGACGAAATGGAGAAGGCCCATCCCGATGTGTTCAACGTGATGCTTCAACTTCTTGATGATGGAAGGTTGACTGATAGCAAAGGAAACGCTGTGAACTTCAGAAATACTATCTGTATCTTTACAAGTAACATTGGAAGTCAAGATATCTTAGATCTCGATGGAGATTCCGATGAAGGAAAGGCAGAGATAAGAAAGAGAGTAACAACGGCAATGAAGGACCATTTCAGACCAGAGTTCCTCAATCGAATTGATGAACATGTCATTTTCAACAGCCTCGGAAAGAAGGAGCTCCGCGAAATTGTCAAGTTGGAAATCAAACGCCTTCAAAAGCGCTTGGATGAGAAAGAAGTCACGTTGCACATTAGCGACAGTGCCTTGGATTTCTTGGCTGACGTTGGATTTGATCCTATTTATGGCGCTCGTCCATTGAAGCGAACCATCCAGAGAGAATTGGAAACTGTGATCGCGAAGGGAATCTTGGGTGGTTCATATGGAGATGGTGATGCCATCATTGTTGATGTCGCCAACGAGAGACTCTCCGTTTTCAAAGCCGGATCAGCTGCTCCAACTTCCTATGACAACAACGCAGTACCGACTTTCGAATAAACAAGCGATGAAATCTAGATATAAGTATCACATAGCTTTCTGCAATGCATTTGTAGTACAGTCGTGACTGAGCGCCATCCCGGTACTGTTGGTACTTTTACGGTTGTCGAACGAGTCAGTCCTGAGCTCATAACCAGAACTCAAGAAACTCGACGCTCAAACATGCCAAACATCAATCAAGTAGTAGAACCATTCACCATTTTCACCTGTTTTGTAGATACTAGCAAAATCTGCATACTTTCCCGTGAGCGTTATCCTACTTCAGGCCGTTTCATTGAGACTGATAAAAAGATTGCACATGATGCAATCCACGTTTCGCCTACTCCGAAGAGCAAGCAGAAATCTTGGAGTGGTAGCCGCCAATGTGGATACAAAATATGCCTTCAACTCTTTTCGGTATGGGCAGCAAACTGGCTCAAAACAATTTAAATTCTTATCGAATGAATCTACGTCCGATAGAAGTAGCTCGTATGCGGTCATTGATCACTCAGAAGCATACGAAACTGCGATGCAAGGAAAGCATGGGGATCAGCTAGCTTTGGCAAGGCTAGAAGGCCAAGGAAAAGATGACCCTCCTTTCGACCCCTTTGCCGAATTCGATCACGAGGCTGGGGATTGGGATACAGCAAATGTAGATGGAGTGGATAAAGACCTTGAAAATTTTGATGATGAAGAAGATGAGTATGGCGACGAGGACGAAATCATTGATCGCTATAACGCAGATGGATCAGTGCGAAGAAGCAAATCTGTTTTGGCTACCCTCCGTGCTGGTTTTCCGGCAGGTGGACATTTTGCTGTGGTCAGGTTTGGTGGGGCTCAACACAAGGTCACAACTGACGATTTGATTGTAGTGAATCGGTTGAAGCCTGTTGAAAAATACAATATTGGATCTGTCCACACACTGACAGACGTGATGCTTGCTGGGTCCTCGCACACCACACTTGTTGGAATGCCATTTGTCAAGGGCGCTGAAGTTGATGTCATGGTGGAAGAAATCACTAGGGATGGAAAGCTTGTTGTGTTCAAGAAACGCCGGAGAAAGAATTCACAAAGAAAAAATGGATTTCGACGAGACGTTACTCTTTTGCGGGTTTTGGATGTGCGATTCCCCCAAGAGCATAGAGATCACAACCATGTTGGACGAGAACTTGTTGACGAGCTAGAAGAAGCAGCACTGTTGCAACAAGAGGGCTCAAAGCAGCAGAAGACAGCAGCATGAGAGGATAAACGAAAAACAACTCTGTGCAAAACTATTTTAATAATTGCAAAACCAACATTCTTGAAAATTCCACTTTGATGTGAACAAAAGAGTAGATCAAAATATTTATCAGATGTCTACCCTTCGAATGACAATTACCGGAAACTGGATGTTGCCTCGGATCGGGATCCATGACTTTTTAGAATCCAAGAAATGCGTAGAAAGATGCTCTTGTGATGGTGCTGAATATTTCCATTTTGGGTGCTTCTTTGGAACCCATCAAAAATGAACGCCAGTCTTCCCACGTCTCATGTGGGATAGCTCTAGACCCTAGAAACACCTTTTTTCTCAATTTCGAAATTCCTTGGATCTGTTGCAAAATGTCGTAAATGAGGTATTGCTTCATCGAATGGTGATTTGAGAGTCCTCCAAAACATACCGTGTCCCTGATGTCAGCAATTTTGGAAGTTCTCAACATATAAGAGGCAAAGCCGTCTCGAGTAGTTCCTCCTTATAGTCGTTCGAGAGCAAGACTTGAGTAGGACTTTCAAAAAGGTTTTCGACAGGTTTTTTGTCGTTTGTGTTCGATGGACGGGTAATCCAGGGAGATGTCACCAACATAGACAGCCTGATACAATACAGATGCTGCTAGCTCTTCGGACATGCACAATTCAGCTCCTCTTTCCACAAGAATTTCCATTCTTGACAGCTTCCAGCAATGCTGTTGATCCGTGCATGTCGACCAAGTTGGGATTGGCATTGTACTCCAAAAGCAAGCGAACCACGTCCGTATTTCCTTTCATGGCTGCTACCATCAATGCCGTCCTGTCATCATAGTCTGCATTGTCAGCATCGAATCCTTGGCTACACATTAATGAAATAGTTCGTGTGTCGCCTCGTGATGCAGCGAACAATAGCCGAGTAGTCTGGTCGTCCAGCTGCTTGGCCATGTGCATCTTGACTAGGTCAGCAACAGCTGTCAAACTGTCTTTGCGCTGTTGAAGTTCATCTCTCGACTTGTTGCTTTCCAGATCAAAGGAATTATACGTTCTAGATGAGTCCAGATCAAAACTGGAACCAGCACGGAGTTTTTCTTCTATTTGACACTGCTGGTCATCAAGGCCGTTGCAACTGGTAGAAGCATGATCGTCAATGCTGCTATCAATGCAATTTCTATCAGACCTCTAATGTATGAACGATGAAGAATCATTATAACTCTGGCGGGAGTATCAGCATGGGATTGCTGGTCGGAAGCCTGCACGTTTTTCACGGCTAGAGAACGAAAATCTTCCAGTCGAATCTAGTGTAACAGTTGCATTAGTTTTATGAATATGGTTTACATAGTATGCTGTAATAGTTGCTTGATTGCTTGCTCTTATGTAGAGTTATTGTAGAAGGAAAGTTCACTGGTATTTTGTATTGAAGGGACGTCTTGCTATGATGTGGATAACGTGTATTGCTAGATTGTGTGCTGTTATGATGGTGTCGCAATATAGCGTTGGACGCGTAATGCTGGCTGGCGTCAACTGTCGGTGCAACGGATGTAACGGGATATGCTTGGCACGCTCCCGTGGAATAGGGAATAACACACCCTTACACCGATCAGTGAGGCTGAGCATCTTAGAGTTCAGTCAATGGGGCAAAGCGGTTGGACGTTGGCGTATGGAAATAGGCTGGACGGACACGGCGGTGATGTTTGCCCGGGTGGTGTTTGGTGACGTAATCGCTAAGATTCAAGGAGCCTTTGGTCCAGTAGACATGGAAGTGGCCTTGGCGGACGCGATCGCGGATCCAGAAGAAGCGCATGTCCATGGCCTTGGAGCGTTTTTGTTTGATAGAGTCGTTGGCAATGCCGTTGGCGGTGGCATTGTCAGTTGTTAGGGGAGTGGGCCCTTGTGGATGCCCAAGTTCTGCAAGGGTAACACGTTCAGGGATGGCCTCTTGGCCATTGATGAAGAGGCCTGCAAGTTCAGCTTCAGCAGCACTTGCCAGGACGTTCTTGAGAATTTTGCATGGGACGGAAATGGCACCATTTCGCGGAGGCGGTGTGATGTTTTTGAGGTCCGTTGGAGCAGGGCCCAGGTAGTGGTATCCTGCGGCACGGGAGCGTGCTTTGGATTCGGAGAGGTAGGAGGCATCGCTCTCGATGTACAGATGCATACCACTGGCATAGAAGCGAACCTTGGCGTCAGGGTTGGAAGCGGCATAATTCAAAAACTGGGTGACTGCTTTCATTGTGTTGACCGTTGGTTGTGCTTGTTGGGCAGCGATGGTGCCAAGGGCAGGTAGCATGGAGAGATCGATTGCTCTGCCATAATAGAGGAAGGTTCCAACCACCTCAGAGATGGTCGTTTGGTCCTTGACGTCTAAAAATGGGGAATCGTCGGTGGTAGCAAATTGCTGGCGAGATCCGTAGACCGGAGCAATCCAGGCGTGAGGAGAGGATTCATGGCGTGTGGGAGCTGGGTGAGTGAAGCGTTGTAGGGCGCGTTCGACATAACCAGGCATGGATATATCAACGGTGCCATTTTCATAGTCCCAATCGATCTGCATGCCGATGTAGCGGGACCCGGTCCAGTCAACCGATGTTTTGTATTTTCCTTGGAGGACGGTAATGAGTCGTTCAATGTTGGACTTGGCAGTGTAGCGAACACCAAAGTCGTCGACAACCAGGGAGAACATGAGGTCGGACGTGGTGTCTTTCCAGAGTCCCGCGGTTTGTTCACATGGGATGAATCCGTGGGGTTTGAGGTATTGGCGGAGATCATCGTTGGCAAGTTTGCCCGCTTGGGGAAGCCCGTACATGCCCTTCTTGACTTTGCAGTAAACAAAGCCTTTGTGGATCTTGTCATGGAGGTGGTATAGGTCAATTATCTTTTTGGATAGTACGCTGACAGGGATGCGGACATATTCGGGTTCCGGGAGATCGGTCTCAAGGTAGAAGTCCTTGAGATCAATGGTGGCGAAGCGGGCGCCTGGGGTGCTGATGGTGCTGTTGAGAAGGATCTTGATGGTTTGGATGTCGGCAGTTTTGGTGGTCTTGTTACCAAGGTAGACGATCTTGTCGCCGCCCAATGTGTATCGGACGCGGTGGACTTGGGCCTTTTCTGGGCGATCGGCACATACAATGCGAACATATGTGACAACTTTGTCTTTGGGGATGTCACGGCGGTGAATGAATTCCAGGGTTTGTGTTCCTGTAGGCATGTGGGATTTTGGTCCGAGTCCAGTGCACATGCGTCCCATTTCTTCATCGTTGGCGTCGCTCCATTCGTGGCCGGCTGACGACTTGAGGAGCTCAGGGTATTCGGCCACTTTGCCTGTGTCAGGATTGATGGCTGTGCCATGGAGGCAGTAGTGGGGGTCAGTTAGAGGGGTGAAGCTACTTGCATTGGCTTGGACGGATTTCTTGTAGGTTGGTTTGGTGGTACGAGTGCTGCGACGTTTGGGTGCTAGGACCATGGGTTTGGAACGTGGTGCTGTTTGTTGCATGTTTTGTTTGGTCTGGTTGGTGAGTCGTCGTGCTTTTCGTTTTGTGGCTCTGACTGCGGGGCTTGTGAGGGCACCGTATGTTGGAGTTGGCCAACTTTCTTTGGGAAATAGTCGAGGCGTGGTGGCAATAGCAGGGTCATTGGCTGGTGGCTTCCACTGGACAGTTTTGGGTGTTGTAGGTTCAATGTCTGGTGGAATGAGTGTGGGTGCATTGGTGGGGGCATCGGCCCGATTGTCATTGTTGGGGACGGGTCGGATGGAATGGGTGTCGTCCTGTAGATCATGGTGTTTTAAGGCAGGTGGAGGGGACGACACTGGAATAGGGAGCTGGGTTGCAGGTGCGGTAGTGGTTTGGTTTTCCTTCGGCACCCTTAGAAGTGGCGCAGGAGGTTCCCGTGGTAGTTGAACGTTTTCGATCACTTCAACGAGTTGGCGTAATGCTTCTGTCATTGAATCACTGCGGGGAGCAATGGGAGTACGTGGGCTGGGATGAAGTAGGGCATGCTTGATATCTTGTAGGGCTGACATAATGATGGCGTTGGAGGAGCTGTCAGGCATGCGGACTTTTGTGGGGAACCAGGTGACAGTGTCGCAGATGCGAATAGCGCGAGTGTCGTAAATCCAGATGCGGTAGCACCGGTAGGAATCCATGGCTGGACCGACATACCATCCGTCGAGACCATGTGGCGCCCAGGTTTGTCGTGTAGCAGGTTTTTCGTGTGCAAGGACGCGACATCCCGGGGGGCCCATTGGCGTTCTGTTGTAGTCGAACTGTCCACAAATTTGAGCGTACGCCGAGAGCTTGGGATTTAGTCGAGAGGCGCGCATCAAATTCAATGTGATTTCAGCTTGCGGAAGGATCTGGTCCCACAGGTGGATGGGGAAATCTTTATCAGTGCTGCACAGGCCGGCGATGAAGTGGTTTTGGAAGGTGCGGATGGCTCGTTCGGCTGAGTTGCGACGGTGCATTCCAGGAGGAACTAATTGGAAGTCGATTTCAGATGCGTGGAGAAAATTCTTGAGGATAGTGGAACATTCGTTGTCAAGTCGTTGCAGTTGTGGTTTGAGCCCTGCTAGGCATAGTCGTTGATGGAGGCGCTGATAGGCTTTGAGGATGGTGGCGGCTTGACGGTTGGGGAATGGCTCGGCAAAAATGTGGTTGCTGTCATAGTCGTATAGGATCATAATGTAGTTGTTGCCAGTTGATGATGGTGAGACAAATTTTCCGGTTTGATCAGTGTAGACTTGGCCCGTAGCTGCGAAGAATGTAGCATAGCATTGATGTGTGCGTGCAGTGATGTGGTTTGGTTGGAGGTCATCATCTTCGGCATGGATTGGTGGGTTGGTGTCGTCATTGGGAATGATCGTTGGTTTGGTTTTTGTGGATCGGAGGTTCTGTCTGGTCTGGTCTTGGTGTCCTTTGGCCGTGGCAATAGATTGGGGTGGGTTGCGTCGGAGACCGGCCGTAGTTAATCCTGGAAAGTTTGTCAGGAAGTTATTGCGGAGAGCAAATTCGATTCTCGAGAGGACTGGAGAGAATAGAGTGGCATGGGCATAGGCGATGAGATCAGCTTCAGTTGGGTCGCCAATTTTGTTAGCGGAGTGGATCTGGATCTGGGCAGGCCCGGTAGCCTGTGATGGTATGTGCCACAGGTTGCTTGCTGGGTCGCGCTGGCCTTGTAGGACGACTTGATTGGATTGGCTGTCGATAATTTGGACATCTGCGTTGGTGAAGAGAACTTGGTATCCAGCGTGGCAGAGGCTGGCGACCGAGATCAGTGTGGCAGCAAGGGAAGGGACTATATGGCCTTGTCGTGCGTGAGGGCGAAGCATGGGCAAGTCCAGATCGGCGGTATGGGTTGAGTGAATGATGCTTCGATCGGCGAGTGCCACAGCAATGGGGTTGGTTGCAAGTTGTTTGTTGGTAGTTCTGCTGTTGGTAGCAATGAAGGTGGCAGTGGCTCCGGAGTCGATGATTGCGGGGGGACCGGAAGTTGTTGTAGTAGTTGTAGGGGTGGTAGGTTGACCTAGTGTTTTAGCTACAAGTCTATTAGCTTTCGGCTCCCCGCGTCCTCAAGTGGAAGCGGGTCGAGTCTCGCCGTCGTTGGTGCTTTGTTGGTAGCGGTTGGTACGGTTGGTGAGTGTATCGAATGAGGTGCTGCCGCCGTATCGGCGGTATATGGTGGCTTGCTTCATATGGCCTTCTGTTGGTTCAGTGCAATTCTTGCTGGTGTGGTTGGCTTTGCCTTTTGTGAGACCATGGGTCCAGCAATATAAGAATTCGGGCTTTGCTTTTTGTTGTTGGGACGGTGGTGTGGCATTAGCATTGTTGCAACGGTGGCATAGGGGTGGTGGGGTATTCTCGTTGTTGGCTGGGTTGGTATGTGGCGTCAGGACAGGGGTGCCAGTGGCTGTGTAGAGTACATGGTTGGCGCCATGGAAGCCAGCTTGCTTTGCAGTTTTGAGACCTTCAAGGCGCGCTTCTTCGTAGAGGAGGAAGTGGGGTTCGAAGTTGGTCCAAGTGCGGTCGGTGAGTGCTTTGGTGTCCCAGGTTAAGATGGCCTGTCCGTAGACTCCAGCTCCTTCGAATGCACTGCGGCACAATGTGACAGTCGCGTCGTCAGAGATGGCAGATCCATTTCTGGTGGCAATGGCACGGACTTGAGTGACTTTGTTGAAGAAGTGTTCAATAGGTTGGTCCGGATTCCATTTCTCCTTGAGGCGATCACGGTTGGCTTCCAATTCGGCGGGTTTCATGGTGCCGTATTTGGTCTGGAGGTGTGTGAACATGGTCAAGGTGGAAATGTTGGCATAGCCCATGTGTTGATCCTTGAGCGATGCAATGTAGATGTCGTCAACGGCTCCGATTAGTAGTTGTTTTAAACTATTGACCAATGTGATGTAGGTGGTATAGGTGCGGAGGTTATTTTCGTAGGCTCGGTTGTTGTTGGTGATTTGGACTGCAGTTTCATTGGTTGGGACCGGTGGATCGCCTGGATGGATTGGGGAGTTGAAGGCGATAGGTTGGTTGCTGTAGGTTAGGTAGTCGGGCGCCGTGGTGACTGCTCCAAGTAGTCCATGAGCGCCGCCGCCAGAGGTGGAGGGTACGGACATCGCGTTGGCGAACATTTCTTGGCGGAGTGTGGTGATGGCTTCGACTGTTGGTTTTCCGATGATTTTGGTGAATTCCTTGTGAGGGAAGCTGGGATGGGAGGAGACATCGGTGGAGGTCATGGTGTTAGTGGTCGGCGGATGCCGGGTGCTTGAAAAGATCTAGCAATACTATTGAAGGGACGTCTTGCTATGATGTGGATAACGTGTATTGCTAGATTGTGTGCTGTTATGATGGTGTCGCAATATAGCGTTGGACGCGTAATGCTGGCTGGCGTCAACTGTCGGTGCAACGGATGTAACGGGATATGCTTGGCACGCTCCCGTGGAATAGGGAATAACATTTTGTCTTGTTCGATTTTCCTCTTTGATGTGTTTCCAGTTTGTTCGGTTTGGGTGAGCATTTTGATTGGCTGGAAATGTGCAGCTGGCTAGAAAGGTGCGACATGAGTACATAGTGTACCATGTTATACGAGTAACATAAAATGCGTACACATAGATCGACGGTATTACCAGTCCTGTATATATCGTCAGTCCGTCATACGATACATGTCAAATCAATCAACTTTGAGCCATCCGACTAAAAGTCACTGCACAAATGCCATACTATTACCGAGGTACGAACCTGGTACTGTTTCATGTCGAGCTATGAGGGCTTTGTGGGTATTTGCATTCCAGTCCAGTTCCCCTCTTCGTGTCAAGAACGAACAATTATTACCATCTTCTCGGAAATTTAGCAGGAATTCAATGCCAAGAGATCTTGTTGTAGACCCATTTTGCTTTCGGCAATTTGCGGAATCACAAGCTAGCAATGATTACGTGGGTACCATATTCAAGCAATCTATTCAAGAATTTGAGGGCATTGTGAACCAATATTACAAAGCCGAGGATCTAAAAGATGGATACGCGCCTTTTTGCAAGCATCTCTTTGTTGAGAACACCTTCTCTGACGCTCGTGTGAACGTGCTTCCAGTCAGCTCGGAAAATGAGCATTTGGTCCGAACTCAATACCAAGCACGCAGTGAAAAAGAATTGCCAGTCTTACAAAGATTCATTCCGCTGGAGCTAATTGGCGGACAAGACAAGCTACCAGTTGCGAAGTATCTCGATCTAATTCTGTACTCACGGGAGCAAATTCGCAAGGAAAATGAGAGTATGGGAAAGGATGCGGGTGACGAGACAGCTCCTTGGGGAATTGTAAGCATCAAGGCACAAGATGTCGACTATGAGCTTCCAATGAATCCTATCACTGTTATGAGGAATTCGCTTGGGAAGGAACATGGTGGATCTGGAGTTCCGCTGGACCGTGATGCTTACATGGAAAGTGTCAACTACTGGAAGGACAACGTAGTCATCTCGTAGTAACGACCTTCGCACTGCAACCCCATTCAATTAATCCTTAAAAATCACGAGATTTAGCAGAACCTCATTCCAGCCCAATAAATGGATTTGCACTCCCTCAAGACATCATTCGAGATGACAGTGACGCTTTGCAGGCAATTCTGTGGCGTATCCCATACCACCTAGGACTTGAATCGACTGATGAGCACGCATGGTAGCAGCTTCACTAGTTGCTAGCTTCGCCATCGCAGTGTCTCTCGTTTCGTTTTCGCCGGTGTCTTTCATTTGAGCTGCTCTCCATGTCAATAGAGGGGCAGAATCTCTAGCTAAGACCATTTCGCTGATCATGTGCTAAATCATCTGAAAGTCGGCAATGGGTTTGCGAAAAGCGGTGCGCTGAAGTGCATAGTTCACTTCACAATCAATGGCTGCCGATGCAATTCCCAAACCTTATTCGGCGACTCCAATTCTACTACTGTCGAGTCTCTGCATGGCGATCTTGAAACCTTGGCCTTCTTTATCAAGGAGAATATCTCCTGAGATTCGAACATTTTCAATGATCAAGTTTGCGGTTGATGAAACACGGATTCCAAATTTGTCCTCCTTGTTGACACCCAAGCTAAAGCCCTCTGCATCGTTGGGTACCATGAACGCAGATATCCCTTTTTACATGTTTCATGCAAATCTGATATTAGGTGATGACGACGAAGCTACGAGTTGGAAGAAAACGGGGAACTTATTTGAGACTCTTGTTAGTGGTGGCGAAGACACCTGCCACGCTGGCTTCGTAGGCAATTGTAATCCAAGCCTTTGTTCCATTGATAATCCAGCCGTCTCCATCTCTAGTGCCAGTCATCGTTGCGGCACCAGCATCGCTACCGTTGGCCGGCTCTGACAATCCTAAACAACCAATCTGAAGTTATCAGAGCCACAGGGAACTCGAGTCTTCGGATAACAGCCAAGATTGTATTGGCCTTTGGCCTAACACAAGTGACTGTGACAACAAAAGAAACAAGCAAGCATCAAACAAACAAAAAGCTATTGTATAGAACTTGCTATGAACTCGTGGTGTGTTCAACTATGCACTATTAAATCATAACTCTTGTAACTTGCATTTTGTCGCCTCCACTCAACTTCGAGAGTTTTTTTGTCAACTTTTCGACTTCGAACTTTAGAGCTGCATTCCGCTCCCTGAGTATTTGGACTGACTTGGAGGAACCACCTCTGTCGCTCAAGTACTGCTTCAATTTTGCTTCCGAAGCCAGTCTTTCTGAAGTTGCCTCGACCAGTTTCTGTCGAAGCTCAGTGTTTTCAGATTGTAAGTTGCCTGCTGCGTTGTCATCGTTACTGGCAATTCTCTGTATATTGTAGTTCCTTTGCTCGAGTTTTTCTCTTAATGACTCCATTTCCCGAACTTGTTCTGAATTCTTCGACTTCATTCGAGTCAACTCAAGTTGAAGTTCTTGGATCTCTTCTTTTCGGAATCCAGTCATGTCATTCATGCTCAAGACAATCTGTTCCTTTTCACGTGTCATTTGAGTAATTTCGTCTTCTTTCTCGTGAAGTGCCCTCTTCATGCTTTGGAGATCGGTGTTCTGTCCATTAGGATTGCTCTCTGCCTGAGAATTTAGCTTATCTCGGAGGTCTTCGACGAGCGTCAGAGTGTTCGCAAGATCTGCCTCTAGGCTTTTTACCTTAGATTGTAGTTGATGGATGATCTGTTCATCTCTCGAGTGGTTTTTGTCATAGTCCTTGACCTTCTCACTTACTTGCTCCTGTAGCGAAGCAAGCCTCTTCTGGTTTGTTTCATATTTCGATTGGAGTTCTGCTTTGTCCTTCGAAGCAATTGTCAAGTCTTGAGATAGTTTAGTAATTTGTGATCTGAATTCAACTAGTTCCTCCTGATCCTTGAAAATGTTCGCACTCTCCTTCCGTTTTGCCTCAATCTCCAAGCTCAGCTCATTGATCTCCTTGAGCAAGGAACTGTTGATTTCGCACTGTCTTGTCAACTCTTCCTCCAATTCTATACCCTGTTTCGTTTGAGTCTCCAATTCACGCCGCAGGCCCCTGACCTCGTCTGTCAGCTCTTTGGTTTTGTTACTGAAGCTTGTATGGGGAACGGGCTGCTCGGTGGGCTCCTTGCTGAAACTTGGACGAGAGGTTGCTTTTTCCTCCGGTTGCGTCGGGAAGCCTCCATTTTCGAATCTTGCTGCGATTCCTTTTACTGATCTTCGAGTTGACGAGTTGCTAGTCTGTTTTGTGGTTCGATTCAGAGTTTGTGATTTTGAAGTACTTGGTACTGAAGAAAAGGATGCACGATCCCTCACTGACGGTTTGCTTTCAGTCGAATAGGAAGCTCTCATGTCCCCAATTTCACTTCTCAAACATCGAGAGAGTTTTCTCTCATCATCCAACTTGCGTTGGAGTTGGTTCACGTCCAGATTGAGCTTGCGATTGTCCTCGCGCATTTTTGTCAATATCTCATATGAAGAATCGACTTCAGTTGTTTGTTTATCGGCTACTGCTTGCTGGCGGTATTTGGCTGTGATGTTGTCAGTGTTAACTTTTTCTCGTTTTAGATTCTGTTCCATTTGGCGAATCATATCTGAAGTTCGATCCTGTGAAGAGCCCACACCGCTGTCTCGTGGTTGTCGCATTTCATTTTCAGCTTGCGCTAGCTGTTCGCTCAATTTTTTCTTGTCTCGTTCACTAGACTGCAATAGAGTCTTTGCTTCATTGATCTCTGCCAACAAAGAGCTCTTGAGCTCACCAGATTTCCCCAGCTGCCCTTTGAGCTCGTCCACCTCGCCCTCAAGCTTTTCACATGCAACCTGAAGCGACTGATTTCGCTGTTGATGCATGCCCACTTCAGGAGTACATTCCACACTACTTGCTGTACTCGCCTTTTTCAGCTCGTAGCTCAATTCTTCTTGCTTGAGGTTTGCCAAGTTGAGTGCATTTTTTGTTTTTCGAAGTTCCGATTGTAATCTTTGGCATTCTATTTCCAAATTTCCATCATCTGTAAAACCATAGCTGGCTCTTGTTTCGACAGTTCCACTTTGACCTTGAATTTCCATCTTTTGAAGAGACATTTTCAAGTCGTGGTTTCTTCTCTCCAGCTGAAGCACAGTAATGTCATGTTTCTTTTTACTTTGCTCTCCTTGCTTGAGAGCATCGTGGAGCTTCAAATTTTCTCTCTCTAGCCGTTCAACTCTTCTTTGTAGTTGAACATCTACTTGGCCACCAATCGAAGGGTGTTCCGTCGTGCCGGCTTTGAGTCGTCCGATTTCTTCATTGGCTTCCCGCAACATTCGTTGCAATGATGAATGTTCCATAGAAAAACTGCGGTCAGAAGCAGGATTGCAGCGAACAAAAGAATCATCAACTCCCAACGATTCGAGTTTGCAATCTTTCAGAGCCAATTCAACAGTTGCCTCTTCAAGCTTTCGAGTAAGCTCGTCCCTTTTGGTTTGCACGACACGCAGTTGCTTTTTCAAAATATCCACCTCGTCCCTGTTTTGGCCAGCAATTTGTTCCATGCCTTCGATGTTATCATGAACTGATTTCGGGCCATGTCCAGATGTCAACTGTCTTTTTTCTGCGAGCTTGGCTTCGAGATCTGCAATTCGAGCACTGTTCTCTCGCGAGATTTCTGCCATCCGATTTAAAAAGTCAAGTTCTTGCTTCGCCAGATTATTCTCACATGTCGTCTTGATGCTTGATAGTTCTTTCCGAAGGCGTGCATTGTCAGCTTCTGCAGTTTCTAGACTTACAATTTTTACCTTCAGATCTCGGATTTCTGCTCTGAGAGCATTCTGCATTTGGGCCATTGCCGCCATGCTTTACACAGTTTTCTCCCAGAAAGTTGCTGGTGAGTAATCAAGAATTGTATCGGAAACACTACAGGCACCGATTGATGTTGTTGCAGACGACCGAAACCAAATTAGAATTATTTGAAATTGTTGTTTGAATTCGTCGAGCAATTGCCGAAATTGTGTCGTGTGGGACACGCATCAGTCTTGATTGTTTGTGTCCGTTTTGAAACGGACAGATGCATGTTCGCGCCATTTTGAACTCTGTGATTATTCGTTCATCGGCACTCGAAACAAGTCTCAAGCATTGCTGAAAAACAAAAACAACCAATACAGTACAATAGTTTTCCACACATTCTGAAAGATGGCTGATCTCTACAATCTACTTGGCGAACTTGACCACCGTGAAGATGAAGAACAAGACTTCTTCAAAGGACGACCTTCAGCTGCCGGGACCGAGGCTACCGCTGAACAGAGCGAATGGGGGTCTCCAAGTCGGTCACCGAATGAAGCAGAGGTGCCGCTGGTTCTGCAACAAGCTCATCGAGACAAAGACATTGGCGCTGAAGAAGATTTTGGACAAGACCTTTTGCATGGCGAAGAGGACATGCTGGTTGAAAATGATCTGTACACAAAGTTACACCGGCATTGGTTTCAAGAACGTCATTGTCCAGAACTCTTAGAATTCGATGAAGATATGGCCCAAGACATCAAGACGCATCTCGAAGACCGCCGAGACTGGGTAGAGCAACAAGAGGGAGTCACTGATGCTGTTGAAGATTTGATGGTTACCTTGACTCAAATGGATACCGACAGGGTTAAATTCGTATTTTCTGATTGGTTGACTCGTCGCCTTGCTAAAATTGAGGCTCATCCGTTGTACATGAGGGAACAAATTGATCACATGAGCGACGGCGAGCTAAGATATCTTAAGAGCTACGGAGAACTTTACGAAAGTCATTTGCGCAACACTGTTTTGGACCATGTTCCAGAGGCATGGCAAAGACTTGACGAAGAAAATATGATCGACAAACCTGACTATGATTCCTACCATTTCTGGCTTGCAAAGGAAGCGATTGACAAACATGGCACGCACCATGAAAAGGGAACATGCCTAGTTGCCAAATATAAGGATATGCGCGAAATGATGATAGAGGGAAAGGTCGATTTGCAGATGTAACCTTGGACACTGTGGAACGAAGAACCGACACTTCCCCATGAGTTGCCTATTCCTCTCGGATCCACTGTACCAATTTAGCTAGGCAAACCACTTCGACTTCAACATTGAACTATTGGGAAATATTAACTACCCCTTTCTCTCGTTCTAGCTCGCATTGAAAAGTGCATTTATATCTATCCTTGGAACCCATATTAATTACTCATTCAACTCTGTGGACAATGGTTTCATTCAACAGCACGAAAAACTGGGAAAGATAAAGTGTTATGATTCCATTCCTGTATCAAATTCTTCCATCGTTTTGATAACAAGTGCCAAATAGTCGAGGAATGAACTGACGGCCACACGCAACATTTTAAGTTCATTGGACTCGAATCGACTACAGCAAAAAGATGATGGCAAAGCAGAGAAATTCCATTAGTTTCGACCAATCACCAGTCAATATCAGATTCCAACGGAGGCGAAACTCACACGGCCATGCAGTATTTCTTGTTGTTTTTTGGATCTACCTCTTGCAAAATCCGGAACTTTTTCGCAACACGATTGGTTGGCTCTGGATCCACAGCGAGAACTTGCATCGCTTGCTGTGCCTGAACGTTTGTGGGGAAAACAATCTTTACTTCACAGCACTGCGGTTTCTCCTCGACTTTGGACGTGCCTACGTTTACCATATCACGACCATCGCTATCCATTTTGGCGCCGCTGCTTTCAAGGTTGATGTGACAGATTTCCCATGTAACTATACCGGTACTGTGGGATGCAGGGAGATGTATTGGTAACGTAAGCTCCCTCGATGTGAAGGCGACTCGATCGATCACTGTGCTTACTGCCAAATTCGATTCGACTCACTCGAGCGACTGTGCTCATATCGCAGCATCATTGCATTGCCCCGGCGCATCGACGACAACTTTTGACGGTCGAAGCCCGTTCGGCCTTCGTCCGTCTGTAACACAATGTAGTCAAAGAGATCGAACAGTGTGCCTGCAGTCTACGTTGGACACGTCGGTACAAGTATCGCAAGACAAAGACATCGGAGATGGCAATAAGAACCCTGCTTGCCTTGCTGTTGGCGCATGAAACATCTCCTTTCGTACAAAGGGAGTGTGCCAACCAGTATCCTCTATCGAATAATCTACAAAGTACTGAATGGAAACTTCAAGCAACGTCAACAACAAAAATCACTGCTGGGAATATCAAACAAGGTGATAGTCTTCTGAGAAGTATCGCTTCGATAGATCCACACCCAGCAATACCAGTCTGGCCGACTTGGGGAGGAGGAAAAGTTACTCCTGTTTCTTTTGGCGATGATTTACAAGATCCGTTTCTGTTGCTTGCTCATCACGACCACTGGTTTGACCCCAGAGACCCACTTCGTGGTCCGTTCAAGGCCTTTGGAAAGGCATTAGGGCTTCCATACGTTGATGTGGAAGGGTTTTCAATGCATCCTCATCGTGGCTTCGATATATTCACTTACATCTTGGATGGTAAGTTTCTATATTCTTTCACTTCGCCGCGCTCTAATACACCAACAACTTTGTGGGTTCAAAGACTCATATGTACATTTGGTTGAACTCGGCTATAATTCAATACAGGAAGCGATGGGTTTAACCACCTTGATAATTTGGGGGGAACATCAAAACTATATAGAGGAGGCACTTGCCAATGGATGCGTACAGGATCTGGTGTCATGCATGAAGAATTTTGGGAAACCGACCCACGAAGAAGGACAAACATTGAATTGTTCCAACTGTGGGTGAACCTTCCATCTCGACAGAAGTTTGATGAACCTGCCATCGAGTACATTGGAACGAATACTTCACATCCTTGGATAGAGATCGATATTGTTGACGCAGAAACTGGTGCTATCAAAGGATCCATACGAGACATTACTGAAACACTTAACAAGGCGACACTCGCTTCTGAAGATGAGGAAAGAATTACTTCCACCATCAAACCAAGACCCCCATTACGGATACTACACATAAAACTGCAACCTGGTGGGCAGTGGTGCTGCCGTGTCCCATCGACAGAATCAGCAATCGTATATATCCGAAAAGGAAAAGCAACTATCATTTCACAAAGCCCGGGCGAAGAACCAGTGACAGTGAAACAACGAAACACTGCTACATTTTCCAGGGATGGGGATCTCATACACATAGCGAACAGAGGCAACACTATTTTGGACATGGTCCTTTTGGCTGCTGTACCACTGCGAGAGCCATTGGCAGCTGCAGGCCCAATTGTGATGAACAGTGCAGAGGAAGTTCAAATGGCTTACCGGCAACTAGAAGAAGGAACGTTCTTAAAGCGATCGTATGTACTCAAACAACATAGGGAAAAAGGATACTGGAAAGCCTAAATCAAACAGATATTCCTTGAAAATAAGTTTATCTAAATACCCGCCTGCTGCCGTAGTTCTAGTAGATGACTAATCCTCTTGTACCAGATAATTTGGACCAGGATAGACCTCGAAAACCGCCGAATAGTCTGACTCTTACAGCTCTGCTTCGGAATTATCTGAACAGACATTGCAACTCTTCTTGCAGTGAATGAGCATATAGTCAGAATTTCTATTGCATTCATTTGTGTCCCATGCTACCCACTCACTACATTTTTCAGAATAATCCTCGCAAGCTTGTTGTTTTGGTTGGAAAAGAAAAGATTCACCAGATGGCGCTATCCAATAGCCGTCCTTCCCAGGGCCACTCCATTTCTTCGTCCACTTAGTCTGGCACCAACCATTAGGGCAGGAGGGTTCTTCAAAAGTCGTCCCATGCATTACAATGGGGGCCTCATGATGTGTTTTTGGCTGAAAGGTGACGAAACAACAGTCAGGAATGCTGACATAAATGGTGGCAGACCTCCCACTCCCTCACTTACATCGTCTTGCCAGTGATTTGGAAGTGCCCAAACTTTCTCTCTGTCATTGAAAGTTTCTTTGTAGCCATATTTCGGATAATAATGAACAAAAACAGAAGAGTACCAGCTGCCGTGAAATGTGTGTGGTCTACCATGGAAGCACTTAGAAGACTCATAAAACAACATATCCCCGCTTTTCAAAATTACTTCATGGGTTGTTCCATGGTAGTCTTCAATCTGCAAACATTCTCGACAAATGAGTTGTTGACGAATACCTAACTGATACTTTGACGACGATACGTACGTACCAAGATTGGCCTGCCAAACATTCTCGACAAGTGAGTCGTTGGCGAATGCCCAAGCGACAATTTGAATGCGATACGTACCACGGTTCTGCGTCCTCGCTCGAATCGATGTGCAGAATGAAACTAATCACGTGGGTCTCTGGTTTATCGACATGCATATACAAATTTGACTGGTTACGATACAAGCGAAATCTGTGTGACTCGTCAGGACGCAACTCCACTGGCAGCCATCCAAACAACTCCGAACGAAGGCTCTTACCCATAGGCGATCTCAGGGGTCAGCTCCATGTTACTCCAAGCCTCAGGAAAATGTTGGAGCTCCTTTAGCACTCTAGTCATCAAATCTGGTCTGTCAATGAACCATGGTCTTTTGCCAGCAATGGCTGGGTAGTGCGCCTCTTCTCTTGGGCCTGTGCAGAGCAGTGCAATGCATTGCATTCCAGTGCAGACCATGAGTGAAAAAATGTTCAAAGCAAAGTAATATTCCAAACGAATACAGCTGTATTTCCTAACAAAGTCACTTGAACCTACCTGCCTTGAGGCCATCATAGATGCCCTGTCTTAAGGCGTCCATAAGATCGTCTGGAGCCCGTGCAAGTCCAAAGCCATGTTCTGTAAAATTTGGTTGGACAATGGATGCACTCAATGTCTGAACGTATGCTTCGAAGCGACTAGATTTGTCTTCCATCTCTTCGACCTGTCGAAGACGATGTTCGAATAGTTTCTTCCAGCCTGGAGTGTTTGGCTTGTAGTCCGAATCACTTGGTGGCCATTGATACCCTCGTTCCAACCGAGCTGCGATTCTTTCTTCCTCTGTTTCAGAGCACACATACTGTGGCAAGGTGAAGGCACATAGCCATAAGAGGGACGTTATTTTCATTGGCCGAGTATTTTACTTCTCACTCTCGCTAGTAGTTGTCAATCGTCAAATCCTACGCTTGGAGGAGTTCTCAAAAGATTCAATCTGCTGTGTGTGCATGCGGTCATAATTTCTCATCGATTGATTCGCCAACCAACCCTAACCTCACCCTAACCCCAGTCCCAACCCTAACTGGATTATTTTTTCTTAAATACGAGTATTCATTGTATTATATCACATTACGAAACAGATTATACAGTTTGAAAAAGATTGATGATTCAATGAGCCTACTGTTGTTCTATCTACTTTTCTTTGCCTCTTCGGACGCCTTCAATACCAACTCTTGGCACAAAAGAAAACAGGCAGTTCTGGCTTCGAGCCTACCGAGTATTGAAGAGGTGCGTCTTTCGTTACTCAAGTCTATACTGGCTGCAGCTGGTGTGAAAGTTTGAAGCTCATTTAATCGACAGCTTGAAAACGATCCGTTTATGAAGCAAGTGCAGCATGGTGCAGACTTGTGCAGCGCACTTCAAGAAGATCCTTCTAATGCCGATATCCATGAAAGAATTAAGGCTCAACTACGTTCCTCCGATGGGATCCGTGGGTTCATGGTTTCTTATCTGACTAGTGAAGATACGAGTCCTAAGGCACTTGTTGTCCCAGATGGCCTCGCCGAAGTATTGCAAGAAATTACCCGCTCCAATCCCGAGGACCTCGTTCCGCTAGCGTGTACGTCGTCAACATTGGCCTTTCGATTTTACTGTCAATATTTGCTCACGTTTCGATATCCATCACTTCATAGTCATGAATGTAATCATGCCTACCGCAATGAGTACCATGCACAACGAAGAAGATCTTCGTCAAAGTTCTGTCCAAACAGCAAAGCGAGGGCTTTCCATTCTCGCAACGATGACTGGCGAACATCAAAGTGTCAAGAGTAATGCTAAAGCAATACTGAACGTAGCTTTGGATAGCAAAGGAGAGGATATAGATTCTAAGCTGATTGAGGTAAGTCAACAAACAATCCAAGCTGACGCTGTGAGCATTTTTTGACAGTTCGTCCCGTGTCCACATTAGTATTGGAATAGCTTTTTCGACAAATGGGGATATAAAGATGAGCAAAAGAAAGACATATCAGAATCGATGAGCTTGTTTTTAACTTCCAACTACACTAAATAAGAGAGACTCTCTCGCGGCTCCCTCCAATTGGAGAGCTAGTTGCATAGTTTCCAGTAAGACAATTTTAGACGCTGCAGTCCTGTACTCTAGGCATTTAATAATACTTGCACCTGCACCGTTCCAAACCCTGAATACTGTAGATAGACGATCGAATTCAATAATCGATACCCGGATGTAATGGATGACCTTGCAAAACGCAGTTCCAGTTTGTCCGTCATGCCACTTGTACATGTACTGTACCAGTAGGGTACGTAGAAACTGTACGGCAATTTACGAGAAAAGACTAACGAATGTTGAGATTTGGTTCTCGCCTCGGCCATGGTGTAAGTAGGCATAGGCAACGAAGTTTGACTCCACGAGGTGCATTGCTTTCATTTTCGTTTGCAACAGACAAGATTGGAAGGCTGTGCTGTGTGGAAGCAAAAAATTAAAGAACGATCTGGGACGAATCTCAATCTGAACTCGAAACATCGACACCACATCTTCATTCCTTGTGTAGACTGTTTCAAAGCAACACGCGAGCAGATACGACGCTGAAGCATCTCTGAGCGATATCCCAGAAAGAAGATTACTTGATTTACTTATAACCAACTCGATATTCTGAACATGGATCCGCAATCAAACGAATCTGGTGGTCTTGATGTATTTGACGATAGCGATCATGATGAGATTTTTAATGATGACGACGATGATGATGTTGCGGTTGATCGAAACGCCGGGACCCCACTTGATATTTCAGACCTATTGAAAGCTGGTGCTAGTGCCATTGTTGCTCCCATGCAAAAAGTTATACACAAAGAAGACAGCAACAAAGCCTCAGCTTCAGATGACAACAATTCAGATAGCGATGAAGATGATACAGATAGTGATGAAGAGGAAACGACGAAGAAAAAGTCGGGTCACGGCAGCGATAGTGGTGAGGACTACACTGATGACGAAGATGAAGGGGAGGATGGCTACAAGCCTGGAGGCTATCACCGTGTCAAAGTTGGAGAGGTGTACAATCAGAGGTAAGTCATTCAAGGTCTCTGCATTTCTCCCACGTTATGATGGGTAGAGCTCAAATGAATCCTATGAATTCTCTCCAGATATGTTGTCATTAAAAAGCTAGGATGGGGTCATTTTTCGACTGTCTGGATGGTAAAGGATAGAAGGGCTCCGCCTGGTAACAAGGAAATATTCTTTGCATTGAAGGTACAAAAGTCAGCGGAGCACTACACTGAAGCGGCAATGGATGAAGTTGAATTGTTGGACTGTATTTCAAAAGAGCGAAAGGCTGTACAACAGCTGGCAAACAAGGGCGAAAAAGATTCTGATGGGGTCGCGCAATCAGACGAAATCGAGTTTTCAAAATACACTGCAATTTTGCACGACTCTTTCTTTCACAACGGTCCGAATGGCAGGCATATGTGTATGGTGTTTTCTATGCTTGGATGCAACTTGCTTTCAGTGATCAAAGCGTACAACTATCGTGGTATTCCAATCACAGTTGTCAAGAATATGATTCGAGGCATTTGCAAAGGTCTGGACTTCCTTCACCGAAAGTGCCATATTATTCATACCGATTTAAAGCCCGAAAATGTCTTGCTGCAATTCGACCAAGGTGCTGATTCGTTGGCAGACTCCATGGGAGCTATGAACCTGGATGGAAATAGTCAAGATATGGCTGTTTCAATCAACGATTTGGAGAAGGAGCTTGAAAACGAAAACCTTACGCCGGAGGAGAGGAAGAAGATCCGAAGAAAACTCAAGAAGCGAAGACAAAAGGAGCGAAAGCGAACAGGAGCAGATTCTGGGGAATCTTCTGATGAGGGGCTTTCTGACGATTCTACTGATGATTCAGCGGTAGAAAATGTTGTAGACAATGAGTTCCTGAGTGACACAGAGATGTCGAATTACTTGTATGGAGCAGGATACCCTACCGAGAACTTGGAATCGGGCAAAATAGCATCGAATGTCAAACGAAGGCTAAGTCACAGTGCATTTGTAACCACAAACTTTGGATCACGACATGAGGCTGCTGATGAAAAATTAATGGAAGTAATGCGTGAATCCGTAGGACTTCGGCAGCTTTCAGCACCCGAGATGTCCGCTGATTTGAAGAGTGCAGAAGGCAACGGAGGTGTCGCTGAAGTTGCTTTCCTACTTCGTGCATTTACACCAGAGGAAGGCTTGGCGGAAGGCATTTCATCTGCCTTTGATGGAATAGGATGGGAGTTTGTAGACGAAGCATCTACAAGGGAATGGTAAGATCACCATCGAATGTTGCTCTTTGGTGCGTTTGGCGCTAACACTTCATTTTCAAAGGCGCTGCCGGCTGTCTATCCCATCAAGATCACGGATTCACCATGAGAAACCAACTGCCAGTTTCAAGATGTATCAATACAGTCGAAAGAACGGCAGTGAGGAAGATAGGCAAGTGTTCTCTGACCTCGCAGTTTTGATCGGCGCCAATCTGAGTGGCGATGGCGATCCTCTTGCGTCCACGAACCAAAATAGCAGAAAAGCGCTTCCATTTGCTATTTGTAAGGCACTCTTTCCTGCGAAGTCCACGTTTGCTGTTCTCAGTTTCTTGGAAAGTAGATTTCGTGGTGTTGTTTTCACAGCCTACAAGCGAGAAGATGGGAAACCCGCATTAGACAACATTTTGTTTGGCCCTGAAGCAACGAAGATATGTAAACATCCAATGACGATGAAAATGAAGAGTGCAGGCGAAGAGCAAAAACAAGCGAGCAGTATTGTAGGCTTCGATCTTCGTCTTGTCAAGGATTTTGCAGCTCTGCCTTCCCTTGGGAGGGACGGAAAGGCAGCATACGACCTCCGAGGACCATCAATGGACCGAGTGGTTGATTGGTGGACCGCGCGGAATCCAATGAATGATCGAATTCGAGCCTGTACAGGGGTTGACCCACTGGCGGATGGTGCGCTTGGACTCGCAAGAGATGGTAATCATGGTTTCAATGGGAATGATTTCAAAGAAGGTGGCAAAAAAGCTGGAGGTGGTGCCGTGAATTCCGTAAATATGGGGTCTATTCCAAAGCCTTCTCCATCGAATCTTAAGGACAAGGATGCTCTCATGAAGAGCAAAGCTGTAATTGTCGATTTGGGAAATGCATGTTGGACACATCGGCACTTTAGTGAAGACATTCAGACCCGACAATATCGAGCACCGGAAGTCCTGATTGGTAGCAAGTACGTCAGGAGGATCCGTCAGTTGTTTCAATAGAGCTGAATATGTTTCCTTACACCTTGTTTTTTTTAAATTGCAGATATGATACTTCCGCCGACATCTGGTCATTGGGCTGTATGACTTTCGAGCTTCTCACAGGGGATCTTTTGTTTGATCCAAGGGCCGGGGATGACTATGATCGCGATGAAGATCATCTCGCGATGTTCCAGGAACTACTGGGTAAGATGCCAAAAAAACTTGCATTGGAAGGAAAGTACTCGAAGCAATTTTTTGACAAAAAAGGCAACTTGAAGCACATCAAGACACTTAAATTTTGGCCCGTTCAAGACGTTTTGGTCGAAAAGTACCACTACTCAAAGGAGGATGCCCAATCTGTCGCTGACTTTATTACACCTTTGCTAGACTTTGATCCGAAATCGCGATCAACCGCGTTGGATGCGCTGCGGAGTAAATGGCTAAACGAATAACCATTCTCGATCAATTTTAAGCTTTGATGCAAGATGCAGCTGCTGATTAGTTCACCTAGATTACTAATTCGATACCATGAATAAGTTAGTCGTCATTTCGTTCCTATAACTAGCTAATTGTCCGCCTATTAGAATGAGAATTTTCAGCTAGGTTAAAACTTGATTCACAGCTTGTCGCGATGCAAGATTGCACTTCCGTGCTCTTCAAATTCTGCCCGTGACACCCACATAGATTTGAAGGTGGCAAGACTGGCCAGAATGGATCCTCCCACAAAAGTGGAGTTCATACGCTCTGGGGGTGCTGAGATTCTTATTTTTGTGTGCGCTGGGGATCGCGAACGGACTTCATGCAACATCCGGTCTCCAAATCCTGGGCACAGTGTCGATCCACCGGCCAAGACCACCTGAGAAAAGAGAGTTGATCTCAGATCAATATCGCTCTTCATAATTGAATTCACCAAGATATCAGCAGCACCTGGCTCCTCTGATCCAAACAAAGAGGGATCAAACAAAACATTAGGAGCTTGGAAGCGCTCGGTGGACAGATTGACAGTCTGTCCATCTGGCAAAGTGTATTGCGTTTTTGAATCTTTCTCGGCCGAATCGTCAGCCATAGCTGTGCGCGTCAAATAACATGTTTCTTCCTTCATTCTTTTCACAAGATCCAGCTCAGCTGTGGTCGTGAACGATAGCCCAGACCTACGAAGAAGCAACTGCATCTGTCGAGTGACATCACGCCCTGCCACATCACTTCGAGTAACCGAATGTGGAAGTGCAAAACCTTCATAAACTGGGACAGCGTGAGTGACTCCCTCTCCGACATCCAAAACAACCCCCGTGGTTCTTCCCGAAGCGTATAAACTCAAGACAGAAGGAGGAGCAAAAAATAAAGCTGGCGCTCGGAATGTTTCGAAGAAAATCTCAGCGACCTTGTCACGATTTTGACGAGGGTTGAGTGGGGCTTCTGTGAGCAGTGCTGGGTGGTCCTCCATTCTAACATTCAGATTTGGTTTCGAATAGAGATGCTAATGTGCAACCGCAAAGCAAGTTGAGCTGAGTACCGAAAGGGGAAAGTTCAGAGTTTCCAGTCACTCTTACCTCCCATATGCTCTCCATCGCGTCCCAACCGCCGTCAACAACAGCGCCCTTATCCATGGGATACTCAAGGAAGAAAGATCCGCGATGCTCGTCTAGTTTTTTCCCTACGAAAATAGATGATGGTCCAGACAGACTTTGCTCTGTTTCCAAAGCACCGCCAGGCATGATTCTCATGTGCTTTGTCCTGCCAACTTTGGTGCCAATGACCACCTGAGCAATTCAATTCACAAAAAGTGATCAGAAACAAACTTCAAAGTCATGAAAAAACATTACATCCCAAGGTTTAAAATCTCGAAATTTTTTGCTACAAAAGCGTAGTCGCAAAATTGCTTTTCAACTCACTTTTGGTTTGGAGCTTCCTGCAAAACCTGCCTTCAACGAAGAGGTACCATTGTCAATAACGACAGGTTGATTCAAAAGAAGCGAGCTACCAGACTCTCCTTCAACTGGTGTTTCTTCAGACGCCATTCTTTAACTGTTTTTTAAAACTTTGTAGTCTAGAGAAAGCTACGCTATTGGATGAAGTGCAGTTTATGCTAGGCAACGATGGGTTGGGCCTTGATGCATTGGACAGACTATCGGCCATGTCCAGAGACCAAATCGTTCATTTCGTCCGCTACGTACAACTCTACAGTGCGAGCAAGCCGGCGAAGCTTGCTTAGCTTCCGCAAAGATCGAAAGGTCGACCAATTGGAATAATCAATTTGATGATTTTCGTACTTCAAAATAATAGGACTAGCTGCTCTGCAATATATTTTAGTGTACTCGTATTAGTGTAATAGTATATTATAAACCAATGTTATTATTTAGTCATCGTCAAAAGCACTCAAATCGAGACCAGCAAGATGTGAAACTTCAAAGAGTGAAAAAGATGGATCATTTTCGTTTTGATCTTGCGATAAAGAAGAGCACAATCCAAACCTGCTTTGCGGCACCATTTCGTCCGACTTCTGGGGCTGGGGACGCGTAGTACTCGATCTTCTTTCCTCCTCTTTATGCCTCGATCCTTCACTTGACAATGATATATTCTTTGCTTGGATACTCTGAGGATGTGCCAAGTTGTTTGCAAAAGTGTCGCTATCGTCCTCATTGTCGTCGAATAACTCAAGCACTTCATCCGTTTGCACATTGTCCCACAAACAACTTGCTAATGAATTGGAAATTCTGTGCGGTCCTCCTTCTGCCTGTGTGGGGCTCTGAAGAGAAGGTTTGCTCCGCTTTCTCCGATTCTTGGCATGTTGGTGCAATTTTTCATCATGGCGTTTGTTGTGTCTATTGTTCTTGTCTGTCAGAGTTGTGCCGGACTTTTGCTCATTGAAAGATTGCGCTTCTGTTTCTTCTTTCTCTAGAAAGGGAACGCTTGGACAATTTGTAGTAGTGTCCACAAGCGCATTTTGTTCACTCGGTCGGCACGAGACATCTTGTGATGACGACTTTGCAGTCGACTGTTCAGTTCCTATCAGTGGAAGAGAGTTGTTTTTGGTCTTCAGATTCTTTTCTTCTCCCTTTTTTGTAGCATGAGAGAAGAAGAAGAATCTTTGATCGCATGTACCCCCAGCGATACCATTATCTTTGGTTGCTTGGTCACTGTCGCCAGTCTCATGGACATCTTCCTCGTGGAGACCATCGTGAACGCTATCGACGTCATTATCAATTTCGAAAATATGCTGTGATATGGCTTTCTTTCTCTCCATATGCTGCAAAAAGTCCATATCTTTGGCATCCTCTGGAGTCCATACTTTTGTTATATGTTTCCCTCCAATTAAAAGGATCCTTTCGAGTTTTTCGTCATCTTCATTCATCTGCACCATCATACCTATTTCTTGCAGCATCCAAACGACACCAGTTCTAATGGTAGAGGCCTCTTGTTGCTTCCGCATCTGTTCTTGTACATACCGAGGCTCAACCCATGCACGGACACTCAATCCTGTCTCATCATAAAGTTCGACAGTACAAATGCTGTGTAGGTTGTGTGATTCAATAGAGTTGACCAGAAGAAGCAAGTGAAATCCTGGTGGAATAGCAAAGTCGTGGTCACCTCGAAGAACCTCTCTAAGCAAGATAAAGTCAGGGGGCAGGTGTGGACGCAACTCATCGTATTTTTGTTTTGGATCACCATTCCACGAAGATAGATACGGTGTATTGAGTTTCAGATCCTCTTGGACGTTGCTCCACACAGGCGAAAAGGAACTATCCCTGCCCCCCTTATGGTTGTTTGATTTGTCAGAATGACTTGCATTGTCACTAGAATCTCCTTTGGATGATCGTTGTTCGGCATTTACGGTCGTGACACTTCCCTGATTTTTCGAATGAAGCTGCTGCTGTTGGGTTCGAAACCAGATTCCGACGGGCCCTGGCGGTACATGTCGTTTTCGGTGACTGCGTGATTTGCTCATTGCAGACTTTAAAAGGGAGTTGGTTTGTTGGAATGATGCGTCTTGCTCATTCTCACCGTCATCACTGCTGTTGAAAGTATTTTAGCGCGAACTGCGAGCGAGTCAAGTTAGTCGCGTTCGTCGAGAATATCATTCTTCGTTCGTCGTTCATGACGATTTTAGTGATTCATTCATTCAATATTTCGTCGTTGGGCCAACCTCTCAAGCGGGAAAATTAACATCTTGGAAACCAATGATGTGCAGCATACTGCCCTGCATCTTATGTTGCTTTCTCGTTCTTGTGGAGGTCGTCTCTTTCTCGGCTCCTAATATTTCGCCTGCCACGAATTGCAAGAATGAATTTTTTTCCTGGAAACAGCAACAGATCCGGTATCAACAAGCTGGTCCAAAGTCCGGTCCACCAGTACTCTTGGTTCATGGTCTCTTTGTAAATAGCGATCACTGGAGAAAGACGATTAAAGGTTTGTCAGAGGCTGGGTGTCATGTTTTTGCCATTGACTTGTTGGGGTATGGGTATTCTAGCAAGCCAAAAATTGGTTCGACAGAGGCAGAAGCTGTGAATGGAGAGACAAATCGGCCGGACGTTGAGAAAAATGTAGCTTTAGGTTCGTCGGATGGACGATCAACACGGATCAAAGACATCGACCTCAAGCATCCTACAAAAAGCCCGTTTAACTTTTACACGTGGAGCTCTTTGATTACAGATTTCACGAAGGAAGTGATTGCAAAGAATGGAGTTTGTTTGGTTGCAAATTCAATTGGAAGCATAAGTGTGCTGCAGGTAAGGATTACTTTTATGTGCAGTGTTCAGTGTTTGGTACGTCATCAACGGGAACAATGCGGCAGGACGAATACAGCCTCCACTTAGAAATGACGACAGACTTTGGTTGAACTTGCTGTATTCGTGTGTAGTCTAACCTGTATGAATTGTACACTGTATGATATTACAGGCAATAATTGACAATCCCTCCCTTTACTGTGGTGCTTGTCTGGTAACGCCAAATTTTCGAGAGCTACACAGAGCCGAACTTCCACTATCGAATCTTGCTATGCCTCTTATCCAGAGAGTACAAAAGTTGCTGAGAGAAAACGGGCAGGGCCTATTCGATGCGCTCGCAACTCCAAGCACTGTGAAACAGATTCTCAAGCAACCATATAAGGTGCAGGATGCCATAGATGATACGTTGGTTAAGGTACTGCTTGACCCACTGTTGATTGAAGGTGCCAGCGATATCGTTTTCGACACCTTGTCCTACAGTGCAGGACCACTTCCCGAGCAGCAACTTTCACAGTTTCCAGAGGACAAACCAGTTTGGATCTGCTACGGAAAGGACGACCCATGGACCCCGTCTGCACGTGTAGAAGCTCTCATTTCAAAGCCATGCGTAAACAAAGTTGTCGGGTGGGATGGTGTTGGCCACTGCCCACATGACGAGGCACCAGAACTTGTGAACCCCTTCATTCTCGAATTCATGGCAGAAATTGGGGCAGTCTCAGGGTTTCAAGCTACTGTCTGTGTTTGACGGAGTGCTCTCGATATTTGGAAACGATCAATACGTTATGAGGCTACAAATCGTTGCATCCCCAAGGAGTACTAGCTTCGTAGCATCTAAAGAAAAAAAAGTCGGGCCATTGCACCCCCTGCGCTTTGCAGATATGCCGGACTTCGATCGGCCATATGTTCAATACTCACGAGTCTTGCATTTCGTTGTTTGTATAGATTGCACTCCTTTGACATACCTTGAAGCAAAAACTCTACAGACAGCGCTTTCCATCCAGCCGTTCCATCCAAATAGGTTCCCTCGCCTACCACAGAATGACCACTTCGCGGAATCCCGGTGGCAATGGCTTGCACTGCTTCAAAGGAAGCTTGGTCGTTTTGTTGAAGCCTTGAAAGCTCCTCACTGTGAATGTTTCCACGGATGGCAGAATCTACCCAATCACAAAGGCCGTTCAAGGATGCCACTGCCTGTGGCTGCTCTCCGTTTTCGCCCGCCTCTTTCAACGCAATTTCGACCAAAGGCAAACAAATGTCTTCTAGAGAGTATTGGTCGTGGAAAGATCTTGCAGCAAACAAGATGTTTCGATGCCGAAAAATTGAAGCGAACTTGACAGACGGATCTGCAGAGATGTCGCTCAGGGTTTTCTCTGGAGGAAGAAGAATGTACTCTGTGGAACCATTTTCTCTATTTTCTACGTCATGAATCGTAAAATTCTCTAGAACGAAGGCCAAATCAGGAAGGTCTCTTTGGGAAGATGAAGAACTCCGAGAACTTATTTGGGACAGGATCGCATGGCTCGAATGAACAATCCTCGTTCCGGTTCTAGATACAAGGGCAAACATTTTGGTGCTACCAAAAAGAAAGACAAAACTCTATCTTTCTGTCAGTATACTTGCACACAAGTTCGATATGACTTCGTGGTTGCTTATCGTGCAAGCGAAGATAATTTAAAAAATACCGACGTACACGGACGTACCGGTACACGTACCATATAATATCCTGTAACCTCCAGTCAGTATGCAGTACGTGTACTCGTACCAGTACCTACCGGTATTAATACCAGGTACCGGTACTCGTACCGTACCGGGTACAGCAGTCTTGCATCAAAATTAACCTAATATGATACAATAAATACTGTAGGTGAAATAATAATATCACGCCTATGGTACCCTGGTAGTTTTGCACATGAAGCGATATTACGAATAGCAGAATATTGTTTAACGGATGTATTAATACTTGTAGTTTGTAGTCTACAGCTTTACCTCATCATTTTCTAGAATCTGGGTCGAATTCGCTTTCCACTATTCGTGCCAAATGGAATCAATCAAGTGATATGCAAAAATCCACCCACTAGTCATCCTTGTTAGCTGTGACATTCGGCTTCACTACCAAACCTCGAGCCGTAAGTTCTTTTTCCCACTCGTTTTCCTCATGTATGTCACTTTCGTGAATGTTTCCATGACTCTCAACAGCGAACTGACCAGCCGTCGGCAGAAGACCCATTGCTCTAGCACGCTTGATGAGTTTCGCAATTTTTCGCTGATCCTTTGCTCCAAGGCGAGATTGCACACGATTCATAATTTGACCCGTCGGAGTGATGTATCTCCTCAGAAGTGGCAAGTTGTTATGGTGCAGAAGCTGTCTCGGGATCTTCTTGGCGTTTCGACGATTCACCAACCGAGTCGGCGTTAAATCACTTGGCAAAAGGTCAGAAAATGGGTCATCATCCTTTGAATCGTCCATGAAGCGGATTGCACTAGAAGACATCCATTTAGTGTTCAAGTATTCATCATCGGCGTATCCTAGAAGCTCAGCATCATCCTTCGATACCGATTCGACAGGAATGTCGTCCTCGTCTATTTCTACATTGTGCTCATCATTCATATATTTTTGGAAGACCTTGAACTCTGCAGGACTTAACGGCTTCGAGAAACCACTTGGATCGGCATATGCCGTTTCACCATCTTCGAGTCTGCCAACAACAGATTGTGCCTCAACACTTCTTCCAAGGACATTGAGTCCTGCGTTGTCTTCGCGGATCCGACTGGCTAGCTGCGACAGTTTTGTATTACCAGTCCCCTCCTCTTCTTCAGAGTCGACATCCCAGTCTCTTAACAGGTTTTCCAGAAGATACTCTTGCTCTTGCACTGTATCCATCTTCAGAAGCTTTCGTTCTCTTTCACCTAATTCGGTCTCTTTCTCCCCAGTAAATTTTCCTGTCATGGAATCACGCTTATATTTGGGAGGCATGGATGGTCCCAGCTTTCCGTGATCTGTGCCATCATCAAAATCAACTCCAAATGGGTCATCATGAAAATCATCACTATTGTTGCGATTGTCGTTTCCGCCATCAGTGCTGAGTACGCGGGCTGCAACGGACGATTTTATGCAGTGCCTCTGTCCTCTTCTATTGCAGCCAAGTCGATAAGTAGCAGGCTCCACAACTCTGGAAAGAGGAAGCAACAGCCGTCGGAATGCAGACATTTTAGGATGCTTGATGCGGTGCGAGTACGTTCATTTATTAATATTTGCCTTTCCTACCACAAAAACCAAAATCAGTGATGACCGCGCAAACATTTCGCGCGGCTAACCCTGTCGTCAATAGGAAGGAAGTTGAAGCACAAACGGTCTCTTTGCAGCAGCCCAAAGCTTCAATGCTCCGTACCAAGAAGATCAAACAGTCTGCTTTGGGACGAATGTTCTTCGTTTCATTTATTTGGGATTGCTTTAAAAATTCTTTCTATCATACTACCAATTTATAAACATAATTGAAGCAATCAACAATACGAAGAGAGACAGTACCCTTCCTGCTCGTTTTCAAAGGCCACTGGACTGCTACTTTCCGCTCATGTCTTTAATCACCTCATCTGGGGTTTTCAGCGTCATCGGGGGTAGGTGTGCAAGGTGTTCAATATCTTGAATCGAGCACCCGGTGCCTCCTTCGCTATGCGACCAGTGGTACGTCGTAAGGAAAACCAAAAAGTGCATAGCAAAGACATAGAAGAAGAGAAACGTTCGCATTTCCTTTGATCCCAACATTGTTTTGGCGACAACAAAAACTGTACGTTCCATTGGCGACATCTCATTTAGCTTCCGTTGCCTTTCGGCGCGACTAAATTGCCGGAAAGGGTCCACGGATGCTTCGTACCGCTGTTCCAACGCCTCCAAATCTAGATCACGAGATGTAGTTCGAGCATAGGCACCTATGGACCCAGAGTTTCCTTTGTAACTTTGAAGGTAACGCATTTTTTCGTAGAGCTTTGTATTATCCGTTTTCAACGATTCGGCAGAGTCCACTTGGGCTTGCAGCTCTCGCTTGAAGCTATCGCGCTCAGCTTCTAGAGCATCACAGCGTGCTCGAAGTCGGTCGCGTTGAGCCATGATGATAGTTGCAACAGAGTGATCATCAGCTGCCTTTTCTGCAGCACTAGCTTCTAATTTCGTTTCTTTTTGGACTCCTGTACTCGGTGCATTTGGATCAAGGACGCTCTGCAAAGTAGTTGTGTTGTTGCTTTCCACATCAGGAAGACTCTTTCTTCGAGCGGTTGGTGTCGATTGCGCTACTGACGAATTTGAGATCGCTTTATCAAGGTCAGCCTCTAGAGAGGCGATGACCTTCTCAGCATCACCTTTTGCATGCTCTAAAGCTTGGATTTCTCCACGCAATTGTTCATAATCTTTTGAAATATCTGCCTTTTGATTTCTCTCTTTGACGAGTTCAGATTCGACGCGGCGCAATTTGGCAACCAACACTGATTCAAGGTCTTTTTCATGAGTCTCGCCAGTACCCGTCATTTCTGGATCTCTGTTCACAAGGTCGGGGTCATCAGCATTGTACTCCAAGTGTTTTAGGATTCTTAATTCCCTCTTCATGCTGTCAATTAGAGTTTGCGAAGGGGCCTCTGCAAGCTGAGCTTGAAGAGAAGACAAAGTTGTTTTCGTCGATTGGACTTCAGATTCTATTAAACTAATCTTGCTTTGAAGAGAGCGTCGTTCGTCGGAAAACGTTTCGTCTTTTACTGCAATCTCTTCTCGCAGCAGATTCACAGTGTGTGAGAGCTCGCTGACTTCAGCTTCGTATGCTTCTCTCTCACTCAGAAGATCCGCCATTTGAATTCCACCCGAGGAGGGAACACTTTGGATGCTCTTTCCACCCTCCAAAGCTCCAACTTTTAACCGCAAATCGTCTCTCTCTCTGGTTGCTTCATGTAGATTTAGTCGCAACCGTTCAGCATCATCGACAAGAATTCGACGCTGCGCTTCCCAAGCTGCTTCCCGTTCTCCGACACCCTCGCTTTCTTCCAACATATGCGCCTGGGTTGCGGCGCGACCCGCCATTTCTGCCTTGAGTTGCAGCTCTAGAGTTTGAACCTTTCTTTCCATCGCCGCTTCTCTCTCCAAAGCTTCCGCAGTTCGTCGCCCCTCTGTCTCTGCCAATTCTTCGCGGGCCGTCTCGAGCTTCAATTGGAATTCTTCTTCGCCACCTGTTTGAAGCTCGAGAATTCGGGCCTCAAGCTTACGGATGGTGATGTCTTGATTCTTAAGAGAACGGAATTCAACTTCATACTCAGCAACTTCGCGCCTGAGCTGAATTAGTTCTTCTTTTTCCGCTTTTGTCGTAGAAGAGGATTCCTGGTTAGAAGTATCGTTTTTCGACGACCCTCTCTCTAAAGCTACTTTTTCTGTTTTCAAATCCTCGATGGTGTGAGACATCTTTGAGAGCTGCATTTGTTGGTTATTGACCAAATTCAACACTGATGTGAGCACCTTGTAGGGATCTGGATTTTCTCCCAACGATTGTGTCAGCGAGGAAAAGGAAGATTCTGCTGATTTGCATCTACGGGTCAGATTATCGACTTCCTCTACAAAGCGAAATAAGGGAGTCAGTGGCGGAAAAGAAAAGAACAGAACAGAACAGAAAATGACTTCGTCTAGTTCACTCTTACCTTGATATGCCTTTACTGTCTGGCGGCAGTTCTTAGCAAGCACTTCGATAGCTTTCACGGTGGTAGCTGCATTCTCAGCTGTATTTGCCACCCCCAGCGTTGATCCCACTTGTTCGACATTCTTCACTGATTTCTTGAACTGTTTCGTTGTTTCAGCGAGCTGCTTGCGAGCGGAAAGGGACTGTTCTCGGGCTTCTTTACTTTGAACGGTGATTGCTTCCCATTGTTTAGTCTTCGAGTCCCAGTTGAATGAGGCCCAACTCTTTGACGCCACTTGCAGTGACGACTGCAATTCTGGCCAGTCTGATGCCATGGTGCAAGGAAAATATTGTACTGCTCCAAATGTCTACCGGTACAGTATTTTATTTGTATGCTGTCAATGTGCTTGGAAGTCGGTTTGATCGAGTGAGTCGGGATCAAACGCACCTGACTCGACTCACCTCGTCATCGAAACAATCAACTTTTGATGGACGGTTTCACTCTTCAGCTTCGAGGAGATGAACAGAGATCCAAAGTGTAGATGGGACCGCAACATGAACCGATCAAAATCTTTTCTCTTTAGAGTTCTCTTGTTCACACTATTCACGGGGCTTGTGTCACCTTTTGCACTGGGCGAATCTTCTTCAGGATCCAAAGGTTCAATTTTTCGAAAACCTCGCACCTTGGCAGCCCAAGTCTCCACCACTGGACAAGACAAACAGAAATCACGAGCTAGATTATTCCTAGAGACCTTCGATCTTCGGTCCAGACGACACAATGGAGCAGCTCAAAAAGACGCGACTTCTTTAACAGTTGCCTCTCGGCTCTTGTTTTTGTATGTGACGCCAATGTTGGACTTGGCGTTAAACAGGACACTCACTGAAAACGATGCTTTTGCAGTGCCTGAAAGCAAAAAGATGAAAAATTCTGTGGATGCGCTCAGTGATGTCTACGAACGATTTAGAAAAGAGGCCGAAAAGAGTGTTGCGACGAATCATGGACGAGGATTGGCCAAGCTCAACAAGTCAAAATCTTTCATTCTGTTTAAGGCCATTGTATATCATCAGCGACGTCAGCTTTTTTTGACGGGTTTATTGAGATTGGTAAATACGATAATTCAAGCTTTTCCAGCAGTTTTGGTGTCTCGGCTCCTGAAATGCATCGAGGCTGGTTCAACTTACCCAGCCTACAAGGCAGTCATGACAGCGCTTCTTCTTGTGTCCGTTCTATGCCTGAAAATGATTATCGAGAACCAATTTTTCCACAATATCATCCAGATGTCAACTCAAACTAGAGGTTCGCTGGAGGGGTTAATTTTCGATAAAAGTCTCCGGCTGCCCGACGGTGGAAGCGGCGTCTTGGCGAAGCAGAAGATGGATAAGGAGAAGAAGGCCTTGGGATCGGGGGGGGTATTGAATCTAATGCAGTCAGATGCTTCAATAATTGAGTCTGCAGTCATACAAATCCATACTACCTGGGATGGACTCTTGCAAATTGCGATTTATACATCTCTTCTGTTCAAGTACTTGGGTCCCAGCGTGTTTTGGGGGATCAGTGTTTTGTTGTCAGTCATTCGTAAGTTGAAATGTATGCCGAGTGAATAAGCGTTAAAAGTACTCGAATCTAACAAGCCCATTAACGGCAGCTTTGAATAGCGTGACGTTGAGGTTGCTTGATCGTCTAACACAACGAGAGAATGAAGCAAAAGACGCGAGAACCAAACGCACAACCGAATCAATAACGAATATGAAGCTGCTGAAAGTACAAGCCTGGGAAGATCGTTTTGCAGAAGACATTCGACAGCATCGGCGCGATGAGTTAGCTCGACACAAAGCTCGAGGAATGATTCGATCGCTCAACTCGGCCATTTCCAATTGTGTCCCTTCCATAGTTCTGGTGGTAACATTGACAGCATACGCAGGGACAGGCAACCCCATTGTTGCCAGTACTATCTTCACAGCTATATCACTCTTCAATCAACTCAGGTTTCCGTTATTCTTTTACCCGATGCTGGTCGACTCTTTGGCGAACGGAAAGAACTCTCTCCGGCGTATTTCTTCATACCTGACATCGGAAGAGCTGACACCTTATACAGAGAAATTGCCTTCAGAGGATGGAGGAGGTATTGAGGTGGAGAATGGTAATTTTTTATGGCCATCATCGGATGCACCAGAGGATGGGCAAGTTTCGCCCCCTGATTCGCCTGCCCTGTGTAACGCAAACCTGAAAGTAAACAGTGGTGAAATTGTCGCTGTTGTAGGATCTGTCGGTAGCGGGAAAACTGCATTACTACTTTCATTGCTTGGGGAGCTGGCTCCTGTTCCTAGAATGGTAGTGGATTCTGAGGGATGCGTAGATAGTGACAGAGGCGGTACTCTAATTGACAGACCAAAGGTTACATCTATTGGCACAGTGGCGTACTGCTCTCAAGATGCTTGGATCCCAAAAGGTACAATTCGCAATGCTGTTGTATTCGGCAGAGACTATGACGAAGACAAATATACGTCTGCCATTTACGATGCTGGGCTCGATCAAGATATTGAGAATGGTGTGTTTAGCCATGAAACAGATGTTGGCGAGGGTGGATCTAGTTTATCTGGTGGTCAGCGCGCGAGAGTTGCTCTAGCTCGTGCTCTCTATAGTGGAGACGACACAAAAGTATTCTTACTGGATGACTGTCTTGCTGCATTGGATGCCAGCATGGGTTCCCTTGTGTTCGAGCGGCTGAGGACACGCTTGAAGCGATCTAAGGCTGCCACTCTTATCGTCACAAACGACCCATCATTACCGAGACAATGCGATCGTGTTGTTCTCATGGGACAAAAGCCCGGTGGTTCTTCGTTGTCTTCGTGCTCCACGACCATTGATATTGGCTCGTATGACGAGTTACTTGCAAGGGGGCATCAGCTGTCAAACATCGCAGTATCACTTGGTGAAGCTCGGGACGAGAATCTAGAAATTCCCTTGCCTGATACTAGACATGAAATAAGCCAGGAGGAGGGAAACTATGATGACGGAAATAATGGAGTTCTTCAACTGGTCAAACCGCACAATCCAACTGATGATCCGACCCCAGGAGACAGAATCATTCTTGAACCCGATGCAGAAACTGGCCATGGTCCTATTGCATCAAATCCCGTTAGAGACAACTGTTTGGAAGACATCGATGTATCAAGTTCAAGAGATGATTCAAAGATTCTTTCAGCCGACGAAAAAATGTCTACAGGCGCTGTACCAATGAAAACATACACGAACTATCTCAAAGCCGTGCGAAGCCCCAAGCTAATCGCTGCAATGCTAGTCGCATTTGTTGCCACAAATGGTGCACAATTTTTCCAGCAATATACTGTCGCAAAGTGGACGGAACTTGCTCATGGCAACGCAGTAGCAGGAGCTCTAGGTGGACAGTACTTGAAGTCTCTGGTCTACGCAGCTGGCGCAGTGTCCGTGTTCCTTTGGTTTCGAAGCTACTTCACGATGCTTGTTGGACTGCGGGCTTCGGATTTCTATCATGATCGCATGGTGAGGTCTGTTTTTCGTGCGCCTATGTCTTTCTTTGACTCAACACCCAGTGGTCAAATTTTATCTCGCTTTGGAAAGGAGATGGAAACAATCGATCGGGCACTGCCAGAAAGCTATGCATCCGTTCTCTTTTGTGCGCTGCAGATCTCCAGCTCTGTTTTTGCGCTTGCAGGTGCAGTGACCCCAACAATGATTATCCCGATAATGTTTGCTTCGTTGCTGTACTACAGAACGATGCGGAGATTTCGAAGGGCTGCTCGCGACATGAAGCGAAGTGAAACGAAAACGAGATCGCCAATCTTTACACACTTCGGTGAGACTTTACGTGGGACTGCGACTATCCGTTCGATTCCTGGTGCCGCTCGCACATGGTCAAGCGCTCATCGCAAGCTATCGGATGCAAACTTGTCGGTATATTCGACAGTGAAAGCTCTTGATCGTTGGCTTTCAACCCGGCTTGAAGCACTAGGAAACTTCATGGTTCTGTCGACTGCCATAGCTTCTGTGATTCTTTCAAGAAGTGGACGTCTCCTTCCCGGAAAAGCTGGCTGGGGATTGACTCAATCGCTTGCAATTACTGGGTAAGTATTCTTTACTATGCGACATAGGTACAAAACAATTACTCACTTGTTCTCGGCACTATCGTACGATGTGACCCTCCCAGATTGATGGCATGGGCAGTGAGGAATCTCACAATGCTTGAAAACCACATGATGTCTGTTATGCGAGTGCGTGAGATGACTGATCTTGACGAAAGCGACGGTTCTCTAGACGAGACAACTTCTCCGAAGCTAATGCCAAGAGAACTCTCCGGTGCTGGTGAGGCGGTAAGAATTCAGAATGCTTCAAAATTGCGATCTTCGCCAAAGGACGAAAAGGCGCTGCTTGCTTCTGGATGGCCTTGGAAAGGTGGTGTAAGCTTTCAAAATGTATCGATGCGATACAATTCTGCTTCTCCTTTAGTGTTGAAGAAACTGAGTATTGATGTGCCGGCTGGGAGTACACTAGGTTCGTTTCTATTGTTGTTGACTTGTTCGAAATTCTTCTTCACTCATTTGCCATAGGAGTTGTCGGGCGCACAGGTTCTGGAAAGAGCAGTCTCTTGTTGACTTTATTTCGTATTGTGGAAATTGAAATGGGGGGAAGCATCCAGATTGACAGCGTAGACATACGATCGGTTGGTCTAAAGGCTCTCCGAGAGTCTTTGTCAATTATTCCTCAGGATCCAGTTCTGTTTACAGGGACCGTTCGAACAAATTTAGACCCGACCAGTAAACGATCTGACGATGACATGTGGAAATCGCTTGAGGCAGCTTCACCAGAGCTTGCAAAACAGTTCTACTCCGCTGGCGGACTAGAGACACCAATTACAGAGGGGGGTAGTAATCTTAGCCAAGGGCAACGACAATTGGTGTGCTTGGCCCGGGCACTGTTGCGATCGAGCAAAATCTTGGTTTTGGATGAAGCGACCTCGAGCGTCGATGCAGGTACAGACAAACAAGTTCAAGATACAATCCGTAGCCAATTCGTGGACAAAGGTGTCACAGTAATCACTGTTGCTCATCGCCTCGATACTATCATGAACTATGACAAGGTCGCTGTTCTTGGAGATGGAGCGCTTATTGAGTATGGCGTTCCCGCCAGATTGGCAAATCAATCGGGTGGCGAATTCAAAAGACTCGTGGATGCTGACAGGAAGAATAAGATGCGTGGAGCAAAGAGTGAAAAAGAGGACCTAGTACCTATGTGATTAGCTAGGAGCATCAGCATCAGCCATGGATAGGTGGGATTGAGGCAAGCATCAGTAGTTGAAACGCCACTTGGATTAAGTTTCATAAACAGGATCCCAAACCCAAAGGTTGACTGCATGTAGAAGAAAGCGATTAGACACTAGATGAAGGCATTAATATTGGAATCGAGAACTTACTCAACCACTTTTCACCATCGACGATTGGCTTCGCGGCATGCTGGGAAAAATCATCCAAACTAATGAATATTGAATTTATGTTAGCAATTCAAAAACAAGGTTTCGTCAATCGACTCTGCCAACTTACTTTCCGTCAGGTAACTGGCTGTAAAACAGAACTGCTTTACCCGCTTTTGGAACCACTTGCAGCTGAAAGTCACTTCTTTGTCAGTTTACTTTGTAGAAGACATCAAAACAAAACAAAAACAGCATGCGTTCCTTACCTCACGAAATGTCTGGATAATTTTTTGTTCAGCAACTGTGCGAAAAGCAGAAAACGAAAAAAACAATGAGCACTTACCTCCGCATTCACCCACCGTGGAAATGATGTCTGTCCGCCTTCCATTTCTTCGTTAAGATAAAAGAGAAGAGTTGCGAACCTCGCGCCATTGTAAGGATCGTCAATGCTGGAATACCCGAAGTCATGATGACTGCAAATTGAAAATTAGATCACTCGAACGACCCTTTGCAGTCATTGAGAAGAGCGAAACGAAATTACCTAGTGTACTCTTGGGTCTGGCCATAGTGTACCAATTGCAGAGATTCGCAGGTAGCCTTTTTGGTGGGAACTTCAGGATGTTCATCATCTCCGCGGTACCGCAAGAGACTCTCATCAATGCGAAGAAGGTCACCGCTACGGCGATAAATCGCATCCAGCACCGGTGATCGCTCTCGAGGAACCCAACTATTGAAAGAAGTTCTAGTTTTGGTCCCTTCTTCCGGCTTCACTTTTTCGTTGTTTCGGTTCGAGTTTGAACCAACATCGCCCGTTGTACTCGCCTTCAAGTTAATCCCCCCTGCCAATTCCAAGATGTGTTCGATCTCAGCTTCCGACAAGAAGTTTTCGATCTCAAAGACCCGAGGAGCGCAAGAAAGTGCTCGTAGCGTCATGTTCATCGTTGACTGCCCTTTCACGCGATATTCTGAAAGAGTTCGCTCATCCGAGTCTTTCAAAATTCGAGCACTAGGTTGTATCGATATCGGCTCCAGCAAATCAGCAGGGGGTACTTCTGCAAAATGTGTTTCTTTTGTTGTCACCCACTAACCAATAGAGAAGTGTAGTGAGGAAACTGAGTGTGTGAGACTACCAATAGACAGATGTATTCTCACATGAGTTTGCCCAAAGTAGTCTGATCTCCACATAAAATTCTTGGGGGCCTCTGTGCCATAGTTTGCCAACCATGAACGACCTTTTTTTTTAAATTGCGAAAATCAAAGTGTGAGACCAGAAAGAGTATCCGCTATTAGTCGGTGAGACGAACCCTTCGTACCTGTAAAGTTACGATATTGTTCGTGAAAGGAGAGCGTCTTTTGCCACATGTCATACAGCTCCCTTTCGTCGGTTGATAACACTGCTAGATTGGCTTCGGTCTTTTCTTCATCACCCTCGACAAGGTAAGGATCATACACCATAATATTACCAGCCGGATAGTCCTCAACGACCCACTCTTTCAGTCGAACGTCAGGTTCGTTTTCAGGAGTAAAAAAGAATCGATGGCCTGGGAAACTGGCAGTTCCACCGGATGAGAATGGAGTGTAGAATCTCATGAGAACTGTTGCACCGTTTCCCTCCCAGTAATGTTTCACTTTTTTGTTCTAGGTACCGGTCAAAAGTGAAGGAAGATGAGCTGCACGAACCAGTCGACAAGGAGCTCAGGTGCGAAACGGATCACGTACCGAGAGATTGATGAACTTCGCAGCGAACTACATCAGCGAGAGTGAGTAACTTCTCTACAAAACAGGCAAGATTGTACTTTTTCTTCTTACGCCGTTAAATTTTGGAATCACCTTTTTCCTGCTTCCTTCCGGCTCTTGATAAAACGACGAAACATCAGGTTCTACGTAAGCAAGGAACTGCCTAAAGAAATTCGGATGAAATTGAAAGAATTATCAGTCGATTCCAGCAAGAAAGAAAATCGATGAAACCATGCTTACTTGGGACCGTCACCGACGTCGTACGTAAATTCTTTTAATGCCGGGTCAACTTCACTTGTTTCTGTCCACGAGCAAGTTTGCTCTTCTGAGACAGAAAATCCAAACAGGAAGAATAAAAGCAGTTTAGTTCCACCTCGCATCATTCTTTATTGGGTGAAAACCATCGATTTAATAATTTTCGCGAAATTTCGTTTTCGTTTCGGTCATCGTAGACTCGCTAGACTCACTCGACTTGCAGAAATGACGGGTGATACGAGAACAAATTTTTAAATTGAAAATGGCGGGCTGGTGATATTAAAATTAATATTGAATAATGCACGAGGGATATATGACCTAGTTTAGTTTCTAATAACCGAAGATGCAAATAACATATTCAACATAAAGCTTACGAGTACCAGAGACAGTTACACTACTGTATCTCATACCAAAGGTGAAATACGAAACACACCGAAACAAGATGGCTCCTAGCAGGTCTAATGAAAATCCATTAACGGCACTGGTGGTTGATGTTTCACCCGTTGCTTGGGGTGACAGAGACTTGCGGCGGAGTGCTAGTGATAGACAGAGGAAAGCAGCGGGAAAATCAAGCAGTGGTCAACCTCTAATCCTTGAAGAGCTACTAGTTTCGATACAGGCATTTGCCAGTGCTTTTATCAGTCTCGAGCGTGACTCGGCACTGTTTATCGTTGCTGTTGCTGGGAATGAAGTTTCAGTTGTGTACCCGCGCAAAGATGATTTGGAGGCGTTCTTCTCGAGCAATGAATCGAAACAAGATTCGGGGAAGATGCAGACTCTTTTGATTCAAGGTGTTGCAGAGTTAATTGCAAGAGCTGCAAAAGGTGTGGGAGACATTAAAAATCAAACTACAGCATCTCATGGAGCAATAGCATCTGGGCTTTCTGTTGCGCTGTGTCTAGTCAATAGATTTCTTGTGGCGACAAACGCTGGGCTATCAGCCCTACGTTCCGAGCATGCCTGGAATCGCGGGAATGCGGATGACGAAGGTGTGATTGCAGCAATAGGAGGTATTGACAGAAAATCATCAAACAAGCGAGCTCGGGCCTGGTCCCCTCGCGCCTTAGTGATTCAGGCTTCAGATGACAGGCCAAGCGACTACAATGCCATCATGAATTGTGCTTTTGCTTCCGTCAAACACCGTGTAGTTGTCGATGGCTGCTTCTTAAGATGCGATGATACCAGCGCATCAAGCGCGTTTCTTGAACAAACTTGCGATTTGACCGGTGGTCTTTTCCTGGTAAGCCTTTGCCTTTCATCATGTCCTTCCCTTGACGACTGAAGATTTCTCAATCCCTTTGTGAAATATGAATCTCTCAAAGCCTTTAAGTGCTGCTGCACAAGCGAACAAGGCATTGACAGAGGTGCTACTCAGTGTTTTTCTACCTCCAAGATCCTGTCGAAACAAACTGAATCTACCTGCTATAAATGAAGTTGACTTTCGGGCTAGGTCTTTCGATACAGGTAAATCTACAAATATTGCATTTGTCTGCAACCAATGTTTGAGCATTTTCGAGGAAAAACCAAAGAGATCATGCCCAACATGTGGAGCTGAAATCAGGTCTAAGAAGAACCGTGGTACTTAGCGTTGAAGATAATAAAAACCCAAAATGAGTTTTTACGTGGAAGATGTCAATCTAATTTGTTTATTTTACATTGATGGAGCTGCAAGTTGAGCCACGTGCAACTCAGATTTCTGTACCCCTGGGAGAAAAAATAGCAAATGCGGATCCACTCACTTGTTCCAATACTTTCATCTTACCTAGAAGACTAGTGAACAGCCGATACTAAGTTTTCAGAAGGTATAACACGTACATGTCACTAGCGGTTTGTGCTTCATGGGAATTATTTTTTGTCGAAGAACTGTTGGACAAGATGCGCAGCTCTTTGGCCGCTGATAAGTGCCCCGTGCACGCTACCCATGTGCTCTGATTCCGTTGCTTCGCCAGCAAAGATAAGCCTCCCTTCCCATTCTGGAGCGCTAAAGGCATCCACATGACGTTCCAGCGTTCCCAGTTTTACAGAACTGTAAGACCCTTTCGTATAAGGATCTTCTTCCCATCTTGTGACATGGCAGTGTGTGCATAGCTCTTCAACGTTTTCAATCGGCATCGTATCTTCAAGGTATTGAATGACAAAATGCATTAATTCTTCAGTTCTTTTCCCTGTTGCCCACTCCCCTAGATCACCACATAATACTGCCTCCATACACGGCACGCCGTGTTTTGCCCAGAGATTATTGACCAGGAGATACTTGCCTTTCTTGTCGGGTTCGTTTTCCTCTCGAATCAGCCCAATTAAGGGTTCATCTATCGGCCAGAAAATGGTGCTAAACGTCAGGAACACTTTCTTGTAGTTTCCAGCTGAAATCGCGGACACAGCTTCCAATTTCTCTTGCGTCAAACTGGGCTGGAACACGGAGGATGCTGTAGACTGCAGACACCCGAGAGGAAGAGTACAAACGCAACAATCTGCAATTACAACCAAGCCCGACGATGATTCAACACGCACTGAGTCGTTCAGTCTGACTATCTTGTCTACCTGTTGTTCCAATAGAACCCTTCCCTCTAACTTGGACACCAATGGATCTAGAACTGATCGCATTCCGCTCTTAACCTTGCAGTGTGGTCCAGGATAATCACCGTGGTTTGAATATGTGTGATCATTCAAGTCCTGGTTATCATCGTCATTGAAAAGTGAGTAGAGAGGGAGCAGAGAGGAAGAAATTCCGTTCCAATTTTCATTCAAAAAGGTATAGAATGGACATAAGCGCTCGACGGCTGTATTCATCGGAAAAATTGCATTCTCTTCTCGAAGGACTATTGAACGGGCCTCTTCCACACTCAGGTGAACAGTCTTCATACCCTCTCCGTCTTCGAACATCTTACCAGCATATTCGGAAATCTTCCTTTGGATTGCATAGTGTCTCTTGAGAGCCTCATCAATTGTTGCTGAACCGTTGGGGATGCGTTCTTTATTCGCAAAGATTGCGATGGCTCCTTCGTTGTGCAAAATACTCATCGGCCTCATCCACGCATTGCCTTGAAAAATTATATCGACTTCACCATTAGTGTCCCGATCACGATCTCGAAGCAACTGGACCATAGGATTCTCGTTTCCGTCTTCTCCCAGCCCATGAATCCACGACGCCCCATGATCTCTGTAGAATCCACGATGCCCCATGATCTCTGTAGAGTATATCCTACCACCAACCCTGTCGCGAGCTTCCACGACAACAAAAGAGAGCTCTGTGTTGTCCTTCAAATCTGCAGCGCATTGAAGACCGCTGGCCCCTGATCCAATGATCACAACATCAACCTTTTGCATAGCGTAGCCCTTTCCATTGCCCATCTCTGCCACGCGCTGAAGTCAATCTTGAAACCCATGCTCCATTGGGAGTACGCTAAGCAATACAACCAATGTCGGTATACGATAAGCCGGCATTGCTGAGTTTCCAAGCATAGACAGGATGAACCACCAGTCAGTGACTGAAGAAGGCCGTACCAGGTACGCGTACCACTCTGTAGTAATCGTGGTATGACGCATGACAGACTTCGTCTGTACTTCGTTCCTCCGTCACATGTGTTGATATGTTACAAATATAATAAAAAACTAAAAAAGTCTCATTACAACAGATTGGTGCACGTACCTGGTACGTGTACACGTGTGCCAGGCCTTTTGTACGGCCTGCCTTCAGTACCAGCGAACTTTTGACCGGTATTCGTACGGTAAGTTTGAAAGAGGTAAACCCGGATATTTCGAACAATTCAAAATCTCAAGTCCAACAAACCAAAGAAATGCCACTCGCCAGACTGACTCCTTCCATGGTTTATTGTACGGCATGAATACAACAGTCAACCAAAGTCAGGAAAAGGATGCAGTCGTCTCATATCTCAGTGCAGAGCCTTTGGCCTTCATGGGTTGTTGTAAGGATTACCGCCATTGCCTCTCTTGGTGGCGTCTTGTTCGGTTATGATAGTGGGTGCATTTCAGGTGCTCTTCCGCAGATACAGGAATCACTAGCTTTGGACAGTGGGCGTTCGGAATTGATTGTGTCTACCCTCTACTTTGGGGCGGTTTTTGGTGCTGTGGTTGGCAGCAGCATTTGTGATTTGTTTGGGAGACGAACGACAATCTTGTTGACTGATGTTGTCTTCATCATTGGTGCTGTCTGTCTATTTCTCTCAACCAACTATGCAGACATAATTTTGGGAAGATTTATCGTTGGTATAGCTGTTGCTATTTCTGGTATCGCTGATGTGAGTTATTTGCACGAGATTTCGCCAATCGAAATCAGAGGAGCTATTGTCAGCGTAAATGAAGCTTCAATTAGTCTCGGTTTTCTTTTAGCATACGTATCAGGCTTTATCTACAGGAGTGCTGCAGACGAAGAATATAGGATGATATTTGGGTGGGCTGGTGCGGTAGCCATGATACAATTTTTCGGCATGATAAATTTGCCAGAAAGCCCTGTATGGCTCGACAGCCAAGGGCGGAAACAGGAAAGCCAGGCTGCTCAAAGTATGATAAGCGGAATCCCTTCCACAGCGACTATCGACCCAATTGGCCAGCCCCATATAAGAGACAGCATTGGGTCGTCTTGCGATCAAGGGAGAGTAAAAAATTCGGACGGTATGGAATACCATGAAGCAAACGATGCTTTTACCCAGCCCTTTCTCAACCGAAGGCAATCGGCCACACAACTTTTCAAGACTTATCGAAGGCAAATGATTATTTCTCTGTTCCTATCTACCACACAACAGTTCTGTGGACAAGCAAGTGTCATCAACTATGCTCCCTATATTTTCGCCTTGAGCCACAATGAAAATAGATCAGTGCACCTGCAAACATTGTCCATTGGTCTTGTGAAATTCGCTGTTACGGTCATCGTTGTTCTGCGAATCGAGAAATTTGGACGACGGGCACTGCTTCTTGGAGGAATGTTCCTCATATCCATCGGGCAGTTTTTTTTGGCTCTTGCGTTCAGTGGATTGGATGGAAACTCAGACTTTTCGATCAACGGTGTGATTCCCCATTTGGCGCTACCTGGCGCATTGCTTGTCGTTTGCGGTTATTCCATGTCTTTTGGACCACTCGGCTGGCTGCTAACCTCAGAACTATTTCCAACTGAATTTCGCGCGAGAGCACTCGGAATGAGCACCATCGTCACATATCTTTGTGCGTCGATGGTAACGAATACATTTTTGACATTCCTTTCTGAAATCGGAGCGTCAGCTACGTTTGCGACTTACGGTATTTTCAACACTTTGGGAATGGTCTTCGCATTCTTGGCTATTCCTGAAACAGATGGGAAAAGGGTAGAACAGATTGAAGTGTCCATGCAAGAAATGTGGTGGTGGAAAGTCGGTGACCATCACTCGCAATTCGAGAACGACTATAGGTCAATGTCCACTGAAACGCCCCGCCCTGAAATGACTAGATGAATGAATCGATCATCGACCAGTGGCGATATTAAATGAAGCAAACCATCAGTTCATATCTCGAATTGCTATAGGCATTGGGCAAGTCAGATGCATTTCGATCCTCAACAGACATCGGTATCTATTTAGTTAGAACGACTAAAACTGTCTCTGTATCTCAAAAGACGTGTATTGACGCATGATACTGCAACTATGGAACTAATACTTGTATCATACAATTTATCGGTTACGTGTATTAAAATACCGTAATGTGGTACCGGTACAGTTGTAGAGCTTTCGAGTTTTCAAGTGCGCCAAAAATAATTCCTTCTTCTGTACGGTACCGGTACCTGGTACCGTTCGTGTATTTCGGTATCACAATATACAGTACCGTACCCGTACGAGGGGTGAAGTAAAACTTGAACGAACCCAGTTTCAACAGCATTTCTTCAATCTCCTCAACACTGAACGTTGTTGTTGCCATGGTGGACGAGACTATCGATCACCTGCAAGTTGTGGGCGATTTCAAGCATGGATCAATCAAGCGTATCAAGCTAGTGAACTTTCTGACCTATGCATACGTCGAATTCAATGCTGGGCCAAGGTATGACAGTGCTGTGTGAAATTTATGGTGTCATATTTGCAACATCCCATCGCTCATCCTTTTGTTTAAACTCGTCTCGTGTAGGCTTAATATGGTTTGCGGTCCAAATGGAACAGGGAAGTCTTCTATTCTGTGTGCAATTTGTCTGGGGCTTGGTGGAGAACCTCGTCTGCTGGGCAGAGCCTCGGAAATTGAAACCTTCGTGATGAATGGCGAAGACGAGGGCCAAATTGAAATCGAGCTTGTCGACACTAGAGGAAGGGACAATCCCATCATCAATCGCACAATCCGTCGGGAAAAGGGAGCGAACAAACATCCTTTTACTTGGGGTGGAAAACAGGTCTCTGCAAAGCATGTCCGTGAACAATGCTTGAAGGAATATGACATTACTGTCGACAACTTGTGCACCTTCTTACCGCAAGACAGGGTCGGCAGTTTCAGTGGCTTTGATTCGAAACAACTCCTCGTTGAAACAGAGAAATCCTTGAGCTCTTCACAACATCTATATCATGTCCACCAAGAATTGATCAAGGACCAAGAGAAGCTCGATGGAGGTGAGAATCAGGTAGACACTCTTCGAGATCGGATCGAACAACTCAAGAATGAAACAAGACGGTTTGAGCGTGAAAAGGAACGAATGAGAGAGAGAGAAGAAGCTATGAAGCAAGCAGAATTGCTAGAAAAGAAGATATTATGGCTTGAATTTGACAACTGTCGAAACGAAGCCGTGGAATTAAAGGAATTGAAAACTCAGAAAAAAAACGCTTTTCGTGAGTTGTTATCACAAAGTGAACCGTTGCAAGATAGGCTTAAACAGCTATCAAACGACCTGCGGAATCAAGAGGAAATGTACAAGGCTCTGGACAAAGAGGTTCAGAACCACCAAAAGGAAATGCAGAAACAAGCAGCAAAATATGAAAAACATGATGATAGCATCGAAAATCTGTTGGCTGACCTCAATCAACTCGCTTCGGCACGAAAGCATCAACAACACAAAGTAGACCAGCTTCGAATGAAGGTGGAGGAAGTTGAACAGAAGATTTCAGAGTGCAACTCTATGGAAAACTTGGAGGAAGAATTGCGAATTGCACAGGAAGAAAGGAAACAGATCAACCCCATGTTACAATCGGCAAAAGATGGAGAGCGAAAGCTTTCTGAAAAAGCACGAGAAATCGCAGAGGAGAGAAAGGTGCAAGAGAACAGGTGGAAGCAGCTACAAGACGAAAAGGCGCAACGCCAAGCAAATGTTTTCCGCCAGCAGCAACCACTCAAGAAAGCCTATGACTGGATTCAGCAAAATCGAGACAAATTCAGAAAGGAGGTTCTTGGTCCTGTATGCTGTGAAATCACACCCAAGTCTAGGAATTGTGCAGCCTATGTGGAACAACATGTCTCGAACAACACGCTGAAGGCTTTTGTTGTTCAAACCAGAGATGATTACGATCTGCTCTACAAGAATATTCGGCAGAACATGAAATTACCTCTACAGCTCGTATTGGTCGAAGACTTTGATGCAGCTCCCAAAAGAAAGTACTCAGCAGGAAAGATGCAGATGCTGAAGCAGGATCATGGAGTCATTGGTTACTTGGACGAGTCTTTCACTGCCCCGCCAGTGGTAATGGCAGCACTACGAAGCAGACATGCCGTCCACGATGTTCTAGTTGGATCTGATAGCACGCAAGAGAGTATTGATAAGCGGCATTTGGGACAACTGTTATCGGAACCGGAAGATGGAAGCGGTAGACTCCAACAATATTGCATCTTTACCTCTCAAGGTGAAAAATCCTTTCAATATCTTGCATCGGTTTCAAAATATTCTAAGAAATCGAATCTTAGAATTGATGATGTTAGACCAGCGAAGTGGCTGGCACCAGGTGTCAGCGATACGCGAAAGCAGCAAGTGAAAGACTTGTTGGATAAATGTGACAAAGAGCTCGATTCGATTCGGCCAGAGATTGAGAAATACAGGGCGGACTTACAAATCTACCAAGAACAGGCAAAATCAAGTCTGGATCAGATAAAGTCTGCGAAGGAAAACATCAATGTCTTGCGCAAGTTCATTACGAGAAAGCAAAGTCACGCCAAGAAATTGAAGGAAGAAGAAGCTAAACTTTCAGTCGACAACGAAGAAGAAAAGAGAGAGAAAGTCGAAAAGTTAGACGCAAGAGTTCGTGGCTCACTGGAAGCTTTGAGTTCTCATGGACAGAGCTTCAAGAAAATGATGCTGGCGACGTCCAAAAGTTCTGGCGCCCGCCTGAACAAAGAAGTTGTAGCTGTGGAAGAAAGAAAGGCCAGGTACGCTACCAGTGTGTTGAAATCTGTTGACAATTCGAAACAATCTCACAAACGTTTTGTATGCGAATAGTGCTGAATTCGACGAAATGAACCGGAAGGTTCAAGCCGCACATCAAGAATCGGAAAGAGCAAAAGAATCATTCAACAACAAGAGACGGGAGCTTCAGCAGCGGAAAACAAGAGCAGAGGCAGAAGCACCGTTAACGGATAGTAATGGTGAACCTCTGCCCCTGGAACAGCAACTAAAAGATATCGTCATTGAAGACTTGGAGAACGCAAACATAGCTCTAGAAGAAGCGCAGCAAAAGATCGAGTCGATTGTTGCTGATCCGAACGTGGTTAGAGTCTACGAGACAAAGAAGGCAGAGATGGAAGCGGCAGAAATGGAGCTCGAAAACTTGACCAGCTCTCGCGAAAAAACTCTCATAGAAATTAGAACAAAGTATTCACCGTGGATGAAAGCGCTTGAAGCATCGGTTTCTGATATCGACAAGAGATTCAGCTCCTACATGCGAGAATTGGGATGCATAGGTATGTCGTATTTTGAAATGTAAAAGTGTCTGCTTGCAAAAACTTTGTTCTCATTGGCACCAACACATATCCAAGGCGAGGTAGGGCTTACGCGAGGAAACCAAGGCGAAGGTTCCGAGTATGGTAACTTTAAGGATTGGGGTATCGAAATCCGTGTGAGCTTTCGCGAAAATGCGAAACCACAAGTCTTGTCAGCCAGAGTCCAGTCTGGTGGTGAACGCTCTGTTTCCACAATCATGTATTTGATGGCGTTACAAGAAATGATGGTATCTCCATTCCGATGCGTTGACGAGATCAATCAAGGTTAGTTTGTTATTTCAGTTTCATGGCTGAGATATTGACTACTTCTAACCGGAATCGCTTGTTCAAGGTTTGGATGATCGTAACGAGAGGTTGGTCTTCAAGAGGATCGTCGAGAATTCCTGCAAACCGCCAGGGCCAGAGGGGCTTACTGACCACTGCGGTCAGTACTTTTTGATCACTCCAAAGCTGCTCCCAAATCTAGTCGACATGGAGGTTGAAGCGATTACCATTCAGTGTATTTTCAATGGTGAGTATTTGTTTTCGTTTTCGTTTTGCCGGAGTCGCTTGCAATACTGTTCTAATTCGACATCGTTTGTATCTCTAGGCCCCTTTAACTTGAAACACCCTAGCGACTGGAATGTCCGGAGCTTGATCGCTTTGCGAAACAACGAGATCGAAAATCAGGTCACTGATGAAGAAGGAGATTACCAAGAGCAGTCCCCAAGCAAGAGAAGAAAGCTCGACACTCAATAAAGAACCAACCTTGTACCTAAATAGCTGTCATGTTTGATTGCATCTTTCCACCGCCAATCTTGGTGTCTGCTTCTATAAAATATAATGCCTGTATCTACAGTACATACTGGTATTAATACCTGGTACCTATGTACAGAAGACTAATTAGTCAGTCTGCCTGTATCACCGGACGTCTGACGGACTGTTTAGTCGAGTCAGTCTGTTTCGTCGCACATCTTCTGCATTCTTCTTGCTTCTGTGACAAGGTCGACTTGGAATCGTAAAGCACAACAAAGGTTTGAGTTCAGTGCCCATTATATACCTGTTGGCTTCGCTTTTGCATTTACTTTGCACTCAAGACCTGAAGCAAGATGGGTAATATGCCAGGTGGAATGGGAGAGGGCGGCCCTCCCTCAGATGGCCGAAACGGTAAGGACGACGATGACAAGGTAAAGAAGAAGAAGAAGCGCTTCGAGCCCCGTCCTGCCAATCGTCAAGGTCGTCGTCGACGCCGAAAGGGTCCATCTGGACTCAACAAGACTCCAACGATCCTTCCTACTTCGAAGTGTAAGTTGAGATTGCTCAAACTGGAGCGAGTCAAGGATTACCTGTTGATGGAGCAAGAGTTTATTCGAAACCACGAGGTGTTCAAGCCACACGAAGAAAGGGATCAAGAGGAACGCGAAAAACTCGAAGAACTGAGAGGTAGCCCGCTTGGAGTTGGGAATCTCGAAGAGTTGATCGATGACAATCACGCTATTGTCAGTTCTTCTGTTGGACCTGAGTACTACGTCAATATTTTGAGTTCCGTGAATCAAGATCTTTTGGACCCTGGTTCAAGCGTTTTGTTGCACAACAAGACAATGAGCGTTGTCGGTATATTGCAAGATGACACGGATCCAATGGTTAGTGTCATGAAAGTGGAAAAGGCTCCCCTGGAAACATACGCAGATATCGGTGGGTTGGAGGATCAGATTCAAGAGATCAAGGAAGCTGTGGAACTGCCGCTCGCTCACCCAGAACTATACGAAGATATCGGAATCAAGCCTCCAAAGGGTGTGATTCTGTACGGTGAACCTGGTACCGGAAAGACACTTCTTGCGAAGGCAGTTGCGAACCAAACGTCGGCCACCTTTTTGCGTGTGGTCGGATCAGAGTTGATCCAAAAATATCTTGGTGACGGTCCAAAGTTGGTCAGGGAGCTGTTTAGAGTTGCAGACGATTTATCGCCGACTATTGTGTTTATTGATGAAATTGATGCTGTTGGAAGTAAGCGTTACGATTCGTCCAGTGGAGGTACCAGAGAGATTCAAAGAACAATGCTCGAGCTCTTGAATCAACTGGATGGTTTTGATGAACGGGGGGACGTGAAGGTAATCATGGCAACCAACAGAATTGAGTCATTGGACCCTGCATTGATTCGACCTGGCCGTATCGACCGTAAAATCGAATTTCCACTGCCGGATACCAAGACAAAGCGACACATTTTCAACATTCACACAAGCAAAATGACTCTTGCAGACGACGTGGACCTCGAGAAATTTGTCATGTCAAAGGATGAGCTCAGTGGGGCTGATATCAAGGCAGTGTGCACAGAAGCGGGTATGTTAGCTTTGCGAGAACGTCGCATGAAGGTCTGTCAAGAAGATTTTGTAAAGGCCAAAGAGAAGGCCCTCTATCGAAAGAAGGGAAATGTACCAGAAGGACTTTACCTTTAAAATCATGCTTAGTTTACTTTTTTATGATCGTGCGTGACGATTAGATTAGCCTACCGGTACCCTATAGTGTCTATCCACTGGTTTCCGTGCAACAAGTGGCGCACATGCTTTTGTTTTAGTCGTCCATCCATCTGTCAAAACCTGCACAATCCACAATCTTACAGTATCTGTTCCAGGTACAATATCCCGCTCCACAACCCTCTCAACTGTCGACAATTCACTCTTTATCGTTATCTCTTTTCATAGAAATCAGAGAATGTCAAAGTGGACAGAGGAAACTCTTGCTGAGGCACTCGGTGGCGTTTTGCTAAAGGACATAGACGGCTTGGACGAAGATTTGGTCTCCTACATCGCTGGTTCTTTATCAACCCAAATCGAAGAGGGGCAATCGTGTGAAGAAGTTTTGGCGGATACTCTCAGCCAATTTCTTGAATCCCTCGATATCTCGGACGACCAAAAGGAACTGCTCATGAAAGATGCGGAGGCTGCAATTTCATCTGTCGAAAGTGGCAATGTTTCAAGCAGTTCAACGGCCCCAAAGAAATTGAAACAAGGCATAGTGAACATGTCATCAACTTTGAGTGATCAAATAGAGAACGAATCCAATGAAATACTTTGGGGCTCAGGAGAAAAAGTCAAAGCGAATGCAAATGCTCAGATTGATGCCTATCACGACAAGACATCTGCGAAGGACAGGAGAAAGCAACGCCAGGATTTGCAAAAATCGCGTCGAGATTTGGCTCAAATGGAGCAGGCGGAGCAAAATGTTACCAAAGCTGGTGTCAGTTCAATGCTTATTCCTACTGCGAAGGGTAAAGAAAGAGATGTTTTGCTCCAAAACGTTTCTGTTTCTCTAGACAATGGCAAGGTGCTGTTAGATGGAGTGGACTTGAAATTCGCGTATAAGCGACGCTACGCTGTTATTGGCGAGAACGGTGCCGGAAAGACGACCTTGCTGCAACACATTGCCGCGTGGAAGTTTCCCGGTTTTCCGACTCATCTCCGAGTGCTACACGTCCGCCAGGAACTGAGCACAGAGAGTGAAGAGACGACCTGTCTACAAGCAGTATTGGAAGCTGATGTTGAGGTCCAGGCGCTGCGACAAGAAGAAAAGCGTCTTCTTGCCCTCCTGGAGCATCAGGATGAAGGAAGCGAAGACGTCGCGGCGATTAAGGATAGATCGTTGATTGAGAAGGCGGAAGGGACTGACGACAACTTTAACCGCGAATTAGAACGACTGAAGGAAGTCTATGAGCGTTTGCAGCTTTTATCGGCCGACACAGCCACGTCCCGCGCTTCCATGATATTGAGCGGCCTTCAATTCACACCTGAGATGCAAATCTCTCCCCTGAAAAGCTTATCAGGAGGTTGGCGTATGCGCGTTGCTCTTGCTGCAGCATTACTTGTAAGTTCCCTTCAGTCCATTGACTTCATGATATTCCTTTGTTGATTACCCTCACTAAACATATGCTGTAGATTGAACCTGATTTGTTGATGCTCGACGAGCCTACAAATCACTTGGATTTGGAAGCTGTTATCTGGCTTGAGAGGTACCTCCAGGATTATCCCCATACCGGTACGTTATAATCGCTCATGAATTTCGGTTCATCTTCTACTTACCCATGAGCATTGTTCGCCTCATACCAATTTTCTTTAGCTATTATTGTTAGTCACGATCGAGGCTTCCTCAATGCAGTTTGCACCGTAAGTCTACACGGATTATTTCAAAGCTCATTTCAGTAAACAACTGCTGTGCTAAAACAATTTGTTGGATGTTGGTTACAGGACACGATCGAGCTCAAGCATAAAAAGCTGATTTATTGGAGAGGTAAGCAAAGCTTAGAAATCATTGCCATTATCTTGCTATTGCAGTCCTTCGTGATGCTGTTTCTGACCTATCGTATTAAAAGGTAACTTTGATATGTATGTGAAACAACGAAATGAAAAGCAAAAGAACGAGGCACGCTTGTACGAAGGTAAGCTACGACCATTGCTGGTGCATCTGTCCGCTCGAAGAAGTTTAAGCAATTTCTAGCTTACACTTTCCCTTTTTTCAAGCGTACAAAACAAAGCGAGACCATATGATGGAGTTTATAGAAAAGTTCCGAGCCAATGCAAAACGAGCCAGTATTGTACAGAGTCGCATCAAAGCAGTAGAGAAGGTATGCTTAAATTTGCCCATTGATTTGCCCATTGATACATTCGTTGCTTTTGTCAAGCTGAATATGTACTCCCTTTTTCAGATGGACGCTGAAGCACCAGCACCGGTTGTTATGGAGCCAGTATGGCGTTTCAACATCCCAAGTTCGGCCCCCCTGAGCCGCCCAATTATCTCTGTCAATGATGTTTATTTTGACTACTCACCAAAGACTAATGATGGTTTAAACAAGAGCGAGTCGCAGTTTCTCCTGCAAAAAGTTAACTTTGGAGTGGACCTCGACTCTAGGATTGCCATTTTGGGAAAAAATGGCGAAGGCAAAACTACCTTGTTGAACATCATCATGGGCCTCGTCACACCAATCAAAGGGACAGTAGCCGTCAATAGTGGACTTCGTATTGGCCACTTCACACAACAGCACGTTGACTCGTTCTCGCTCGGCCTCAGCGCGGTTGAAAACTTATTAAACAAGTTCGAAGGCGTTGACGAGCAAATCGTTCGAAGCTTTTTAGGCAAGTCGTTGTCATCAAATTTCTGTCTTTTTGTGTCAGTGAGGTTCTCAATATGTCCTTTTGATTTTAGGCAAGTTTCAAATACAGGGAAACGATGCAATAAAGCCGATGTCCCTCTTGTCTGGGGGTCAAAAGGTAGAGTCTTATGAAGTTTACTTTTGTATCAACCCTTTTCTACACAGACTCACAGTGTTTTCATTTCATCCAAGTCTCGAGTTGCATTTGCAACTTTGGCATTCAAAAAGCCCCACATACTGATCATAGACGAAGGTAGGTATCGTATACTGAAGCGTTTTCCGTAAAGGCTGACACCAACTAACTCCTGCGTGCCGACAGGAAGTAACCATTTGAGTATGGACGCCGCAGATGCTCTTGTTGAAGGTATAGTATTCGGAGTATCGCTTTTCAATGACGGCTTGCGACAAAGACTGACAATAATATTCTCTGCCTTCGCAGCTGTGAAAGACTTTAAAGGAGGAGTGATGGTTGTCTCACATGATCAGCATTTCGTCAGCAATACATGCACCGAGTTGTGGGTGGTTTCCCAAGGGTAAGATGTCAACTGCTGCTGCTCTAACCAATCGACAGACCAGTCGATCCAGTTTCACGTGGGCATCCTTAAACTTTTGGCAACTAACCACTTTCTCTGGGTTTCTCGCTTCATCGTTTCAGCAAAGCGACCCGGTTCAACGGCACATTTGATGAATACAAAGAGCAAACGGCAAAAGAGACAAACAAGAGAGTTGAAGGTACGATTTACTAAATGGGCTTTGCTTTATCTTCCGCCTGCTGAATTCCTGCTCTCACCCCTTCTAATGAAGAATCTGTCAAACGAATGGCGCAAATTAACAACTAGATCTGCAACAAGCGAGCTTTTAGTTATTTTGAAACGTTAGCACAATCAAATCACTAAAAACCCTCGTCTGTTTCGGCCAGCATAAAGCTCAGAAACTTCTCACGTACGTTGGCGCCTTCTAGCGCATCAACATCTGTTTTGGAAGGCGGCAGCGGGGCAGCAATCGCTCCGACAACTCTCGATCGAACCGATTCTATATCCATGTGCGTCAGATGCACCTTGTCCCGTTCGTCTTCGTTGAAGTGTAAAACACTGGCCATCAATTCAAGCACTTGTTGTCTTTTACCCTTGTCCTTCATTGTGCACCAGTCGAGCAGAATATTCTTCATTAGGGTGCGATCGATTACGTCCTCTTGACTGGTTTGCAACCTGTAGATTGCTTCGTCAAGAGACCTGCGCATTTGGGTATTCTCCGATTTCAGCTTGTTGATATGGGTTTCTAGAGACCTCAATTCGTCCATTTTATGTCTCACGGCTGTGTCAGCAACGTCTTGAAGCTTTTTCAACTCATGGTTGTGAGCATCACGAAGGGCTGCGATAGCCGCATTATGAGAAGACGCAAGTGCTTTCTCAGCCTCAGCTCTTTGCTGTTCGAGAAGCTCCAACTCTGCACGCCTCTCGTCTTGGAACGCCTCAAGAGCATCACTGAGATTATTATTAGCCACCGTCATTCGATCAACATCTGCTCTCGCAATCTCAAGGTCAGCCGTTGACGCCGCTAGTTGGATTTTGACGTCTCGTAGTTCAGAAATGGCTTCATCGCGCTCCGTTTCAATTCGTGTGTTCGACTGCATAGCTGATTCAACAACGTTTTCGTTATGCTTTCTTTCCCTGTCTCGTTCTTCCCTCAGTACTGTCAGCTCCATCTAAGCAATGCTCAAAGTGAGGAGACGACATCCAAGCGAAAACCAAGCCGATGATGACATACCTGCATTCCACTATACTTCTCCGCCTCTTCTTCAAGCTGTGCTACACGTACTTTCAACTCTTCGCATTCATGCTCTAGCTCGTCAACGTGATCTTGTAGTTCATCTGCTTCCGCTTCAGCTTCTTCCTCTCCCTCTTGGTGTTTTGTCATTTTCGATTCTAAATCCCGAAGCAACTCTTTGAGATCAGCGATTTGATCGTTGCGTTCATCCAGCAATGCAAGTGTATGTGCAACCTTGTCTTCTGCAGATCGCACAGACCTCTCCTCTCTCTTTTGGTGCTGTACTAGTTGGCCCTCATGTGCTTTCTGAGAAGCAGCAAGGTTTGCCTCTGCCCTTTCTGCGCGTGCGTCGCTTTCCTCGATTATTGCTTTGAATTTTGTTTGCTGGGTAACCAATTGAGTTCTAACCTTCGCAATTTGTTCATTCAGTGAGTGCATTTCCAACTGTCTCTCTTGCTCGATTCGCATAATTTCCTGATGGTGTTCTTCTGTTGTAGCTCGCAACAACCGCGCTTCTTTCTCTTGAAAGGCTACCATTAGTTCTTCTCTCGCTGAATTCACGTGCTTTTCATCCTGACTCGCCCTTTCTTGTAACTCCGCAATTTTTTCTTGTGCTTTGTTCAGTTCCTCCATCAGTCGTTTGTTTTCCATGGCGAGACCATCGTGCATCAGTTCGTTGGGAAGAATTCCAGACTGACCGCTGACTTGTTCGGGAACATTGCTCCTGTCAATTTCAGAGGTGGAGCCTGGGGCATTGACTTGGCTTCTTTGGCTCACACTTTTTGTTGTTGCTACAATGGACGTCTTAGATGTAGACGACGGGACCATGTCTTCGTACTTCGGCGATGCAGAAATAGACTTTTCAGGCTCTTTCTCGTCTTCCGTTGCCCTCGTCGTTGCAACTGTGTCTATTCGTCGATCTAGCGAACTGTCGCCACTCCAAGTGTCATGATCTCCTTTCTCTAGGCCTTGTGTTGATAGCTTCTGTGGTGCCGGGTCATGCAACTCAGCTCTGGAAGTTTCGGGGATTAGGGGACTGGTGTTGTCGCTTGACCCGGCAGCAGGGATAGTCGCATTATCTACACTTCTTTTTGGCACGTTACCTGGACCCAAAGTCGATTTTTTTTCGCTCAATCCCTTGTGCTGTACAGATATTGCCGGATTTCCAATTGACTTTGACGAACCAAATTCTGCTGTTGAATTGCTATCAACTTGAACTGGAACTCTTTCCGATTTCATATAAATGTCGTCGTTCGTTGGGATTACTGGGTCAGTATGCTTGGCGCTATCTTCCTTTACTTCAACAGTATTCGGAAGAGTTGCAGTGTGGCCAGAAGTGTCTTTACGATCGTTCTTTCCAATCGTCGCGTGACTCAATGCAGCATTGGAGGGTATCAGAGATTCATCATTATTTTCTCCTTCAACTTCATCATCAAGGTCATCATCAACTTCAGCTTCATCGATCTCCTTGTTATCATCCAAAACACGAGAAATTAAGCCAACAAACCCAAGTCCTCCATGACCCACGCCACCGCCGTCATCGTAGTCTTCATCCTCATCCTCGTAATCGTCGTACTCCTCATCATACTCCTCCTCCTCATCATCGTCGTCGTCGTAGTCATCTTCTCCAGGCGGTGGGGCGACAGCATTTCCAATCTTCTGGAGAGTGGAATTGAGATCGTTTGCCCCTAAACGGCCTGCAAGATTTCCCCACATGATCTTCAATGATGTTTTGAGTGGGTATATTTTTGGTGCAGTAAGTGAACAATCCAGTCAGACGTGTCGAATAATCAAAATGACACAATGTAATAAGGTAGGTATGTGCTGTACTATGCATTTATTTCATGCTATCGAAAGATGGAGTAGTATGCAAGCCCGATAAAGCTTGCAATTGCATACCCTAGATTCCCTACTAGAACAGCTGGTATTTCGAGAGACTTCCAGCGATTTGCCTTGGCCAAAGCAACGCTTGTTGCAGGGCCACCTATCGCAGCGCTCGATGCCACAAGCAGTCGTTGCCTGCAAAGTTGACCATTTGAGCCCCCCAAAAATTGATTCAACCCAGCAAGAATGAGCCCATGTATCGTGTAGAGTAAACTTAAGAAAACTCCCAATGGAACGGCGGAAGCCTTTACCGTTTCGGCCAACCTTATTCCAGGAGCTCCTGCGGTCGCAAAGAACAAGTACAGAAAAGAAGTTCCCAACATCTCAGAGGTCTCTCGTAGTGGCCCCATCCAAGAATTGGGTACTATGGATGTAAACAAGACTGTTGCAACCGAGCAAAGTGGCAATGCTGCAGACTTTCCGCCTAGCCGCTCACTTAGTGATAGCAGAACACTTGAAATAAATAGCACCAGTGTTGTTTTTTGAAGAGTAATCGATTCATCTGATTTTTGAACCGTAATGTCAGTTGAATCAGACTCAAGATCTGGTAGTCCACTGCTGAGAGCGTTTGTTATCGGGAAATAAACGAGAGCAAATATGTTGTCAACACAAAGGCCAGCTGCTACCGCATTTGGACTTGCATTCAACGCTTGTGTGACGGCAACATAGTTCAGACCTCCGCCGACGTTTTTCGCCAATAACGCTGCCGCGATAATTAGTCCATCTCGACCAAGAGCTGCACATAACATCGAGCGGCACAATAACCAGCCGATCAAACAGGCAATAATAGTTGCAGCGGACGCGTATAAGAAAGATACCAGCAGAGGTCCACAGCGCGATGCACACCCACGCAGATCCGCGCCCAAAAGAATCAGAGGAGTCGCAAGCTGGAGACAAAGTACCTGGAGAAACTTTGAAGCTGCTGTTCCTCCCGGGCTAAGTACGCCAATTGACGCCAACACAAACGAAATGGCCATAGCACTGACAGGAGGCCCCAGTAGTTTTCCAATTTTCGTTCGTTCACCAAGCGTTTGCCCTGCCACAGCCGCGCCAGTCAAACCTGCTATATTTCCCCACGTGTCTGATGCATCGATGATTGATCCTAGCCGAGATGATTCTAAACGCTTGGTTGGCGAAGGTGAAACCAAAGTAGTGGATGTGCGTCGGTCCAATGTGATTGTTGGCACGCTTTGCACGATGGCAAAACCATGTACATTCAGACAACAAATATTCCACAACAAATATATCGATGCAAGTCTTCGATGGATCTGCGACGATGCGCAAATCATTGCTATAAGTTGTGAGGACGGGGATTTTTCAAAGTTTGGCCTACTTTCAACCTGTGGAAGTATGAGCAGGTCAGCGTTATTGTCATCAAACATCAAATAATCGAGCTGGTGATCATTCAAGATCTCACTCATTCGGCCCAGCGCGCGTAACGGTAGATGAGCAGGACGCACCTGTGCTGGAACGGTATGAAATTTCAGTGCTTTCAGTGCTTTCATTGCTACATGATGGATGGACAGACAACACCCAGAAAGCGAAGGGAAGAGTGCCAGAATGTAATCTACAGGTTTGGATATGTTTATAAAGCTACCCGATCCCTCCGACTAGTGACGCGCGACAGATTCAAGTGTTCCCAAGATTTGATGGCTTCTTCGCATCTCAAAAGTGACATCAAAATTCCGTCCCATCCTCCTTCGACTGCTTCCAACAGTCGTTAGTTAGCGACACAACATCAAAGATGCTTTCTACACAGCTTCGACCAGGAGCAAACAAATTTATCAAGTCAATAGCTCGACATCGCGCAAGGGAGCTTTCTGGTTCCCTAGCTACGCAGCAATGGAGTGCATCAACCAATAGAAGCATATCAACAGAGAGAGAAAATCACTTCAAAAACATCGGATACCTTGATGACGAAGGCTTGACAGTCTTTAGTACCATCCATGATATGCAAGTTCGATCTTGTGATGTCTACGCAGAAAACGAGCTTTTCGGGTCTTATGATGCAACGGAAAATAAGTTCAAATATGTCACCTACGAGGAGTTTGACAACCAAGTTGACAGATGCAGGGCAGTGCTGAAGGACTTGGGTAAGTGACCACGCGTATCTTTGCCAGAATTCAACTATGAAGTGTTGCTTAACATCTCCTTGCACGCACGCACAGGCGTAGAGGAGTATGGAAAAGTTGCAATCATTAGCAACAACCGACTCGAGTGGGCAATCATTTCATGTGCCGCTTATTCTTTGAATGCATCCCTTGTACCCATGTATGAAGCACAACTTCCCAAGGACTGGACGTATATCCTAAACGATTCCGGCTCTTGTGCCGTATTCTGTGCCACACAAGAAATATATGACTCTCTACAGAAGGAAGTTTTACCATCCACCCCAACGGTTACTGCTTCTATATGCCTTGACGCTCCGGAGGGCGAACCTCACGCGTTTGCCACGCTAATGGCTGCTCAAAATAACGACGCTTCATCCATCATTGTTAAACCAACGCCAGACGACCTTGCAAACTTGATCTACACGTCGGGTACGACCGGCCAACCAAAAGGTGTCGAGCTGACGCATTTGAATTTCGCTTCCAACACTAAATCTGCATCTAGAAGCCTTGTCGACGATCCAAGGGACTTCATTCGGGAATCAGATCGCTCCTTAGCATTTCTGCCGTGGGCTCACTCGTATGGCCAAACTTCGGAGTTGTGGGCCAGCATGTCTATGGGTAGCAGCATGGGAATTTGTCGAGGCATCCCAGACATCCTTGAAGATCTACAAATGGTGCAACCTACACTTCTATTCTCTGTCCCAACACTTTACAAAAAAGTGTATGACGGTGTTCACAACATCATTCAGACAGCAAGTCCAATCAGGCGACGATTAATGTTGTCAGCGTTGAAGCTTGGAGATGCTCATGCTCGTGCGGCGAACGGAGATGGAATTCCACTTGGGCCAATCAACAGTATTAAACATTCGGTTCTCGATAAAATTGTCCTTTCCAAAATTCGAGACCGCTTTGGTGGAAATTTACGATGCGGTTTCCTTGGGGGGTCTGCTTGTCCTCCAGAAGTTCTTTCCTTTATGGATGCTCTTGGGATTCCAATCTGTGAAGGGTAAGAAGTTCTGCTTCGAATCTTCCTCTTTTGTGGTTTTGTTTCTAACATTCACCCACCGTTCAATGGTACATAGATATGGCTTGACAGAAACTTCACCAATCATTACTGTCAACGTACCCGGCAAGAGATCGATTGGAAGTGTCGGGCGTCCAATTGGCGGAGTTTCGGTGTATATTGTCGATCCAGAGGGACGCCCTGTAGCTGATGGCGAAGAGGGTGAAGTTTGCTGCACTGGACCAAATGTAATGCGCGGGTATTACAAGAACAAGGAGGCCACCGATGAGGTCATTTCAGTTGCACCTGATGGCGTCTCGAGAATGTGAGTGGATACGTCATTCCCCTTTTTGTGATGATGAAAACAAAGAAGACTAACATGATGTGTGCAGGTTCCATACTGGCGATCTAGGCAGAATGAACGAAGATGGCTACTTGATGATTACCGGTAGAATCAAGGAACAGTACAAGCTCGAAAACGGCAAGTACGTAGTACCCACACCCATTGAATCAGCAATTGGAATGAGCCGATTTGTGAGCCAAGTAGTTCTCTTTGGTGCAAACCGTCCATACAATGTCGCTCTTGTAGTTCCAGAGTGGCCAGCGATTCGAGCAGAGCTTGGAATTGATGATTCGGTATCAGAAGAAGAGTTGGCAAGTGACGATAATGTTTGCAACCTTGTGGATGAAGAAATCAGCAAAACCTGTGCAATGCTAAAGAAGTTTGAAGTTCCGAAGAAGTGGGCCTTTGTTGGACCCTTTACGGCTGCTAACAACATGTTGACTCCAAAAATGTCGATCAGACGCCATAAAGTTGTCGAAGCTTACGAGGATACAATCGCACACCTATATGGACAAAGCTCGAGTCTTCACGAGCAAAAAGACAGCGAGGCGGCCTAATTGTATTATAAGACAACATGCTTGCGACCTTGTCAACGGCAAAGTCAGGTATTTCTATTACCATTTGCATGCATCAAGAATGAGCAAAACATGACGTAACAACATTGTATAAAGACCAGAAGTATCCATTACTTTACTGCGTTCAAGATTTACGCCTCTTCTTTCGGCCCTGCACTGCTGTCGAAACGTCCACATCACCGTCCTCTTCATCGTCAAGATTATCATTTTCGCCATCAGATGACTCTTCGTCCCAGTTCTAGGCAAAAAGCACATATATAAACTTTTAGTGGGCACAAGTTGTGATCAAAACGAATACAGCGCAATAGCTACCGCACGATTACCTTCTTGTGATTCAATAAATAGTCCTCGTTCAAGGCATCCCATTTGGAAGATTTTGCAGAACCAGTGTCACTAGCTCCAGGGATCTTCTCCTCAGTGCTTACAGATGCAGCGTTCTTAATTTTACTCAGAAAGGTGTGTTTTGTGACCTTTGGTTCAATATTGGACCCCCTTGAAACTGTTTGAGACGACTGCGACGCAAAATTCATTGTGAGATGAGCGAGAATCGTTCCAAAAAACAAGCTCACCACATACCTCTGACACTTGTTGATGTTGCGTGATCGCGTTGAACAACGCTACAACTCCACGAGTTGCAACTCGCCGATGAAGCCGCTCCTGTTCCAGCTCTTTTGCAACGGAATGCTGTCCGGTATTGATGGTATTTGTTGTCGCAACGGAAAGTGGAATGTGTAGAGCTGTCAAACAACGCTCCCGGTTGTCCCTTCTTTTCTCTCGCATTGCCTTGGTTTCCTCCTTTTGTTTCATCTGCATTTTTTGCAAGGGTGTTGTCGTTTTGGAAAGAACGACAGAAGTGATCGCCCGTTCGGCGTTTGAGGTTCCAAGGATTTTCGCCATTGCATTTGACATTTTTGCCGAGGAAGACTGAATGAAAACATCTGGCTCAAGCTCGTCGTCTTCGTCCATGTCGTCACGAGAGTTTATTCTCTGTGAATTGTCATCTTTAGTGGTGGACTCTCCATCAGAGGATTCTTGACGCTGCCAGTTCTCCAATACTTGCTCGTCATCATCGTCTTCATCTTCATCACTGGAACCAGCAAAACGTTTCAGATCGCTTTCCGAGATACTACTCTCATTGCGGCGTTTTGACCTAAATGTGGACTTCGACCTCGCCATTGTTTTATAGCAAAAGCTTCCAAGAGAGTGTTTGATGGTATTGATTGGTGTCGGACAACTGTAATCGGAGTAGTCAAATAAGGATATGAGCTCCAAAATAAATAAAAGCACTCGCATGCAGAAAGTATTCCTTGAGACCAGCTCAGTGCTCGAACTAGTCCAATTTTTGAAGTTGAGAATACGAGCAGTAGTAGTTCATTGAACCAACCATCATGTCTCAAAACACCTTCCTACGAAAAGCTGCCTTCTCCGTCAGAACTTGCAGACCAGGCAGTCAAGCTTGGTCACAGGTAGTCATCCGCAACTATCTTGGCGAAGCTGGAGAAGGATCAAAGTCATTGTCGGCCAAAGAGGAAACTCTTTTGAAAATTGCAAAACCGAAGGCTGAAGAGATTTTCCAAAAACACATTGAACTACCTGGTGTCGACATCGAAACTCGTCGAAAGAGACTTGTCTATCGATCAAAGCAGCGCGGCTGGTTAGAAGTCGATCTCCTGCTCGGAACTTGGGCGAGTGATCATGTCTCGAAGCTAAATGAGGACGAGTTGGATCAATACGAAGACTTTGTCAATATGGAGACTATAGACATTTACAATGTCATCACACTAAGACTTGATGTACCAGAATCGATGAAACGCGACGGGAATGGCGTTGTGGAAAGAATCCAGGAGTGGGCAAGATCAAGTCCTCTTGGAAAGGCGGATCCTGAAAAGTACCGTGAAGTGAAGACGGACAAAAATCTGATCTAACTGGTTCATTATGCAGCACTGGTAGTCGATGGAATACTGTAGTATTCCTGACACTGTAATAAGACAAGCATTATAATTGCTTTTCGGTGCATTAACAAATCACAGTGACCGTATCTATGCTACCTGGTACCGTACCGATCTATCTTCAATCTTGTATCAAACAGAATAATACTTCGACTACTTCGACACAATAACCGTTACAGCATTTTCAAAAAAGTTGAAATTCATTTGAAAGGATCAAGACCTGCTGCATAATAAGCATATTGATTCCTCATCCACGAAAGACGCACGCTTAATCCACAATGGGGGAATACAATATTTCTGTCTTTCTTGTCTTCTTCATCTCACTGCTAGCCATCGTGTTGGTGATGTCGAAGTTCAGAGTGGAACGACCATTGCTCGCGTCGCTGCTCCCAGAAGCAGCCATGGTCCTTGCGGTAGGAATGTTAGCAAGTTTTTTCATTCATCTCATCCTTGATCATCGAAGACCGTCGAATGCGGACGATGATCAGTATCAAAATGACGACCTTGGAGCTTTATTGAGTTTCAGTCCTGAGATTTTCTTCATTGCTCTATTGCCACCCATCATTTTCAATTCAGGTCTACGAATCGGGGCATTGTTTGTGAGACACATTACGCCTATCGTGTTAATTGCCACCGTTGGCACCACTGTCAATGCAGTCTGTGTTGGTATGCTCTTATTCCTGGTTCACAAGCTGGGTTTGGTGTCAAACGATTTCAATCCTTCACTGGCCGAGTTGATGGCTTTTGGAGCGCTGATTTCTTCGACGGACCCAGTAAGCACCCTAGCTGTCTTTCAAGCCAAACGAGTGAATCCACAGCTATTTTACCTTGTCTTTGGGGAGTCGGTGTTGAACGATGCGCTCGCAATCGTCTTGTTCGAGTCTTTCGCCAGAACGGTTGCTCAGCAAAAGAACTTCGCAACGATCGCTTTGGGCTTGGTTGATTTCGTTGTCGATTTGGTCCTCAACTCAGTAGGATCACTTTGTTTGGGATACGCGGCTGGCCTGGGCACAGCATATCTTTTCAAAAAAATTGACATGCGACATCATAGACTTCTCGAAATCTCTCTGTATCTCGTGCTGATGTATGTTCCATTTCTACTGGCAGAAATCCTTCATCTTTCTGGAATTGTTACGATTTTGTTTACCGGTACGTATGACTCAAATTTTTGTAGATGCTGACTTTTGTTTGGACCTCATTCTGTGCTTTACAACTCCAGGGATGGCCGCAAATCGATACGTTGTTCCGAATTTGTCACCAATAACAAGGTCAAACTCTGACATGCTCGTGAGTGCTGCCTTGTGCTTTGATTTTCCTTGTGCTTACCGGTATTCAGAGTCTTATACTGTGTCCTTTCGCTTACTTTCCCGCACGAATAACGCATTTTCATCTTCCAACAGTTTCGATTACTGTCGCATTTGGCGGAGACAAGGTAGGTGATGCATCCGGTATAAACTTTGGCATGAAAAAGTCTTACCATTTTATGCTGCTCGAAGTATCTTTCTGGAGCTAGGGCTATCCGTGTTTGGCATTATTGGACACTGGAACTGGAGCTTCATCGGTTGGTCGCTACTGATCCTGCTCATTGCCAGGGCGGTTAATATCTACCCCATTGTTTTCTTTTTCAATAGGTATATCCTGCGAGATGAGAAGGATTCCTTGCTGGAACAGGAAGTTGCTGGAAGTTCCGGCTTGCACTGGGGGAATAACGAGCACCAGACGCCACAATTTGTACGAACCCAATCCGATCTAACTGAAGTGACTGCAACGCCTCTAAGGAGAAAAGATCTGAAGATTCGACCAAATGTGGCTGGATTTATGTGGTTTAGTGGTTTACGTGGCGCTGTATCGGTAAGTTTCGTCTGCATTTGCCCCCGCGTCTCTCTTTCCTAACTTTTTGTTCGACCTGTAGTATGCATGCGTTAGAACGTTTCCAGATACACTAGGTCACCAAAAAGACTTTACCATGACCACAATGGCGATCGTACTCATTACTGTGTACCTATTGGGTGGCACAACGGAGTTGGCTCTCAAGATTTTTAAGATTGACACGGATGTTGACGAACATACATATATGCGAGAAACGTTGAGGGAGCCGATTGTGTCAAGTAGAATAAGGAATTTTGGTGGGTTCAAAATGTTTTCTATCGCCTTCAGTCCTTCGACTTCTTCGCTCATGAATATGCTCTCTTTGCTTGCAGAACGGAATCGTATCAAACAACTTGTTATTCGGGACTATCGCGGAGACGAAGGATTGAAGGACGAAAGCGCTCTTGAGCACAGGTTACAGGACTCAAGTAAGAGTTTTACAAGAGCTGAGGCCACTCTCTCTGATGAAGCATCATTCGTTACGCAAGATTCATTATTTGACTATGGCGCACAATTGTCAAATCGGAGCATATGATCGAAGAACTCTTCGAAAAATGCTTACACCAGCTCTTGCTACGATGGTCTGTCGGCTATTTTTCCTTTTTCGAGCTACAATGGAATATTGACGGAAAATACCCTGTATTTGGCCTCTGTAGGGAAGGAGATCCAACCGTGGGCGTAGTATTAAAAATTGCTATTGATACTGTGTCTTTTCCTACTTCCTTTTCCTTCCTTTTGGTTTAACAGGAGCAAAACCGTCATCGTCTACTTCAACAGCTGGTTCCGGAGATGATGTTTCTCCCAATTGTCGCACTGGTGCAAGTTGAGGCTTCGGCTGCCTTGGAGCACCAAAAAGGGGTTCATCAAGCCTGTTAGCTTGTGAAATAGCCGATGGCGGAGGAGTAATGGAAGCATTGGCTGCGTCCCCTGTAGCGTCCGTCATATTCTCATCATCTTCATCATCATGTTCAGTAGTTTGGATTTGAACTGGAAACTGAGTGTTGAAAGCAATGGCTCCATCTGCACTGGACAGTATTTGCTGACACAGTCTTCCATCACCTTGGAATAAACCCTCGTACATCTTGACAATCATTGCCGCAACCTGCTGCTCCGAGTTGTCTTCCAGTGTTACAGAGAATTCCTCTTCCATGTATATTGCCAAGCTGTCAGCAATATCGTACTCTGAGCAAGAAGAAGGATGTTTCTTTCCGTCCAATAGCTCCAAAATACTTTGTCGAAGATTCTCCGCTTTGGTTTGACTTTCTCGCTCGCCTCCTCCCCAACCAGATTCAACTGCTGTTCGTAGAGCCGACCAAGACCGGAGACAAGCTGTCACACCTAATTGGAAGTCTTCTATAGTTGTCATTCTTCGGCGGGATGTTGTTGTTATTTTGTGATTTGTGATCTGTCGAACAAATCAAAGGTGAGAGAACTTGTACACGCACGTACTGTGTCGTATAGACCGACGGACTGCTACTCCTGCTTTATTCATCCTTCCACTTCTGACTTCATTTGATTATTCATCCTTCATAGTCATCAGACTTCATATTTTTGCCTTTGTCTCTATTGATTCACATTCATAGTCATCACCAACAAACAGCTTCATGATGCATTCACCTCTTCCGGCAGGATGAAGTGTTGGTCCAGGGCTCTTGTATGTGTCGACACAAATCTACTTTTAGCTGATTATCTAGTCAGCAGAGGTCTGCCGTATACTTCGTTTTGACGGCTTTTTCTTCTTCTTTTTGAAGGCCACAGATCCATTCGCCAGCCGCTTTGCCGTATCTGCAAGTGTCACCTCTGCCTCCTGGTGGATTTGAAATCCTCGATAATCCCCGGTTCCCAATGCGTCGAATGCCCCAAGCGCCGAATCGTCCGCATTGGCTACCTTCGCAGCTTCCATTTGACGCATCTCTGCCTCCTTTTCCTGTGCTTCCTTTTCTAAGGCTGCACGCTTGCGGTCCTCTCTCAATCTATTCCTCTCTTCTTTGTGCTCATGTCGAACGGTTGAGCGTTTGATAGCGACTGTCGACCAACTTGAAAATCCAGTTTCTTCGACTATTTCTTTTGACTGCTGCTGTTCAACGTTAATTTCTTCACCACCCATAGCAAGCAAGCGGGCTTCCTCAAGAGTTTCTGGAATCTTTTCATCTGAACCAAGAAGAAGTCGTATTCTGTTCACTGATACATTTAACTCCGTCGTTTCTTCATTGCTCTCGAGAGAACTGAGATATGCAATATGAATCTTCATTTTTTGTGCGTTCTTTCTAATTGTAGTAATGATACCTTTTTTCCAATGTGCCTGTCGATCAATGAGCCGTTTTTCTTCCAAGCTTGCAATCGGACCAGTCCAAATTTCGATTGGCATATCTTCTTCTAGTATCTCTGAATATGTGGGGCCTTCAAGATATGTCTTGTCATCAAGCTTGTACGATCCTTCATTTCCGGTAATTTTCCTACGTTGTGGGACCACCTGTTCCGCTTCCACGTTTCCATCGTCCTGTTTTCCTTCTGAGCGTTGTCTCTTCCGAGAATTCCATTCCTTTTTCCCTTTTGTGGCCGGCGGTGGAGCACGGAACTGAGAAGACTGTTTTTCGTCGTTCGGTGGCCGCGCGACAGATAGATCATTTACCAATAGCGCTGTATCATGTTGCAAGTGAGATTGCAAAGCAGCTCGTTCCATCTTTTGAAGCGAAGACTGCAGGAATTGCAAATCACGTTCCTCTTTCATTCGGTCTTGTCGCTTTTGCTCCAAACCTTTTGAAACAGCCTCTTTGTGTTTGCGCCCATTCTCGTGAGTCATGATGCTGGCGCGATTGTTGTCCATCCAGACGTTGCAAGCGGCGCAACAATATCGGGTTTCGCTCCTCCATGGTTCCCGCTTCTTCTGGTTCGACGTCATGGTTAAAATAAACGGATCAACCAAATGAATAAAAAAAAGATGCAATTTTTTTAGCGTGACCGGAGCATGATACGACGGCCAGACGTACAGTACAAATATAAAAATGTATAGGGTACAGTACCAGGTACCTGGTACCGGTAGGGTCTGCAAATGGTGCGTAACGTGCCGTAACGGCTAAAACAGAAGACAAGTCGAACGTCGTTGGGTCGATTGAGTCGGCGGAAAAAGGAACATGAATTTATGTTGTCAACTGCGACATGGTGCGATACGGAGCTACACGAAAATGTATACTGAATAAATAGCTTAATTGTTGACACCCGAACACCAAACCCCACCGTACATCTCAGTTTTCACGTGCACACCCACAAAGTAGTAAGCAAAGCTGCCCTGCAAAAAGAAGACGGGCCACTTTGCAGAAAAGTTGAAAACTGAGACTTTCTAACAATCGTTAATATGCTGCTCTGGGGGTATTCGATTTCCGGTGAAACGTTCGGCTGTAAAGGCCAAGTACTGTGAAGTGGTGAGTCAACAACAAGTTTGAACCATGTGAGGCATCTCGAAATCAGAAGTTGCTCAAGTCATATTCCAAGTGAGGACAACTCCTGCTGCTACATGGCAAGGTGGGTCCGCAGCTCTTAAGGTCCCATGGACAGAAGGTCTGGGTCCAGCGGACGCGGCGAAGATTGTCTGTAGACTGTGGTGTTGAGCTTTCAGAGAGCGTCAATAGTCCTTGTGCTCCTGAGGAAGTAAAGCCATTCTTTGTCCACCAATGGTTTACAAAGAACGTGTTGACAGCATGTCGCAGCATTTGTCTAATGTCCTTGGGTAAATCATCTGGACCCATATCAAACTTTGAGTGAACCCCTTTGTTGACAGCACGGTGACATTCGCAGAGTTGAACATTATTGTCCGAATATTGAACTGTGTTCCGGTGCTCCCACATAGAAAAACCAATTGAATTCAGTTGCTGCAAGAGGCAGCAGGACCCCCATCATGAAGCAGATCAACAACTACGAATCTTGTCGAGGCAAGTTTGTTGGAGTGACAGCCACAGGAAGGCTAAGATTGACAATGATCATGAATACCCCCATCCCACTGAGCCACTGAGTAGGAGCTCTCCACTCCCCTCCCCTCAATTGTTTCCACAAGTGACAGGGAGTTCGTTGTGTGTAGCCTTGAGCTTTGTAACTCGAGAAGCAGGCAGAAGACATACCCGCTATAAAATTTGAAGTCCAAAAAATGGTTGGAAGTGTTTTTCATTTGCGACAATGTTTTGATCCAGAAGCCTTCAATTACAAAACTGACTTTCCTTTGAGACACTATCATACCGGTAGTTCACAGTACTGCATGCCTCCACATTGGATCAAGTTCACAGCATCACCCTAGCGGGTCTGGAGCTTCCAACAATATCACTGTACTTCAAAGTCCCAAACGTCAAGCGCCATTTATTCCCAGTCTGTGTCATGGGCCGCAGACAAATCCTTCCTTTGACTTTCCAAAACAGCCCCTTTTATACTGAGAGCCCCAGTTTGCGGCTTGCAACACTGCATCAAAGCCAGTTTACCGTCCATCACATCAAACACGACTGTTTTGACTAACAGCGTAGGTTTTGTACGCAGCTTGGTGTTGCCAATCGCGTGCCCAATGCCAAGAGGAACTTTTGGTCATTGGCAAGAGAAATGCCATGTTCAACGTGGAAGAGCCAACACAACACCATAGATGATTCCTCCTCTCAAACCATATGGGTATTCCACCTATTGAGATCGCCCAATTTTCTGATCGATTAGCCATCCCCTGTCTTTCCTCTACTAAACTTGTTTTTCGAGTACCACATCCCGTGAAATAAGTGCACGAAAGCAGCAGTGAAGGAGAAGAAGGACAGTGCCAAAACTACTACATGACTGCCCAGGTGCAGTATGAAGTCAAATGAAGTAGTGAAATAGTCGTTGTGCTGGTGCCCAGTGTCTTGTCTGGCAAAAGACCTGAGAATCGAGGTCGAGGCTTTGAGTGCAATGATCAGACCGAATGATATCAAGGCCAACTGGTAGGATCCGAAACCAGCGCTGGAATCTTCCACAGTCACAAAAACTTTATTAGGATGTCGGCCAATAGAATTTTCGTATTTCATTGGGAGTGCAGCAAGATGTGCGATAAGGTGCTGATGTGAAGTTGCTAATTCATATTGTACAAGTACGGTAGGTACAGTACTGTACCATGTACCGGTGAGACTGTGAAATTGCCGTCGATTCTGGTTTACCGGTAGTCGGGTTTGTCAGCTGATTCGAATCAAGTTAATCGATCGATCGACTATTGTTCAATATTATAATATCGAAATCGGAAAAACTGAAGATACAAGAATAAAAATATTATGCTTCAAACAGCATTAGGCTCTAGCCGGAGGATCGTGCGACTCTTTTCTCGGCGGACCCGACCTGCCGCTCCTCCAAATCACTCCGCCGCCTTCCTTGACATCCTCCTTAATGTACGTTCCTTCTTTTCCTTCCACAATCGCAGCAGCATCCTTTAGGTCACCGATGGCTGACCAAACTCCGCTCTTTTTCGACTTTTCGACGAAATCGATTGCTGCTTGTACCTTTGGCCCCATGGATCCAGGGTACTTTTTACCAGCCCCTGTTCCTCGCAAATACTCAGGTGTTGCTGCCTCCATCTCTCGGGCTTCAGGCTTTCCGAAGTTCTCCCAGATACCTGTCGAACAAAAGAAACGATCAGACATGACCCGGAATTTGAGAACATTTCATCTTCAAAAAATGAGAAATACTGACCTCCACCATCTGTTAAAATTATGTAACCATCAGCTTCCAACTCAACTGCTAGCTTGGCACCACAAGCATCTTTGTCAATAACTGCCTCGACACCTTGTAGAGTTGTTGGGCAAGCAGGAACACGAGCTATAGGAATAGAAGCGCATCGGGCAATTGAGTGATTTGTGATACATTCGCTGAAAGGTACTCCAAAGTTTGCAATTTCCAATGTAGACTATACACAACAATTCAAGCCATTTTTTCTCACCTACGGGCACACCGCCACCGCCACAAACGATAGGAAGGACCTTGTGGTTATGCTCCAGAAGTGTCTTGACGGCATCGAGTTGCAAAATCTCCAATGGCAGAGGAGAAGGAACAACACGACGGAAACTTGAAACATAGGATGCAATGAGTTGCTGAGAATCAAATTGAAAAAACAAAAGGAGGGTTCAGTTGAACTTACTATTCGCCATCAGGCTTGATGGTCCAGCCTAGACTCTGTTGCAGAGCTTGGGCTTCAACTTTCCCATAGATTGGACCAACATACTTAGTTGGATCCTTGAAAGCTTCAGAATATTGATCGACGACTACCTGAGTAAGAATTGGGACAGCCGTGACTCCTGCAGAGGCGAGCGACTGACTCAGAACATATCCTATCTGCCCACAGCTCTCAGCGCCCAATACATCAAAGGTTGCGGCAGCACGTTCTAAGGCAAGCTCTCCTACCTGAGGACCATTCCCATGTGTAAGTACCAATTCATGAGTCTTTGCAAGTTCTGCCAGGACTGGTGCCATATCAGAGGCAGCCTTGAGCATGTTCTCAATAGTTAGACGTTCGCCTCTTCTTTGGAGAGCATTCCCACCAACAGCAACGACCAGGCGAAGTTTTTTCCCGTTCTGGGTTGGCGACGACGTTGGGGTTGACTTGGAAGCGAGATCAGCCACAGCGCCAGTTTTTGTAGAGAATGAGCAACGCGCCTTGCTGATGCGAATAAGAGCTCGTTGATGGGCAATCATGCTGGGCAGTAATCGATGGTGTTTTCAGGTATTTTAAATGGACAAAACCGTAAATCCAGGGTGAACTTCTTTTGATGCAACTTGAAACTGCAACGAAATCCGATGGCTCTGATGACGTCACACAAAGTTCCGATCTTTGCGAACCATGAAAAATCTAACTCAGCTCCAACCTTCCGTTGGTTTTTAAAGTGCAACTATTACGGTACCGGTACTGTGGAATCATTCTTGCCAACCGCTGAGATTAAGGTTGCTTGTACCACACCTAAAATTTGTTCGTACGTCAAGAAGGTAAAGGCAGCTGTCAAGACTGTTTGCAACAGTTTAGCACGCATTCCAATAAAGAGTTTTCGAAAACCACCATCAGCATACAGTTTGCGAAGACAGTCCAAGGTTCCCTTGTGTTTGTGTTCTAACCGCATTACAGTTTGAGCCAATTGTAATGGACTGGAAGAAAAGTATAGGTAGAAAGAAAAACACAGAGTGTCAATTTGGAATAACCACATAAATTCATGATACATACAGTGAGTACATACTAGGTGGTAACAGTAGCAACCCCCTTTGCCATGGCGCCAATAAAGAAGGCTTCGATTGGAGGCAAGATGGACTTGTTTGGTGATGTTAATCGAGCCGCTTTCATTTGCTCATAGCAAAAGAATTGAATCACTGGATTGGACACCAATAGTACCGATGCAGACGTACCACTCCACATGTGTCTAAGGCCCTTCTTCTGTATCATGACGTATAATTCTCTCCACAAATTCTGCGATTTTGTCTCACCAGTGACAATTGCCATGTTGACTACCCAAAGTGGATTGGTAAGCAACACGTTCCCTAATCCAGCTATACAAGACGACAGGAGCGACACAGCTGCAGCATTCCGTTTCGACCCCCCTCTCGAAGACTGATTGAATAATTTCTTAACCACTGCATGCATGTAGAAGAATATGAATTGACTTGTAAAGATGGTCGATACCACGGGAGATACACCAGTGTATAACTCTTTTCGTTGATGTAGCCTCATAAGGCACTCGAACAAGGTTTCCTTTCTCTTCTTTGTCGCACTGGTTGTCGCCGAGCTGGGATCGATTGTCGGGTTGATTGGAGTAGAAGAACTTATTTTTTGATTGTTTGGTGTAGTTTCAGTCTCTTCTTTGGATGATTCTTTGTTCTTCTCCTCGTTCTGGTGAAGTGACACGCAAGAGGAGTCAGTGCGTGGTGATGGCGATATTGGCCCCTGGTGGTTTGTCGGAAATCCGTCGATTTCGTCTTCAACAGAGTTCAATGAGTTATTTTTAGTTGGCAGAGATGCCCCTGATTGCAGGTCGATACGCTGTAGGTCGTGAACAAAGAGTAATCAAACTGTGTGAGACGGAATTCCATTTTGTATTACAAGGACGACGTTCCAAAACATACAGCCCTTTCCAGAGGGTAAGCTAAAAACAAGGAAATTGCGCTTCCCAATGATCCACCGATCGCATGAGCGACAGGGGGTGCTTGAGCTGAGACCGAAGCGGCAGCTGTGGTCATGGTTAGAATAATCCAATAGACAGTGAACTGTAATGCGCTGTGGCGATAACTTTGGGTTTTGAGGCGTCTACTAGAAGACATTGCCAGGTTGTCAGTTGTGCCATCAATGTGGAGACTGTCGGATTCGGCTCAAGTACTGTGTTAGGCCTGTTCTAAAGATCCAAAATCGACATTGAAACAAACACCAACCTGACACGGTGAAATAGATGGCGTACTCTATACAGTTTGCTGCCCTTACAGCCTTGTCCTTTTTGGTTTTCCTTTTGACTATCATCCTTTACACACATCTTGCCTTAGATGCCCATCCCACTTCCGACCATGCAAGCAACCGAGATGTTGTCTCTCCCCATGCCATTATTGGAGACAAAGAGGAAGCCATCATAGAGGCTTTATGGCCCGAGGATGGCCAGGATACAACGTTTTTCATGTCCTTGAATTCCTGTGTAGATGGATGCGGGCCATCATCGCAAGACAAATCATCCTCCAACAATGAGCAGAAAAAGTTGAAAGTTGGCCTTCTCGCACCACCTGGAAGGATGAGTCGAGCATTTTTCTCTTTCTGTAAGCAGCTAGCACAACAGATATCCAAACAACCGGCTGGAAAAGGTCAAGAGAGTGACACAATTCATTGGATCCCAACTCATCATCTACCTTTTACAAGCAACGAATATACGCATATCATCCGTTTTGCCAATGTCCCATTGCTCTTAGCTACAGGAGATGCATTGCAGACCATGGTTACGACGTCCCAAGTGCCAGCAAGCGATGTTTCACAAATCGTCTGGCAAGACATCAATGAAACCACCAAGCTTCTGGTCAGCTGGCACTGTCAAATCTCTAACTTGGTGGATGAAGGTACGGTTCCATTGGTGACCATCTCCATGGAAGAGCTGGAACAAGATTCGTATGAGCAAGAGAACATGCTCATGAGCTTTTTAACGTCTTCGACTACAGAAGAAAATGATATGGGTGGCGCCGACGGGAGCGGAGACGGAAATATTGAGCCAACCTTTGATGAGTCCTTTATCAAAGAAACGATTGGTAACATAAAGCCAATGCTGAAGCAAGTGAATAGAGTATTATTGAAGGAGATGAACAAAGGCCTTGTAACGCTGACAAAACAGACCATCAAACAAAGCTTGCATGGGGTGCAGGGTTGTCCAAGTGAAGCGGGCTTGTGGCATCCGTCGCGGCCCTTGCCACGAATGTTGTATTCGTTTTTAAAGACTGGAAAGGTAGAGGATGACCTTGCGCTATGCGATGGACATAATGCAGCTATGGCTATATGCACGATGTTAGAGGAAGCTCGTGCGCAAGTTTTAGACATAACACCGTCCCCTTGAAATTGTGATGGTCTGGTATCATAATTCATACCATAAAATATTATTGCTATTTCATTATTTCCCATTGCAATATACGACCGTCCCATGCGGAATATTTGTTAAAAAGGTTCATATTGAAACTTTATTGGAATACTCACTAGATTACTCCGAACGAATCAAGATCTCCCCTTTTTCTCTTGTTCCGTTGGTTTCGATGTGCTCGTACTCTGCCGCTTTGATCCTGCCGGCGGGTTGTCTTTTCCAACAGCGTCACTGCTTCGCTTTTGACCAGATAAAGCCGAAGTATTGGGGAGAGAGAAATTCAACCGCCGAATCGCCGGTGATATCTGATTCTCGTGATTGGTCGCTTGGCCGCTAATCTTTGTTCGAACATTTTGATAGTCCCCGGTTTCCAACCAAATTGTAGCCTTTCGACATAGCTTTTCCTCTCGAGGTCGATATCCGTTAGGATTCTTCCAACGAATCAGTTCCGGGTAGTCTCTAGAAAGATTTTCAATATACTTGGATATCTGTGGTCGGGTCATATTTGGAATGGCCGGGAGGATATCCTGCAATAGCATGACACACATCGAGGACTCCACTTTCGGCTTTGCCGATGTCGCCAAAAGCCGATTATTTTGTTGCAGCTTCCGTTTCCGCTTTCGCATCAAAAGCCGTGCATGACTAAAGAGCGCATCCGCAACCTTGACGAGATCAATAGATTTGTCCTTCTCCTCATTCTTGCTGACTTTCTGCAGCGCTTGGTCTCGTTGAGCAGCTCGAGCACGAACGCGCTGTTCGAGTGTCATACCTGGTTTGATGATTGCATTAGAAGCAAGTATTGTTGTTGCGTTGATGGTTTCCTTCGATGTATCCTTCCCAATTGGTTTTTGCTGCTTTCTCTTTTCCTTTTCCCTCAAAAGATATTGCTTGTCCTCGTGTATCTTTCTGATAACTTCCTCGGACAGCATCTTGTCGATTCCCCTTGTTGATGCTTTGCGTATCAGCTCCTTCACAAATTCTACCTGCTGTTTCGAGTCCTTTCGCCTTACTAATGTAGTTGTCGCCTTCCCATTGTCCTCGGCCTTTCCTGTTGATGGTGATGCATCGATTCTGGCATTGCTTGATGCCTCCATGTCGTAAACTTGAGGAACCAAAATGCACGTCAGATCGTGCCATAACCGATCGTCTCTCGACAAGCATCTTATATTTTCTCTCTGTTGTACCGTCTCTGATGATGATGATTCGCTTTTAAAAGGTGCAGCTGCCTCTAGAACAGAGGACGGAGGCTCCAACACCAGTCTTGGTGCGAGTGACTGACAGAATTGTCGGTAGGAAATGGAATTGGTCTTATTTTGAAGGAAATAAAGTTTCAAAGCAAACTCTACTTGGATTAAGTTCTTTTCATGGATTGGAACTCTTATTGGAACAAATGCTTTGGTCGATGGTGGACTCTTTGCTTTGCCTGGTTTCGGATCTGATCCAAAGCGAGGAAGAGGTGACGATTTGCGATGGAGTGTCATGAAACTCCAATGATCATCCGACCCTGAAGGAATCGCTTTCTTGTCCAAACACCGTGGTCATCCTTCGGCTTCTCGCAAAGTCAAAGCTTTTCTAAACGGACAGCTCAAATCGGACTGAAACGAGCGATAGATTTTGCAATGTTCGGCGACTCATTTGACCACACAGCAATGCACCATGAAGGAGGTTTGATTAAACCGATATTATGCATCATCAGGTGGTTATTACTGTAGTAATACCAAACAAACTTCAACAACACTGACAAGAATAAAAGATAACCAACAACGCAACCCAAAAACGAATCACAGTAAGACGTCAAGACAGAAGTCGACAGCAATAGCAACACGATGTCAGCTCGACGACCATCTCTCGAGAAAATCATGGCCAACAAGAGGTCGTCCGTGACTGATGCAATGGACACAACATCGCAGACAGAACCTTTGGCAATCAAGAGAAAATCCGTTGCGGCAGCCCAACCTCTGATTCAAGTAGAAACTTTCTTGTCTCGCAAAGCATACCCTCTTGGCACTACCTTGGTTGGGACTGTCTTGGTACGACATCCACCTAGTAAGGAAGACAGCAAACCACCTCCACCTCTTCGCAAAACACTCAAATCGATTGTGGTCTATGCAGCTGGATTTTGTCGTATTGATCCAAGATGGCACAATGCGACTGAATATGCGCGCATATATGGTAGTGTTCATCCTTTCATTCAGCAAGTGGATTTCGATGCCAAGCTGCTCTCGCACGGTGCCGGAACGGATACTGTGTGCTTTTGGGCTACCAATGGCCTAGAACTCATGACATTACCCGAACGAAAAATCGGAAAGCTAGAAAGCAAGGACACTGACGATGGGGAACGTCTCGCGTTCACCTACCGAATAGAATTGCCGATGGACTTGCCTCATTCGATCAATGCAACAACGTGCAAATATTATTATATGATGAACATTCTCATAAAAACGCAGTCCAAACAGAAGGTGATTCATTCACCCTTTGTTGTTCTGACCAATCCGCTAAAGCCACCTGGTCTTCCACGATCCAAGCAAGACCGTAACTCTCGTGCAATTATCTCTGGACGTGTCAAATTCGGACAGTGCCGCGGCATGGCTCACTCTATTGGTCTGCCCGTTCATCTCTCCGCTACAGAAATTCACCGACCCAGGGGCCAAGTGATGGTACACCAAGAACCGCGACGGCCAGATGTCCAAACACTTCCGATTAAAAGTCCATCAGGAAAGCAAGTCTGCGTCTTGACCTTTATTGGAGCCACCAAGATTACCCCTGGATCCATGTTGCAAATAGAATGGGATTTTCCTCGGGAGTTAACGCCCGAGGATGCACCTTGCTTCCAAGTCAGTGCTTGTCTCATGGGGGAGGAATCGGCTGTCTACGAAGATGGGAAAACCAAACGGACTCAAACTCACATTTTTGATACGTGTCATGAGTTCATTGATCCTGGAATAACACAACGAGTTTCCAAATATCTTTTGCTAAGTGTTGATTCACCCTGCAACTTAGTCACTGATGTCATGGAGCTGACCATCAAGTGTCAGGTAGACATTACGATCCAAGAAGGCAAAAACGGGAAATACAACAATCTGAAGGTTGAACTGCCATGCCATGTTCTGCATCAATTAGAAAAGGATTCCGATCAAGCAGAGTTGGAGGACACCCAAGTAACTCCTCTCTCGGTCTTGATGGGATTGAAGCCAGATCCGGAATTTCCTACTGAAGATATTGTGCGAGATCTGAAGGTTGTGTCCCTTGAAATGGAAAAACGATTAAGAAGAGCTACAAAATAAGAAAAATCATGGATATTCAGTAGATACTCCAGTTAACTGCTGAACTTGGCGAGTCCAGGGACAGTGAATTTGTATGGGATTTCATATTTCTTCAGCGTCTTCACTACGAACATGGGCGAGGAGTATCCATCATGCTGCTCAACAGGAAACCCTTCCCCAATGCGAATGGGATTCACCTTCCCTTCTCCTTCTTTTGGCTTGAAGGTTACATATGCAGCATCGCCATCTGGTGCCATGAATTCCACGAAATCGACTTCCCCTTTTAACAGTCGTTCACAGAAGGTTTTGTAAGGAATAGAAGGTTCGTTGAGAGTCGAAGCATCCAAACCTGCGAAATCGCCTCCTCGGTAATTGAAAATCAATCCATTGAAAGCGTTAACCTCAATACCTTGTCGATATTCAGCTTCCTGGGCCGCCCAGGAAGATTGTGGCATCGAGAGTAGACTAGGTACCAGAAGAGCGCACGAGAGAAAAGATCTTCGACTGTTCTCGGATCTTTTCTCGCCGTCATTCATTAGTTGCATCGCAATTGTTGATTCCAATCGTTTTCCCTTGCTCAAAGAGTTTTCCGGCACGAAAGAGAAGCTCGAAGTGAATGCGGCAAATAGGCTTACGAATCGAAGCGAGATCATTGTGTATGCTGCTATGTGAGTACTGTATGTTGCTCTGTTTGCTGGATTTGGCAAATTGGATGAATGAGTGAAGAATCTTTGGTGCCGAACACCACGAACGCAAAAAAGATGAACAAACTTCAACATCTTCTCGCTCGCATCGTCGTCTGTCGTTCTTCCCCTCCCTGTTATATTCATCCCCTCACTCTCACCCCGACTGGCTCCCATCAACAAGATAAACAACAACAACAACAACAACAACAACTATCATGATAGAGGAGCCCAAAGCTAAAAGACATAAGAGAGCGAAACTCTCTTCATCAGAAAAGGAAAAGAGAAATCAGCTGTTAGAAAATCTGCAGGAGACAGGAGAGTTCGAGCGGTATGTCATCCAACGTTTGTAAATTGGGTTTTCCTTTGCTATTCTCATCGTGCCAAAACAACCACAAATTTCAGGCTTCAATCGACATTATATGCGCAGTTAATGATAAGAGAATCATGGTTGGATGGAATGAAGAATATGTCGCGGGAAACAGTGAAGAAAAGCGGAGGTCCTTCCGAGGTCACGGTAGACGAGTTATCCAAAGCACTAGTATCAGAAGGGTCTGCAACAATTCCTTCGCACATAGAAGCGGATTTGAAACGAAAAATTCGTAAAATTTGTTCATAGAGATATGCGCTTATTATAAAATAACAGCAAACTATTAAAATAGAAAAGGTGGGGATTTATTCAAACATTTGATCAGTTTCGACGCCATCTTCATCGATCTTTGCGAACCCAATGAACCACTCTTCCGTCATTTTCCTTGATTCGACCTTTTTCATCTGTATCCAACAACTTTGGGATCGTGTCGGAGGGGGATATCCCGTTTTCTTTCGTTTCATTTTCCTTGGCCATCTTCTTAGCTCGACGATCGAGCCAGCCCTCAAATTTATCCTCCTTCATTGGAATCCCAACAGTTATGCTGCCCCCGTCGACTCCTGCCTCCAAGATCTGCATTAGGCGTGGCTTGATTCTATTGTCTAACGAGTACCCTAGAAGTGTTGGGAGCCGATCAATTGCTTTGGAAAGCTCTTCTGGACCAAGCTGTGTTTGTAAAAACTCTACCTTTGGTTTCAAGTTCGTCTCAATGTTCAGATGTAGAAGTGAAGGCATCCCAACAATTAACTTTCGCAACACCCGAGTTGATGAAGGGTGACCAGCTACTGATCCTGGTTCGGCTACTTCGAGAAGGTAGTCAACTTTCTGTTGTAGGTTCTCGATAGTCAGTGACACAACTTGAGGAGCTTGATGAAGGACACGTCTCACATCACTTGCTTCAAGTCCCAAGGCAAAACGCAAGTAGGATACCACCCGTTTTATCTTCGTCAAAGAGCATGTCATAAGCCGGGGAAACCTCAAGAGCATCCGTGAGAATTCGTAGGCCGAGAAATCGAAGCTCAGAAACTGTCGTGTTATTGGTTGAATGTGATTCTCGAGATTGTAATTCAATATCTGTGGATAACTCAGTAGTAGTTTTCTGACTTCATCTGGTTGCATGTACAGTGTCATTATGAAATAGAAAATGAGCTTGGGTTGAAGGTTGTGTTCCACACTCATCGTCAGTACACGTGGATTTTTCTTCACAATCTTCCGAATATCAGAATTGGGTATTCGGATTTCCTGTCTGAGAAATTGCAATCTCGGGATCAATCCAGTTTCTACGCTGGAGGCTATTACTCTAGGCAGCTCAAGCAAAATATCTCTGCACTCTTTCTTAGTAAAGCCCATTGTGTCAGTGAAGAATGAAAGCTTGCTGCTTAAGTTTTCGAAGGAATAGCCGAGAATTGGAGGACAGCCAGTCACAATTTTCTTCAGTTCTTCTTGTTTCAGATCCAGTTCCTGTAAGAGAAAGCGTATCTTGGGAGCGAGGTTATTTTCTGCACTCAGATGTAGCAAAGTAGGAAACACGGTAATCATTGCTCGAAGTTCCTCATCTGAAAGAATCATTGACGTTTTTAGTACAGCTACTTTTTCTCTTAATGTTGACGCCTTCATTCCCAAGACTGAACCTGCTTCATTTGTTATTCTCCACATTGTATCTTCAGATAATCCTAGCTCGTCTCGAAGATAAAAATATGCCACATCCGAAGAAATAAATTGGAAGTCTGATAGAGAGATGGGAATTGGAGTGGAATCAGTTGAATTTATACCTGGGATGGATATATCATACAAATTGGAAAGGTCTTCCTCACTGAAGACTATCTCTGGGTCTTCGATCATATCGTCCATGTCAAATACAATATCTTCTAGCGTTGCATCGTCAAACGGAAGATCATCAAGTGGGTCCACAGAGCTGGATACTTCCACTACTGTGTGGCGAAGGTTAATGGAACGGCCATTGACGATGAATGATTGAGCATGGCAGATGACGGTCAAAGATGCCAAGAAAGTCTGCTTGATTCTTTTGTTGTACATCAACACAACTAAGTCGCTGCGTTCTTGTGAAGATCGGACCTTATTGTAGAACCGATCGGGGTGCCCCCCCCCCTATGATTATCCCCGAACTTAGGTCCCTCAACAAAGTCTAAATTCCTTTTGAATTTGGTGAATGCCAACTGAACACTGGCAATGAAACACTGCACGTACCAGTATTCGTATTCGCATTCGCATTCGCAAAAGTCTTCAACGCACACAATATGAAGTCCATCAACCTGATCTCCGCTTTACTTTTACCAAGCCTTTCTATGGGCTCATCGCGAGTGATGGTAACGCAATATTCGGACTTGCTTCATTGGACATGTTTCAGTGCGTTGTTGTCAACAGATTGCTGCCGAGATATTGAAATAGCCGGATTTGATCTTGGATTGCCGAACCCATACAATTGTGAACATCTCATTGCAGAGATTCCTGATGTCCCAGTTCTTCATGACCATGGTATGGCGAAATTTAGCCTTGTACTGCAGAACCACAACAAAACCGATGATAGCGTTTTTGAATCGGGGCTGCAACATCGCTGGGAAGACTCAACGTGGAAGAAACAAGATTCACCAACTTTACCCTTCTTCTGGGGTGATATTAAAAAAGTGGATCAATCCGCTAGGCTACGGTCAACACTCTCTCAAGAAGGGGGCATGCATCGTCAAATGACGTCAAGCTTGGAAAAAGTACAAGACTTTGAATCTTACTTCATAATAATGACAGTTCCTCAATCGATGTTTGTGGACTTGGATGATTTCTTAATAGATGATATGAATTCTATACTGCATGCCACAAAAGTCTGCGACATCGAAAAACCTGAATTTGTCAGTGGACAACATGTGATAATTGTAGAAGGACAAGGGGATGATTCAACTTTTATTCGACACACGAAATGGCATGTCCGATATCCTAAACCAGGTCAAGCTGGAATAGCTCTCATTGAAAATTTGCTAGAGCCATCTGTAGTCTTCGTGAAAGATGGCGCCCTTTATCATCATCAACAACTTGCGAAATTGCCACATGTTTCAGTGGCAACTGGGTATGAAAAGGATGGCGATTTTGTTATGTGGGCTACTATTGTCGCATGTTGCGTTGGAGTGTGGAAAATGCTGCAAGATTTATCAATCGTCTCGTATTGGGATCCTTGATTAAGTCCAAGACACTCAACGTTTTATGATTTCGAAACTAAAGTAATGGGGGAACTAGATTGCACTTGCTTCTTAGCGTTCGGTGGGCTTATACTATCATATGGTTACAATTGGGACCCTAAGAAGTAGTACGTAGCTTTGTTGGGCTGCAGGTTCTTGCTGAGATTCTTGGTGGTGATTTCTCTGGAGCTGTACGTGTCTTGAATGCAGAACGAAGCTTTGCAGGGTTGCGAGCTCTTACAGGGATTTTTGGCTCACCAAACTTTGGCGCGGGACGTGCATGGAAAGGTTTTGGAGTTTCAACTGAACTTGTAGTTGACGATTTGGTGGACTCTTGGCGAATGCGAACGGGACTCTTTGGTTTGGCTCTATCTGCTTCTTTGGCTGACGACGTGATGATTCCACCTTTTCCCGTTGGTTGACTTTCGATTCCTTGGCCGTTGAAAGCCAAAGGCTTCTCATGCTGTGTCACTTGGTGCGGTGGGTTATGGCGGCTATTGCTCTTTTCCTCTTTGTCATTCGCATAACAGCTATCACCAGGTTGGTGGTGGAATCCGATTGTTGGTTCGTTACTGTGAAAACTAGATTGGCCCACATTATACTCCTCATTATCGTCTGGCTCCAACGTTGTCGCACCGATTGGGTGCATAAGACTTTTGTTGCGAGACTCCATGTGCACATCAAGGTAGCTCGACGAGCTATGGGATTCAATGGCCGTGGTACTTGCAGTAGATGAAAGCGTAAAAGCATCACTTAAAACCTCTTTTTTCCCCTCCAGCTCTGATGTGGATGGAATGTTGATGACTGTAGGGAAATCTGGGTCAATATTGGATTCATCTTCAGTTTCCCAAGGAGGCCTCGAGGTTTCAGTTCCAGAATCGGTATCACTGTCATCGTTGGCATTAACAAGGACTTTTCCAGTATCACAACCTGCGGACTTCACTTCAAACTCACTCTCATCCGTACTATAGACAGTGGAATCTGTTTCGGTATGGAGCTTCTTGGCGATGGGTGAAATTGCGGATCCATCGTTTTGCTCGAAGTACTTCACAATGTCCTTCGGACTATCAGCGACAGTTGGTGCGCTTTTGAAACTACGATCTCTCATCAGTGATCTATCGTCGCTGGAATCGCTTGACGAGTTTGAGTCACTAGAACTTGCGGAAGAAGCTGATGACGCAGTGCTGCTTGAATCATCAACATTACCGCCATCGGTATGCATATTGGAACTGAAGCTCTCCAAATCAGGAAGCAAGAAAGCGGCATCATCAAGAAATTCAAAAGGTTCATCTTCTTGACTGTTGGCGAGGGACATTTCATCTTCTGGTTTGAAGGTAGAAAGCATGGACTGTTGCTCAGGAGGGGATGGATACAACTCAAGTGGCGTGTCGATATCAATTTCGCAATCAAAATCGTTTTCACAACGCCCAACGACTCGAGCAATGCCATCCTTGAAATCGGAATCGCACGATTGATCCAACAAAATATTGTCCACAATCTTGAACAGCCCTTGGCGATAAACATATTTTTGTCTCACTTCGTTGATAACATGATTCTTCTGCTCAGCAATCGCATCTTCCCACTTTGGCTTGTAATGATTTCGAAGCTTATCCGCTTGCTTCTGCAAAGACCCATTTCTTTCTTTCATCATCTTGTAATGGGAATGAAGTTCATGAGTGTATTGAGCCACGACTTGGTTATCACTCTCAAGCGACTTGTTTTCAGAACGGAGTTCTGCAGATTTCTTAGCTAAGTCTCTCATGGTCGCACGTAAAGTATTATTCTCATTTTGGAAGTATGAGATAAGTTGGCTCCCCGATTTTTGGACATGAGCTATGCCTAGCGTCTTATCCCGCTCCTGTTTGGCGAATCGCTCAAGGCACTCTTTTTTAATTTGTGCCTTCCTTCGCTCGCGTTCTTTGTGCATGCACTCCCGTTCTTCATTCACTGCATCGAGCTTTAGTCGGATCGCGGCAATCTGATTCCGTAGCTTCCGAATGTGTGGGGGGTTCTGAATATCGTAAAGTCGCCTTGATTCCCGTTGTACCAAATATCTTCGTACAAAAGCTTGGCATCGAATCGCAGCTCCGATGATGGTATGGAACCTTCCCCTCTGTAAGAATCCGCGACCAATAGACTGGAGGAGGACAACAGATTCTGTGGATTTCTTGTGTACTTTGCGTTCCAAATAGCCCCTTATCTTTGCTTGGAAATCGGTGATTTGTTTGATGGACAGTGAAGGACCTTCCTGTACTTTTGCATGCTTTAGAGAGAATACAAACTCATTTTTCAAATCATTGGATGAATCAGATCTCTCGACGATAGACAAGCTATCGCCCCGAAAGAATGATGGCAATAATGGATTTCTCTCTTCGCCGTCTTCAAAGATGTTGAGCGAAGCTCGGAAAGCAGGTGGGACTTCTAACGACCCGCTGCTTCCCACAGACTGTCTATGCTCAAACCTTGAAAAAGACTTTCGAAAGGACGATGGATCCGACGGGGGCTCGACTACTGACCCGATGCTTCTCAGCGACTGTTCATGTTCAAATATTGACGAAGACTTTCGAAGGGACGATGGCGTTGAGTCTTTAGATGACATTCGTAGCTGCAATCTTGCCGGCGGAGGCGAATTGTGGAGCTGCGGAAAGTATTGCGATCATCTAAACCAGGATCAATCGAAACGGAAGCAAATTTTGTGACTGTAATGGATCTTGGAGTCAGTCGTGAGTCGTGCATCCTCATACCGTAACAATCAAACCTAAAGCAGTACCTCTTCGACTGAATGAATGAGAAACGATTGAATGAAGTCGAATGTGTCGAAGATCCGTTCATAGCATCTCGCTCGATGATTGATTCAATATCTTCTTTCACTGCATTTACAAATTTGGCATTCTCATCGCCAACAACTTGTAAGGTTATTTTGGGTCCAAGGCTGCAGTGATTTGACAGGTTTACTAACGTACCCTAATTTTGTTTTTCTAACTTGTCTCTATCCTGTTTCAGATTGCAAATATGCATCTTGCTCTTTCCTCGTTCCTGAATCGTCTTGTGTCAAACTCGGGTCGACAAATCGCACGCCGCAGCCTAAATGTTGCCGCAAGGCCCAGCGATCTGGTTGGAAAGACACCGCTTCTCGATTTAACTCCATATATGAAGAAGAAGGGTAAGTCGCAATCAAATTGAGAAGGAGTCACCACAGTCCTATCCAAACGTCCAACTCAATATATTCAAATATTACTCATCCACGGTTGACATTTAGGTGTTACCAACAATTCGAAATTGTACGGCAAGATGGAAAGTCTCGGTCCTTGTTCTTCTGGTACGTTTACGTGTGCTGCTTTTCCAAATAGTGAAGGTCAATGAAAGCCATTTTTCTCACCATAATCGAATCTCGAAAATCTACATAAATTCGAAAATACAAAGTGAAAGATCGTCTTGGTCGCTCCATGATTGACGATGCAGAGGAAAAAGGATTGATAACCCCAGGAAAGACGACCCTTGTAGAACCAACATCCGGCAATGTAAGTTTTTCTTTCTTTTTTGTCACTCGTCAATTGAGATTATGCCTCACGAAGCTAGCGTGGCTTTGCAGACTGGTATTGCACTTGCGTTTATTGCGCGTGAGAGAGGGTATGGATGCATCTTGACCATGCCTGAAACGATGAGTATCGAAAGACGAATGATGTTGCTGTCCCTCGGTTGCGAGGTCGTTCTTACACCAAAAGAAAAGGCTGTGAGTGGAGCGATTGCAAAGGCGCAAGAAATCAAGGATCAAATGGGAGACGATGCGATCATTCTTCAACAATTTCAAAATCCGGCAAACCCAAAGGTGCATCGCGAGACCACTGGACCAGAGATTTGGAATGATACCGATGGTGAACTCGATCTTTTTTTTAGGTGAGGCCACTGAACCAAAATCGTTGACATTGCTATAAACATATTTCTGACTCATGTATGTTATCCCAGTGGCGTTGGAACCGGAGGCACAGTGACTGGAGTCTCACAGTATATCAAGGGGTGCCCTGAATTCGATCTACCTGCACTAAAGCCAGGTTTGCAAACTATTGCAGTGGAACCCGAAGAGCAGATGCTTCTTACGGAAGCAAAGGGAGGCGAAAAGCGCGGAGAGCAAGGCCCCCATAAGATTCAAGGTATGGGTGCCGGTATTATTCCAGGCACCATCGACTTGGATTATATTGATGAGATCGTTGCTGTCCATTCGGATGCAGCAATGGAGACTTGCACCGAACTTTGGTTGGAAGGTATTCCTGTAGGAATCTCATCAGGTGCTATTGTCAACGCTGCTGTGGAAGTGTGTAAGCGACCAGAAAACGCTGGAAAGGTACTGTTTCCACTTGGAGCTCTCTTATCGCGATGTTTTTCTGCAAGATTCCTCACACCCAAAACACTTTGCTCTACTGATTCCTAGCTTGGAGTCTGCATCATCCCATGTAAGTTTTGCTAGGCCAACAAAACCTCACATTGGAGTGTCAATCCGCTCATACTCTAACCATGCCGCTTGCCATGTATAGCTTTTGGAGAGCGCTACTTTACGCACCCAATGTTTGAACCAATGAAAGCCAAGGCCGAAGGCTTGCAGAAACAACCTTTACCTGAACCTTTTGACAATACCGAGTTTGGATTCGCCACCGCAAGGGGTTAACCATTGCGTTTCACCGCCAGATTCTACAGTCGCGATTGCAGGCACCAAAGTTTTAGACTTTATTTGCGGCACGATTGTTATCATAGTGCCTACTATATTGATGGCTTTTGTCCCTACTCTATGTTTTGAAAGTACGGTGTATTTAGTAATGTAGCGATACGTGATAGTGAAATGAAATGAAACTAAGACGATCAATGATTGACTCGTGCGACTTCAGTAAGTCTGTATGTCTCCCGTCAGTCGTTCTATTTCTCCAACCAACGTACACGTACCGGCAATGGTTGACAATCACAGCACCACTCACCATCTTAGCTACTACGAAGCCTTTAAATCAATACACAATGGATCAGCAAATCAACCAATTGACTCCTCAGCAGCGTCAGGCAGTTCTCATGCGTGCTCAGCAAGAAGCAAACCAACAAATCATGCAAGACATGATTCAAAGAATGGTCAAGACTTGTTTCAACAAGTGTGCCGGTACCTCTGTAAGGTTTTTTGACCGTCGACTAATGCCGCATCATACTGCATGATAGTTCTAATCGTATTATTTTCGCCACTTTCCACTTTACATTTCATGTTACAGGGAGATCGGCTAGACAGCAGGGAACAATCGTGCATGGCATCTTGCCAAGACCAATACTTTGAAACTCGGAATCAAGTGCAACAAGCGTTGGAAGCCAGACAATCAGGAATGCGCTAAATTCGATTGGTCCGCGTCGTGGCGGATCATTTGATCGAGTTTGGCTGCGTCGTGATGGATCATTTGTGGATATTTGTACAAGTCCTCTGACTAATACTGTATGCAACCTTATTTTCACTAAATCAACCAACTTACGAGACCAAATACAAGGATAGTCTAATGATCTCTTTATCAACTAATTGCTAGGTGATTGTTGCTCTTGAATTTTAAGCACCCCAGCTCACACCGCAGTGCAAGATTAGCAATCGAAAGGTGCATGTCCGATACAACCGCAAATTGACTGTATTTGACGCATCAGCTACTATAACAAATTACGTTTCTATCTGTTACTGACCTTCGAATGTAATACCTCCTCGTTGTGCACTATCAACAGTAACTGCAGCCAACAAATTGCATTGGTTGGATGGAAACTATTGTATTGTGACTGGAGGCCAATTTTAAAAAGAGATAGGAAACAGGAACCCGGATTTGCATTTGAATCTAAACGACACCTGTACGCAGTATGGTACTGTCTGCAACATTGCAAGCGATCCACCAGTGTCTCATAACGCAAAAACAGATGAGTACAAATCCATTTGATGATCGGAGGCCATCTCGATCTCGTCCCAGTCGGCCTCGTCTTCGAACAACGAACAACGATGCCGAGCCTGCAATTTGGGCTGCCAGACATGTCGAATGGCCAATTCCGACAGCCTTGTCGCTCTCCAATTATCAAAAGCTACAGCGCGCTAGTAAACAGGCAGCTTCTCAGATGGGAATAGATGAAACAGCACAAGAAGCAGCAGGAACAGAAGAAGAAAAGGCCGAGGCAAGTTACTTTTCAGGATTCATGAGTCGAGTTTTGAATCCCACCAATGCGGACGAAGATGAAAAGGAAGAAGAGCCCATTTCGTCGCCATCTGGAAGTCGTCCTTTGCGGTCTCCTCGACCGAGATGTGTAGCTACTGCGAATTCATGGATGGTCGCAGCTTTAGAGTGTCCGGTGACTGGTGCTCCACCGTTGCGATTAGTCAGTCGTTGGAACGTTCGTCGCATGGGGGGTGTCGATCAATGGATGGCTTTGCCTCCTCCTGTGTCTGGTGGAGATGGCCGTGTTCTACATGTCTTTGTGGATCCAACAGGTTGTCATACACTCATTTCTGCAAAGAATGGAGAAGCCTACTATCATCACTCGTCATTGAAAGTCATCCAAAAGCTTGCAGGATTTGGACGCAATGCAGATGGGGGGTGGTCTAAGGATATGACAGGGGTGACAGCGTCTTCGCAGGCACATCGAAAATCAAGTACTGTCAATGTTCAAAGTGGAATGTCAGTGGGATCGTACGTCACAGCGGTTGCATGGGATCGCGAGAGAGGCACCGAAGGATCGACCAAGAAGATCCTACTCGGAACCAACACAGGTGAAATCTATGAATATGCCCTAGTATCACCGAATACGAACGAAGATCAAGAGGACACGTACGCAAAGCCGATTCTTTTGCACCAGCTGAACTCGGATGCATCAGTGACAGGGCTGGCATTCGAACGCCTAAGAACAGGGTTACTTGTGCTCGCATGCACTTCTGGACGCAACAAACGCACCCGGTTTTATACGTTCTATTCGGCGCATAGCAGTTCCTTCCGCATGGTGATGGCAGACGAAGCACATGCATCACTTGTAGAGCTTCCTGGGAGCCTGGACTATGCTGACTTAAGAATCTGTAACGATCAGATTTGTTTGCGCACAGCAACAGGGATTTATTATGGGACCATTGATAGAGCGCAGAGTGGGCCAGCCTTTGCAGGGGGTTCTATGGTCATGGACTCTGGGATTCTACCATACGGTGAAGGGAAAGGATCGATACCTGTTTCACTGGCGTTGACACCGCACCACATAATTACGCTTTCAGAAAACAACGAAGTTCGGTTCCTAAATCGAGTAGCACAAAAGGTGATCCAGAAAGAAAAGGTTGATTGGGCACTCCCGTCAAGTTCATCTAATCTGGACGAGAGTCACATGGCGATGGCAGAATTAATGATGGACGTGCGAAGGCCGGACCAAGTTTGGCTTCGAAGGGCCAGAAGTCTCGTTCACATTTCATCGAGCCAGGAGGATCGCGATGTTTGGAAATACACACTTTTCAAGTGCCTTGAGATGCCGATAGGACGCGGACGCTCCAATGTCGATACGGGGGTAATGACAGAGGAGGAAAAAGCGCAAGAAGCACTATTCGGACAAGCCAAGAGCCTCTGTACTCATCCGTCTCAAAAAGCTGTTCTAACCGCTGTCCGTGCGGAATATCACCTTTCCCAAGGAAGGGCTGAGCTGGGTGCGAAGTACCTTGCTCAATGCCCTCCTGTATTGAAACCATTTGCCGATACTGCAGTGCGGCTGGCCCTTCCCATGTTGAATATCGATGACCCGGAATCATATGGAGGATCTGCCTTGGCACGCGAGGCACTCAAAAGCAACACCCCTTTGATCACTTTCTTGACGGATAAAATGCGTATGTCGAAAAACAGCAATGACAAAATGACTTGCACAATGATTGGGGCCTGGTTGACAGAGCTATATTTGCACGATCGTGATGCCTCAGAATCCAACAAAGGGGCTTTGATGCAATTTTTGACCTCGAATGTCCACAACATGGATGCGAAAACCATCATCAAGGTCCTAAGCTCGCACGATGTCAGTGCTTTGGAATGCGCGGGATACGCGAACATTAGTGGTGATATCGAAACGGCGGTAAATGCTGCCCTCCGTATTGAATCGGATGCAAATGATTCAGTCGTCGATGCACTTCGTGTCTTGAACGATGCACCTTTTGAACGTGCTGAGCCATTGTACTACAAGCATGCAACCACGCTACTGGCTCGGGCACCCGTTTTGGCTGGGAAGTCATTCTTGTCGCGTTACACTCACGGTCTTAGCCCGAACCGTTTGTTGCCGTCAATCATGTTTTACGAAAGACTTCGTGAGGATAGAGTAAAACAGCTGCAAGCTGCAAAGACCCTTCGTTCTCCCCGGGGAAAAAGCGGAACGGGAGACAGCAAGAAGACAGAGAGCTTCGACACTGGAAGAAACATGTTTGGGAGTGGTGTTGAAGTTCAGGTTATGTCTGGCGTAGCAGGGCTGGGTTCATTTGTGGACAATGGAGAGGTTTCGGCCCAATATCTGGAGGGAGTTATTAAGCTTGGATGCCGCAGTAGCGCCATTTACAGCTTCTTGATCTCCCTTTATGTTAAGCTTGAGAATGAAGATCCTCTTTTCAAGTTTCTATCAGGACATGTCCCGGCAGCGTCAATGGCCTCTGATGCTTCAAAAAAGGCTGGTATTGCTTTTGGTGATGAAAGTATAGCTGGTCCACTTGACATGTCGTATGCTTTACGCACCATCCTTGCCACTGGTCGGCATTTTCGCTCTGCAATCAAACTATACATGGGCTTTGGGATGAGGCAACAGGCTGTTGAATTGGCCTTGAAGGTTGACCCATCTCTGGCAAGAGAGCTCGCTCAAGACAGCGTTGAACTGGAAGAACGCAAGCGTTTATGGCTGATGATCGCAAAGAATGCTGCATCAGAGGGAATGAATTCAGCCGAGGTTGATGTTGTGTCCAAGGTTGTTTCTGTTTTGAAGGATTGTGGACCTGATGTTCTGTCTATTGAGGATGTCCTTCCTTTCTTGTAAGTGCCTTTGACTCGTTTCTTCAAAATATGAATGGCCACACTAACCGGATGTGGTTCTAAGGCCTGATTTTGCCCAAATTGATCAAATCAAGGACGAGATTTGCGAAGCTCTGACATCGTACTCTTCTAAAATTGAAGGCTTCTTGAAGGAGATGAATGAATCTGATCAAGCCTGTGATTCTTTACGTCAAGAGATTAGCCGCCTCCGAACCCATCGAATGGAAATGAGATCCGACGCTCGCTGCGCCTACACCAATCGCGCTGTACTTTCCGCTGGGGAACCCTTTTATGTTTTCCCATCAGGTTATGTTGTTCTTGAAAGTGCATTAAAAAGAGAAGTCCTGCCTTATCTGAACGAGCGACAACGACGAAGAGTTGCTGAGATTGAACGAGAGTTCAAAGTATCATCGAAACAGAACAGGCAGAGGGATCCAAAGTTTGATTCCCTCCAGGCCGAACTTGATGGTCTTATTGCTGCGGAATGTCCTCTCACCGGGTCAATTATGGTTGATAGTATTGGTAGGGGATTCTCTGATGATTTGGACGACGCATCGTTCTTGCACAAGCCATCAAATATAGGAGATTTGAACCACAAGACTGCAACAGTGTGAACTATATTTTAAAATAAAACGAGCTGTGATATCTATACTTCAAGTGGTTGGGAGCCAGGTTCAAGGGCGGCAGCCACAGCGCAGCGTGCCTTCTTCGTCCCGACTAGACAAGATAGTAAACTCTTGTCATCTCCTCGAATATGAATCGTTTTGTCGTCCTCAGATTCAGCCATCACAAAAAGAGCCCTTTTGCCACCTAAAGACATGAAAGCCCACAGCTTTGTCACCAAACCACCAGGGATTGCTTCCCCGCGAAATCGTAAAGTTGAAATTGCAGCGAGACGTGATCCATTGTGTGGTGTACTCGCTGTATCATTGACACCACCAACCTTCATTGGGGGAACTTGATAAGGAACTCGGGACCAAAGAAATCTAAAGGAATCGACATCACCACTTCCATCTCTGAAGAAGACAAAAGGACAAGGCTGCAGACCAATCATGGGGGATAAAAGGATGGGCTCACACGGTATACATAAATGCTCCTTCAATGAACCCTTTTGCTTTTTGCTGCGGCTTCCCTTGACACCCTTCCCGGTGCTCGAGTTCTCACCATCACCGATGTCGTCTTTGTTCTCTCCACCGATCCAAGAGGCATGAGTGGGCTCTTGTTCCATTGACCGAAATACAATTGAAGGGTTGATAGTTATCGAACCTGTCATTGGTAGAACGTCTAAAGCCACTTCCCAGGTGATGTGCTCACCACTCTTTAGTTCTGGTTTGTACAACGCTGTGGCCGATGTCAATGAGGATTCACCAAAAGGATCAGCATTGCTTTCGGCCAAAGCATGATATACATCCTGCGACACTGCATCCATAGCATCTGCACTCGTTGCTGCATTCTCGTGGTGGATTCCAAGTTCCAGACGAACACCATCTGGTACCACAACGGCAGTTATGTTATGGACACGCATCGAAACAATAAAACGAAACTCCTCTTCGCCATCATAACGAAGAATACGCCTCATTGAATGCGAAAGTGCCACTGCGGCTGCATCTGATCCTCCAGATAGAGAGCGAACTTGAGAACCCCAGGAGTACTCTGAATCGCGTGTAACTGGGAGTTTGGGGTTCCTCGAAGAAGGTAGTGGAGGGAGATTCAATCGAAGCCAGTTCTGCTTCCTTGCTGCTGCTGGAAATGGATAGACAGAAGGAAACGATAGCAAGCAACTGTCAATACGAGTTGCAACAATCTGACGCGTCAGCTGCATCAAATATCCAACGTTGTAGGCGTCGTCACTTTGCTGTGATCTGCTCGCAGTGACCACTGGGCGTCGTTTCAAAGGCCCTGGTGGTATCAAAAGCGAGAAAGAAGGACCGTCTTGCAAGCTCCGACTACTCTGAACAGCAGTCTGGATTCTATCGATGGCTGCTTTGCAAACTGGCAGAACAGGAGCGTCCGATTCGGCATCACTCTTCCCTTGGAGAGAAGCAATTGCATGATTCAAAATGCTTGTAGTTTCGGGACTCTTCCCGAACTTTCCCTTGTAATTGCATACAAAAAGAGCCAAGTTTTCGATTAACGCAACGCAAACAGTTATTGTCTCTTGCGCGTACTTTTTGTAAGACTCTTTCTTCTTCTTCGAGTATTGATCAATTTGGCTCTTGTTGCTCTCTACAAGCTTTCCAAATATCCGACGGGGAGAAAGGGCTTGTAGCAGATCTTTTGCCATCTTGTCCTTCAAATCCTTTTGACCAGCGTTCAGCGAGAGGTGCTGCGTTTGTATCCACTGATCAACAGAAAATGACAGCAAGAAAAGCCGCATATGGTGCGATACTACCCCACGTCCCCGAAGTTCTTTCCCCGTGATCTCCGTTATAATGGCATATAGCAACTCCAATTCAGTCGATGAAAGGGGGGCGATGGGTTCGTGCTTGCTAAGAAATGTAGCTGCTTCCTCCAACTGGTCCCATAACATGTTTGGAGGCGAGGCAGACGGTGACATCTTCAATGATACACTTTTCGACTTCAACAAACCACTTGAGTGCAGCAAGTCCATGAACAATCCAACATAATTTGTTTGCGCAGCGACTAGGACATTTAGTTCCTCCTCCATGAAAACCGGTGACGAATCTTGCCAAGTAACACATGGCAAAAAAGCTTTCAAGAGAGCGAGTGACATGCACACCCATTCATGGAACTTTTCACCACTCACTGAAGTACCTCCATCAAGGCTCCTAAATTTGCGTCCGGTCTCTATTGCCACGGAACAAAATGCTGCCACAATCTCCTCACCAGGCTGAATAATATCACCGTCTCTGGCCAATTCATTGATCGGGATTGAGACAAGATTCGATCTTAGGAAGGATTCCAATGCGAGAGATCGAGAATTTGACGAATCGACTGCGCCATCGACGAAGAAAGAGAGGGCCACTTCTGTCAGGAATGCTACTCTAGTTGGCCGTCGGTAGTGGCGAATCCCCCCAAATTCAAGCATGAGCCCAGGTGAATTAACTCCATATGGTGCAATTGAGGTGGATCGCAAACTAAGAAGTAAGGAGAAGACGAACTCCAATGTGGAAAGTCGTTCGGGCAATGGTACAGCTCGGCTACAAACCAATAAGCTTGCCAGCGCAGTCAACTTTGCCTCCTCGTTATCGGCTGAACCAGCTTGTTCCTTCAAGACCACAATACTCCAGTGGGAGGTTTCAGGGACCCAGGGAGCGTGTGGGCAAGCGCCAATCAACCGAATTGCTGACATGGAGGCCGCAAGGGCAAGCTGAGCCTCGTAAGAGTTCATCATTGTTGGCAGTAGCAGAACATCGACCATTTCATTCACGAGATTGACAAAATCATACTCGATCCATCTCTTTGCATAGGTTGTTCGATCCATTCCATACAGTACAGGCGGTGACGTCTTGGATAAATGTACTAGACTGGCTGTGAGAACTGGCAAAACGATCCGAACGTGGTTCGAAGTATCGAATGTAGTGACCCTACCAACAAGTTGCATTAACCGGGGAGCCATGACATTATCATATATTCTGGCTTGTAATTCTAGTTGGGGTAAATTGGATTCTTGATCTTGCAAAACTCCGAGCGAAGGTGAATGTGGCGACGGACGACCGTGGACTATTGACATGACTTCCCGAAGAAGTTCGTCCTCCACCATACTACCTGGAATGGAAGAGGATGATAGCGTCATAATTCCAAGAGCATTTAATGCAGCGGCAGCTACACCGTCGTCGGGATCTTCCAACGCAACAGAAGCAAGTGCCATCGGCACATCAGTTCCGACTTCGTCTTCAAGCCGCGTGTTTGTAGACTCTCTTAGTGCAAATAAACGAGGCGAGTGCCGAATTCTTGCATAGGCTGCTCTTGCTATAAGTGCCAGAGTTTTACACGCAACAATCTTTGCTCTGCGATCATCGTGTGTCTGAATGCACTCAATCAATGCAGCAAATGCCCCATCCTCAGCACCCATAGTGTTTACAAAGGAAGCATCATGAAACAGCGAAGATGACTGAACGGAATTGGTGTCTTCCATTGACGAAGATGATCCATTCATAGCATATTGATTCAATTGAAGACACGTTTTTGCGACCGACGGATACGCCGAGTGATTGTCTCGCAACGGTGACAGATTTGCCACTTCATAGGTCGCAGGGAAGTTCAAATTCGCAGCAAAAGCGTCTGCTTCCGTCGTTCCACTTCCACCACTCAAAGATACGCTATTTTTTTCAGCATCTGCTTTGTCCATTTTACGGCTGCTGCTAGAAGATTGGTAATCAATACCACGACAAGTCCTCTCTTTGTTCCATATTGCTCAGTCCAAGCAAAATTCAAAGCAAAGATGATCGACTGATTGATTGATTCGTTCGAATGATTGCAGTTGAATGAATGAATGAATTATACGGTCTCAGTCGTATTGATCGGATTGCAAGCAAGTCTACTACTGCACCGTATGTACGAGTAGTAGACGGAACATATTCACTTACCCCTATTGAACTCGTTTCAAACATACCGGTACCTGTACATCCAGAATACAATGTTATTTATTCACTTCCCTTCTCACCTCTCCCTATTGGGGTTGACAGGATGCTGACAACATCTTGCCAAAGCCTGGAAGGGCAGCAACCTCGAGCCCGATTTGATCTTTTTGGGGTCGCACGCTTCGCGCAACCCCAAGTCCACTTCGACACCACAACCCACCAGAGTCATCCAGGAAGAATGAATCCCACAGATGGACCCAGACGGAAGCCATTAGGCCATCCTCGTTTGGGTTGTTTACCGAACCGTATTCAACCACATGCCCCATGCCTATCTATCTGGTCAAATCGTTGTTTTGCTTTGCGGTGTTGCTTAAGAGTGCTGCAGGGCTTATTCCAGAGGGAAAAGATACCTTTCTTGATGGGGAAGCGCTGAAGACTGCCATGCTCCGTGGAAGGGTTTACAAGCAAGAATCATTTTTGACCGAAAGCCAGGTCCAGACCGTGCTTCAAGAAATATCCAAGCTCGAAAGGGAAAATGCATTCGTAAGGAAAGGCCTCTCAAACACAGCAGTTGAAAATACATTTGATGAGAAATTGGACCGATCCATATGCCCCGTCCCTTGGTTTGGAGACGCACTTGCAGGGAGAGATACACGGGAAATCCCCAAAATCATTCGTCAATTGCAGACAAGCCTTAGTGCTGTGTTAAATAAGCCTTCAATCGCTGACTCTAATTCAGGGCACGAATGTTATTTTTCCAAGTCGGAAATTGGGTCTCGTTTGCCCCGCCATATGGATTCGCGGCATGAGGTACGACTTTGGTGACTGTCGCCTTCTCATATTTTGCTTCATTTCTAATTGTCTTTGAGAAAAGGAACTCAAAGGAAGGCAGGGATGGCTACTCCCTTCTCGACGCAGCCTATCATGGCTCGTCTACCTAAGCGATCCGGAAGAGTGGAGTTTAACAAAAAACGGAGGAGCTTTAAGAATTTTTCCACAAAAGCATGTGGTGGAATCCGATTCAACTCACGACGGCAATCTACAGGTGGGTTGGTTAATCGATGATGGTATGGCCTCGAGACCGGTGTACCTGGATAGTTGGTTCCCTCTTGTCACCACCTCCGTTTCTGCCGATGGTAGTATGTTTGAGCAGGTAGAGCCCCATTGTGTATTGTATGCAGTGGCTGACAGTGGGCAGAAGGAGGAGCTTACTCGACCGTGGTTGACAGAGAACCTTCAAGGGACTCCAGTCCTTGATTTCCTGAGACTATACGCACTTCAAGACTCCAAAGAAGGATCATCACAAGTTCTGTTTGCTAATCGAAATATTGCTCGACAGTTTAAACTCTTGGAGGATCGTCAAGCTTGGGATGACGGCAATATTCCTCATGGGTCTGAGGTTGTTGACATTGTTCCTACTCGAGGCTCGTTGGTGGTATTCGACTCGGTTAAGTTACCCCACCAGGTGCAAGTGATTCATAATGGAACGAGGCTGGCGTTGGCAGGATGGTTTCACGAAGAGGTTGTCATGAATCTACCTAGTCTGGCAAGCTAGCTATGATAGCGTCGTCTTCTTGTAGCACTAGATTCATTTAGAGATTTCCATCTAGGAATCGTGGGCGTGTACGAAAGCTGGTCAGCATGAAACAGATGAGATCGTGGTGGGAGACATTGGATTTCATCGGTAATCGATTGGTCTCTATTCGCGATGGAACCAGTGGCCATAGGGGTAGAGGGAATTCAGATGATTGCATCAACTGTCGCCCAGCCCAATTCAACGAGATCGACCGACTTCAAATGTGGCAACAGTTTCATATTTTGAACGGAATAGTTTCGCTCAAGGCCCATGATAAACGCCGTACTACATTCCTCATCGAACCTGTTTTCTGCTCTTTGGCAATGCGCAGGCCAAGTGTTTGATTCCAATATTGGTAATCCTATCCCTTTCCAGAAATATAGTCGTCAGAGTGGTTTTCGCCACAAGAGCCTCGCAAATAGTTTCGACATCGGTATCGTCGACCTTACAACCTGAAATATCCAAGATTGTGAGAAAGTTGGTCTTTTCCAGAGCATTTGATATCATTTGGATGTCTATAGCTAGTCATGTTGACAACTCAAATTCAACTTTTACAATTGACAAGTGTTGGAGGCTAGCAGTTGCGCAACTTCTCTACTCGTCGACAGCCCCGCTCTATCGTTGTTTCGATCCAAAAATTTCAAGTTCAGATGTTTTTGGACAGCAGCGACTATATGGGCCACTCTCATGTCTTGAATGCAGCAGCTTCGGAAACCAATTTTCTCCAAGGATTTGTTTTCGGTCAAGCCCGATGCCAGGGAGATCACTGTCTCGTTATCTTACAAGTAGTTGTAATCAAATTCAAGCGTCTTTAAGTGTGAAGTCGACCTCAGACCGACTGAGAGTGCTTCCATACCAACGCACTCAAACCAGTGGTTATTCGAAGGCATTGGAGATTCGATGTGCACAAGTTCCTCCTGATGGTGGTCGCTCTTTCCAATTCCATTTTGTTAATCAGAAGAAATAACGCTTCCAAAGCTTCAGATGCTATGCAAATTAAAATGACTGATTCCATATCTCTGTTGGCATTTCTCAGCCCGAGCTCCTTGAAAGTTTAGTTCGTATTGCATCCACTACGTCGAAAGTTCTTCTTGACAAAGCGTCACGAAAACTCTTGTTGTAAACCAGTCGTCAAAGGACCAACACTTTTCATTTTCGTTCACATTGTCAAGCTGGAAAGTAGCATCTCCACTATTCCGAGTGTTTGACACCGTTAGAATATGATCATGTGACAATTTGACTGCCATCAGTGACGACTGACTCTGGGCTTGGTAGAAAAATGATGTTCTCGAGAAAATCGAAAACTTCTTTTCTCGGTGGCGTGTCAGTTTGCTCGCGCAGCGAGTGATTGACAGACGAACCAATCGATCAGGTCAATCTGACCTCATCTGATTGAGGTTATGATTTCATTTGATGATGATTCTTCAAGATAAAATATAAAAACGACAGGTGGAAGAAACGACAAGTTTGTCCAACTTCACCACAATCCATCTCAATCACGCAACGTCGAAAGACTACGAAAATAAAAGGGAGCAACAGTGCAGATTAATATGATTCGAATACGTATTCTTAAGTTTCGGTGGTTTTGTATAGTGGCTGGGGCCGCTGTTGGTTTGAGTTTATTAGCCGATGCTTCCAGCACAACATCTGTATCTTCGATACCTTTCCGTATCAATTTCTCCTCCAAAGGAAGATTTCAGGATCGAGACTCTCTTGCTTTTATCACCAAAGATTTCAATTCAATACTTTTGAGGGGAGGATCTGATAGTGAAATGGAAGACTATGACAACGAGTATGATGACGAGTCTGATACTGAGGAGACAACTGTTGATGAAGCATCGTCGGACTTGGTTGGCATTGCAGTAAGCATGTCGAAGAATACTCTGAGTTCTGTTGGATCAATAGTTACAAAGTTGGCCACACAGTCAATAAATGCGATACGTCGTGCTATCAAGGCCGGTCTTGACACCGATCATGCGGACGAATCTGAAGATCAAGGGTTGGTTTCCAAGCTTCTCAACGTTGCACTGCGCATGATGAAAGCTGCTTTCATTTTTGATGAAAGCGTCGATGGCCTTTCAGAAAATGAATCAGACGGAGAAGTAGAAGGAGGATCAGAAGATGAGCACGAGTACGTCATCAAAAGGGAAGTTGATTTTGGATCTGTTCTTTCAAAGGCGTACGGAGTGGAAGACAATCGTGGAGAGGACGGCCCTGTCATATTGAATGGCAGTCTAGCAAGCGCACTGGAAACTGCAAGATCGCAAGCGCGAATGCTTGTGATCTTTCTCCCTGTCCGAAAACCGTCCAAGGGAAAGAAGACGAAGGATAACATTGCAATTGAAAGTATCTTGAGCTCGGAAGTCGCCCGAGCTGCAAACAAGCGAGCTAGCAAAAATGGTGGAGAAACTGGATCCTTTCTATTCTGGGCAGCTAGTGCAGGATCGCCTGAATCTGCTTCTGCAATGAAAAGGTTGAAAGGAAAACTTACTTCTCAAAAAGGAGAAAGACGACCTGTGCTTGCTGTTGCATACCCACTGCTGGTAAGTATCTTTTCATTCGTGACCGTGAAACAAGCGACTGATTTTTCTGACTCCTTGGTTTTAGTCAGTAGCCAGTGGCAATACAAAAATTGCCCCGAAAATTCTTGCACAGCATCATTGCAGCCCACCTCCAGCAGAATCTGTGATGGCATCATGGTTGGGCTCACTTCGCAAGCGGCATGGCAAACTGTACGCAACAATGGAAAAAGCTTTGAAGGAAGCCAAGTACTACAAGGAACGAACGGAGGGGTATTCAGAGAGTGTAAAGAGCGACAACGAACGAAAGAAACGGGAGAAAGAGGAAGAAGCACTAAGGGCAGCAAAGGAAAAGGCAGAGAAAGAGCGGCAGGAGGCCTTGACAGCTCGCCGAGTTGAGCTTAGAGAATCGTTACCCGAAGAAGACACAAGCAAAGATGCCAAAAAGGTTGCCCTTCGGTTTCAAGATGGCCAATCAGGCCAGCGACAATTCTCCCCGGATTCACTTGTTTCCGACCTTTTCAACTGGGTTGACGCCATCTTTGAGATGGAGCGTGAGAAGGTCGTGCTGACATCGATGAATGGAAAGATTACTCTCAAATGGGATGTAGAAGCAAATGATAGGCTGCTCGAAGACGTTGGTCTAGGAAGGAATACTGGATTCCGAGTGTCGGAAGCACAAGAGGAAGCGGGGGAGGAAAGGGAAGAAGAAAACTAGACAAGCGATTACAGCTAAAGTGAATCCTGTGGTTTGAAGTTTTGCAGAGTAGACAATCATCGTTCTAGAGTATTTGATTTCCAACTTTTGCAACGCCTTCAGCTTTGAAAAATTCCTCTCGGAGAGAATAGATGTACTGCATCACTTCAATTTCGATTGGAGTCAGCTTGAGGGTGTTGAAAAAGTCCACATGTAACACGACTCTCTCCATGGTTTCATGCTCATTCATCGTTTCGTGCTCGTAGGTTGTATCGTACAGTAAACATTCGCCATCTTTCCAATGCTTTGTTTCAGGACCAACCCGAATCCATGCCTTTTCACCATCTGGAACCCTGATCCCCATTTGGCACGTAAGCCACATATTGTTTCCGTCGCTATGAAGAGGGATTCCAGAATTGGGTTGTTGCCGGTTGAAGCTGAAGTGACAACATAATTGAGAACGGTGTTAGACCAATTGAAATTTGAGATGAAGCCATTCGTTTTCATGACAGCAAGCTTACCCTGCAATTCTGCCAGCAACGGGGACAGTTTCTAGTATCTTGGTAGTTGTCGGGCATAGATCATATGGAAAGTCAGGAATACGATGGCCGTTGTAGAACAATACCATTGTTTTCCACCCGCTCTCATAGTTCATGCTGGTAACAGATTGAAACCTATCCTTTTCATCGCGAAGAAGATTCTCATACTCTTCGCATATGATATCGTAATTTTCAGAGAGCTTTTGGCACAACGCCAACTGCGATGGATCTAGGAAAGGCTGTGTCTCTCCAAGTCCCGGCATATAGGCGTGGATCTCATCGTGTGGACGATACGGATCATTTACGATGGAATCCTCCAGCGGCAGACTTGGATCCAATGTGTGACGAACCATACCTGCTACTCGTTCCAATTGTTTATCGGCGACATTGGGGAATCGGGAACTGACAAGTGATGGCATCAGTTCCCAGAAGGGGTCAATTCCATCAGGAGGAACTGGTGCAGAAGTAACTGCTCTTCCAATGCTAGTGGTTGATGCCTTTGCAGCAAGCGAAGCAATCAAATCGTCTTGCTCAGACTTTACAAACGGTTTATTACTCGATGCGTTCTCTTTTGGCGCATCTTGGAGGACATTCGAAAGTCGTTTTGACTTCGACTTTTTCTTCTGTGCCTTTTTTCCAGATCCAGATGTTGTTTTTCCAAATCCAGCGTTCACAGCTGTTGACGATAGTCGTACTGTCGTGGAGAATGGGACGAAGCTAGTAGATTGATGCGCAGTCAAGGCTAGAGAAGCGCAAAGGAGCACTATTCTGGTCGTCATGGTTGTTGTTCGCGATGTGTCACCAGTGTGTGATCGGTGCGATGTTGACGACGTACGGACGTGAAGATTTTAAAAATGCAATGGATCTTTCTCATTTCAGGTTTGATGCCATGAAGATTTCAACATGATCCGCATAATTTCTTGGCTACAGATACAAAAGTGACAACTGCTTAGTATTTGAATGCTGTGCTATATAAGGCAGATATTATTTAATCGTACATGTTTAAAACAATTTAAGCAGAGGTGGTGGTTTCTTGCTTAACCTTCTTGGCAGCAGCGGTCTTCTTCTCGTAGATGTCACGAATGGCGAAGGCTGCAAGAGTTTGCATAAGACCGGTTCCGTTGTTGCTTCCTGGAGCGTCAGCAAGGGCAAGCATAGCTTGAGTCAATTCTCCGTAGAACTTAGTCTTGGTGTTGCTCAAAGCAGATTCGACGTAGACGAGCTCCTGAAGGTTATCGAAGCTTCCATCCATCTCAACAACTTGACAGTCTCTGCCGAAGTATTGTTCACTTCTGTAGGCCATCTTGAGTCCTGGAGCAGGGGCGGAGAGCTTGGTGGGAGCAGGAGTCCATTCGATGGTGGATCCTTGGTCGAAGAGGTAGCATGGGCTGAAGTCAACGACGCCATCCTTTTGGATGCATCTGACATTAAGTGTCTTCTTGTCTTCCTTATCAAGGTTGGTAGGGAGGACCTCAATGATCACATCGGAGTCCTTCTTTTGGGGGTCGATGTAGGCATCGAAATCGGGCTTTCGGGCCTCGATGGAAGCCATGATGGACTCAAGAGAGTGTCCACGCTCTTCCATATCACGCTGGATTTTCCAGTTGAGCTTGACCTCGTCAGAGATGTCAAGGTAAAGAGTGAAGTCAAGAAGGTCACGGACGCGTTCGTCGTGCATAGGGTGAAGACCTTCGAAGATGATGATGGGGGTAGGTTCGATGGTCTCGGGGGTGTCGAGGGTTCCGTTGACGTGGTTGTAGATGGGCTTAGAAATGGTCTTTCCATCCTTGAGGGCCTTGATTTGCTCGAACATAAGGTCGAAGTTGTTCTCAAGAGGGTTGAGAGCAGTCAAACCAGAGACCTTGCGGCCGTTACGGTCGTTCGAGTGGTAGTCATCAAGGCAGATGACGGTAGTAAGGTCGGAGACCAAGGTATTGGTTTCCCATCCTCCATTTCCGAAGCCACCTCCAAGAGGTCCAACGACATCTCCTCCGAAGATGGAGGTCAAACGGCGCATGAAAGTGGACTTTCCGCATCCAGAGTCGGCGGCAACACCGATGACGACTGGGGTTTGTCCGTCCTTCAAAGCCATGTTAAGGCTGCTGGTGGAAGCAGGAACTCCGGCATTCTTGGGTGTGAAGGCCGAAGGAGCGAAAGCAGCAACGGTGGTAAGGGCTGTGAAGGAAAGGGTGAACTTCATGGTAATAGCCTTCAATTAAAAGTTGTGAGGACAGGGGTGGTAGATATCGTCGTTTTCAAATCTCGTGCGTGTTGCCCAAAAATTGACACATACGTAGGTGTCATAGAGATTTTCGTTGCGCCAAAATGCTTGTTGACGTGGCTCTTGCCACGTCAAGCGTACGAACGTATCCTGATAGTACAACCGGACGCAGGCACACCTTCAAAAACAGATCGTCATCTGTTCCCCAGAAGGAGTGAATACCCCACACATCGAGACACAAACGTGCCCCCATGACATGAGCGTACATTCATTCAATACCAAAGTAAAATGGAATGAATTTATAGCCTAGTCTAGATAGGTCCTAGTCCTAGATGAAATTGAATGATTAAAATTAAATACACAATGCTGAATTAATGAATCACCATAATCGTGACCTCTGCAGCCACTTCTTTGTCATCAAATTCTACTCTTCTGCTGCTACCGGTACTGCTTGGCGCTTGCGCAGATCATTAGCGTCGTGGTTCACACCCTTTGAACGGAACTCGGAAAAGCCATGGAATGCATCGGCATCGTCCAAATTCCCTTCACGATGATGGAGGTACTCCCTTTGTTCCTCATGGTACTCCTCCTCCGATTCTCCAGAAGGATCCAAATGCTGCAGATCTTCTAGCGAGAAGAGTCGTGATACGATAAAGCTACGAACTGGTACATATACAGCAATCAATGCTGGGAAAACGTATCCTGCAAAGAGAAAAAAAACACAATGAGGCTTAAACAAGGACAAACATTCGACGATGCACCATCCAACTTACCCCATGTTGCAAATTGAGCAATGCTGAAGGTGACGACAGCAAGGCCGAATTGGATGGCAGTGTAGTGTTGAACAACTCTCCAGCTGCTTGTTTTGGCAACGACCGGGATTGGAGGTCGCTTCTTCGCGTACATGAACATGAGATTGATCCGCTCCCAGATCTCATTGCCGTGCATCGCGTCAACACCAAGGTACAAGAAGATTCCAAACAGACATCCAACTGGGATCCAGCTGATGATAACAATCACACTCAAACTGGCAAACATCAGTAATGCTTGTCCCATTGCAGACCAACGTTGTTCTTCACAGTCGGAGAAGACCTCGCGACGAACCCCATTAATGGTTTTGTAAGTACGAGTACAGAGCGATCTGGAGTGCAGAGGAGCCTCTGGAATCAGACCGGATCCTGGAGGTATCCCCATGACTCCACATGGAATTATTGTCAATCCAAGAACAAAGAAATCCCAATGGTAGGATGGTGGTTTCTTCAGATTGTACTTTGGTGCTTGAGTCATGATACTTGAAATATTGTGATCGATGAAAAAGAGGAGGTAAAGCATAAAGGCGGGAAAGAGAGCACCGAAGATTCCCCTGACATCAATGCCGTCAAATGGGTCGGCAACAATCCAAGGACGAGGCTCGATACCCGGTTCAGTCGTAGGGAGCCAATCCCAAGGGATACGTCGAATCTCCACTCGCTTGATACCAGCTCGGCCATTTGAATCTTGCGCCACCCCAGGTAGATAACTGAGGGCCGTCATGATAACAAGAGCGATCAGCATATTGTATGAGGTTAAGAATTCCCTGAATTGCCGAGTAAGATGCGGCCAAGTTTCAGCAAAATGCAGAGTCCAGCAAATATAGAATGTCATCAAACCAATAAGCAGAGAGGCGTAGGCAGCAGATCTCTCTTCCATCTCCTCGTCCCGCAAATGGATGTCCTTCACCAGGTCACGAATACTTTGGAAAATGAAGGATGATGCAATGAAGAATTCAAAGATTTGCGTTGAAAAGGGAGAAATGAACCAAACAAAATTCACAATTCCAAGCACGGCAGAGAGCATGTGCAAAAGTGCAGCCCACATACAAAGCCACCAGAAAAAGGTGAAGTATTCCGCATCGTAGTCCTCGGCCAGACGGTATGATTTTCCCAGCAAAATTGCAACAGGCCCTGTGATTCCCAACAAAACAAGCGGTTGACCAGCCATCAAGGCATATATCACACTGATGAGGCCGGCACTGAGGATGACTTCGGCCACGGCCAATCGTCCTTCGGTCTGTTTATCTAAAAGCTCGGCGAAAATCAATGCTGGAATAAGCTGCACGACGAACACGAACCAAGTCGAGTTCAGCACTTTCATGGGGCTTCGTGGGCATTTCCAGTCATCAATGTAGAGTGGCATCCGAGCCGCTAGATCTCCCTTCATACCTGTCAAGAATTGAATGGTGGGAGTCTTTTCCTCGTCGGATGATGGTTCCGAATCCAAGTTTTTCGGGTCATTCTTGCCATTTTGGTTTTGTGTTGCTTCAGCTCCATCGGAGACTGTTCCTCCCTCGTTCGTGGTCATTTCAACTAGCTACTTTCTTCTTTGTGTCTTACTGTAATTTCTTTGTGTTGCGGAAACTCTTTTTATTCCTTTGTCAAAAGCACAAAAAGAATGAGATTTTTTATTTTGAATTTCGTGGCTGGCGAAGGAATTCCAGCATTGTTCGATCTACGCAGCCATCACCTAGATGACTGTCGTAGTTTTGTCGCAGTAGAGTGACGTAAACGTGTCTACCGGTACAACCTTTTTGTGTCAGATTCATTCAACCAAAACCCGAACTCAAAATTCAAAAATCTAAAACCTGCAAAACGTCGCGAATTTCAAATTTGAAATTGGGGCCATGGAGCAGCATCTTTTTGAGATGATTCGATCATCAGCATGACACATACTTTCTATACTACGGATATCGGTATATGATTGACTATGGCAAACAGTTTGGCCGCAAATCAAATAATCGACTGAAATGTACGACGATTTAGCAGGCACCTTTGACAAGAATAGATGGTTTCTTTTCATCATCTCTATTCTTTATGAATCATCTTCGGACACTCTTCGACTATGATACTGTAACTCATTTGTCTTCTAAGAAGTAATGGATCTTTGACGATTTCGCAGCACCGTTTCGGCAACGTCTGGATGATGGTCGTAGTACTCAGAAGCATTGTGATCCACATCTTTCATACGCAATTCTGAGAATCCGTGGATAACTTCTGCCTTATCGACATCGCGATCCACCTTGTGCAATTCTCTTTGCTCATCGGAGTAATCTTCGTCAGAATCTTCCACTGGATCCAAGTACTCCAAGTCTTCTTTGGAAAAGAAGCGTGATACAACATGGATGCGAAATGGCACAAACATCGCAATCAATGCTGGGAATACGTATCCTGATCCATGCATGACAAATAAAATGCTATATTAGATATATGACATCGTATTTCACGGCTAGAGTAATTTTCTCTTACCCCACGTTGCAACCTGTGCAATGCCAAAAGTAATTGATGCAAGCCCAACTTGAATGGCTGTACAGTGCTGCACAACACTCCAACTGCTTATTTTTGCAACAACTGGAGTAGGGGGGCGCTTCTTGGCATACATGAAGATGAGATTGATACGTTCCCAGATTTCATTACCGTGCATTGCTCCAACACAAAGATAGAAGAATACTCCGAATAGACATCCCACTGAAATTCGGCTAATGGATGATGGTCAAACCTAGCACAAAAGAGTCCCAATGGTTGGCAGGTGGCTTCCTGAGTTTGTATGTTGGAGCCTGGGTAAGAATGCTGTGGTCAATAAAGAATAGTAGATAAAGCATGAAGGCAGGAAATAGTGCTCCAAAGATCCCCTTGACCTCAATGCCATCCAACGGGTATGTGACCCAAGGACGTGCTTCCGTTCCCGTTTCTGTAGTAGGTCTCCAATCCCATGGGATGCAACGAGTCTCTACCCGCTTGATACCATGAAGCAAATCTGTGTCTTGTGCCACTCCAGGAAGGAAGCTGAGTACTGACATGACAATGATGGCAATCGCCATGTTATAGACCGCAAATACAGTTCTCACTTGCCCCGAGAAGGAGATCCAAGTCTCGGCAAAATGCAGAGTCCAGCAAATGTAAAAGATCAAGATACCACGTACTTCTGTAGTGAGGAGTATGCGGCTGCCCGCTCTTCACTGCGGGCTTGTCTGATTTGACCAACAAAAAATGTCCCCTCAACAGAGCATAAACCTCACCAATGATTCTGCCAATGAGCAAGGCTTCATAGACGGCCAAGCTTCCTTCAGTCTGCTTATGAAAAGCTCAGCACAGATGAGAACTCGAGTTGAACGACAAAGGCAAAGAAAATTGCATTGAGGACGGTAAAGAGATTCTTAGGACGCTTCCAGTCGTCACAGTACAAGGGAATACGAGCTGCTACGTCTTCCTTCATGCCCGTAAAGAGCTGAACATTTGGTCGATCCCCAGGGCTTTCATTTCCCACTACCAATGCGGAAGAGTTTCGTTCTGCTGAAGTTTCAGTTTGAACTTTTTGGAAAGTAGGAGAAACAGGATCAGTTTTAGCAACTTCTTCTTCTTCTTGTGTCGAAGGATTGGCAATCTTTGCCTTTGTGGGTCTTGTAATACCCCTCATTGTACTGTAATGGGCCCTCTATTGGGTTTCTCGTTATTGTGAGAAGAAATCTTTGATCGATTGTGTGTCACAGTTCGAATAAAATAACCAGAACCAAAATACTCGTACCGGTACCAGGCAGGTACGTACCGGTAGGACCACTGTTTCCACATGTCATGTGAGCGTGACATTTTCCGTGTCTTGGTGACGGGTGGCGGACGGGGGTATCCGGCGCGCTCTACATTGCCCGACCTGCTCGGCTGGACAAACTTTCCCGTCTGCCGGTTCGTGTTTGCGAGTGTTACAAGAGTTGGATGATTCTTGTTGCGTAACAAGTAACGATCCACGGAGCAGTGAAAGCACGAGCTCATCTGTGAATGATAGCAAGTCTGTACCGTTGGATCGCGAAGACATATTTTCAACCATGGATTCTTGTTTTTGCAACACTGGCGATTTGCTAATGGGATCTCCATTTGAACCTTATGAAGAAACCGCAATGATGGAGGAAAAACACGCGAGTAGTTTCCGAAAACCGAAAAGTCAAGATTCGGTGACCTATGTCAATTCCTCTTCGAGTTCTCTCTCGACTCTTGACCAAGATGCCATCACAATTACAAACAGTGCAAGTGATGCTTCTATGCCCAAAGCAGGCCGTGCTTCTCCAAAGATTATTTGCCAACCACGGAAACACAGTACGGCGATCGCCAAATCGGTAGATTCGAAACATCCGTTTTTGATGGGGCGGACGGCGATGGTGCTCAATTCGGAGCCATCAAAACTTACAGTGCCCAGGGAGTGGTCATGTACGCAGTTTCGAAATGAACCTTCCCCGCTACGCAAGGATGCCTGGTCCGAGCCGAAAGCATCCAATTTTCAAGTGAGAGGGAAGAACTACATTCTAGACGGCAAAAAGTTTCCATCCAAAGAGGCAGCCTTCCAACTATTGGCTGTTGATATGGTTCATTCAGAAGGTACCATCCGCGAAGGCTTGTGCGGTCATCCTAACGAGCGTGTTCAACGGGCTATCCGACGGGAAAAGGAAACTGGAGTTTCACAGCTTCCTCCATTTATTTTCGCAGTCAACTTGTCAATACCTGGGACTCAAACCTATCATCTCGTTTCCTATTATGCTGTCGAAAACATGGAAGAAATTGAACACCAAAAGACACCCTTTGGAAGAATAATGAACAAGTTCATTTTTGGAGACTCGGATGAATTCCGCAATGAAACTTTCAAGTTGATCCCAAGAATCATTGAAGGAAACTACATTGTCAGATCAGCTGTGGGAAGCAAACCCTCCATTATCGGGAAGAAAATCAAACAGTACTATATCTTGGGAGAGCGATACATGGAGGTTGTCGTTGACATTTCGAGTGATTCCATTGCCCAACGAATCGTTCGACTGGCCCTAGGCTATTCCTCAAAGCTCGTCACTGACATCATGTATGTCCTCGAAGGAAAGGACGAAGAGGAGCTGCCGGAACGGATATTTGGTGGGTTGCAGCTTCGAAAGATTGATTTGGGGAATAGGGACGGCCAACGCAAGGTTCAGCGATGGAAAGTGTAGTTTTTCCATTCCTTGCCATATTCGAGGGAAGGCAGGGGTTATATTATGTCTTCCATCAACAAGAATATGAAAGCTATATATCGACAGTAGGGGACTGTTTGCTTCCTCCTGTGGCTAGAATATAAGGGTTACAGTGGTATGCTATGCTTGCTGCATGTGATGTCTGTATAATGTATGTTCTATATGTGCGTGCATATGTTTACTGTATAATATAAGTGGGTAATATTTTAGTATGAATGCAAGTTAGAATGTTAGCATAAAAGTGTATCGTCTGTGGACTGGTAGCCAGTAGTGGTACGAGGTACGAGGTACTGCCTGGTAGCCAATACCAGTAGTAGATAGACGTGCATTACAGTACGTGTAGTGATAGGTGGTGCTTACGGTTCACTTTGTACGTACAATACAGTACTGGTGCCGGTAAAATACATTTGACTTTCTACCAGTACCTAGTACGCGTACGTACGTATGTACGAACATACCGGAGTTGATTGATCTCTTCGACTGAACAAAAATAGGAGTCAGTCACGAATGGAGATTCAAACATGAACATCAATCGAAGGCAAATGAACGTCTCCACGTGGAGAAGATGAAAGGAACGAAAAACCAAACTTCACACAAAAATCAAATCATCAACATGAATCGTTTTCTATCATCAATTCTACTCCTCCTCTCTATCACATCCAGCGTCAGCGCATCGCGACATTCTTTCACAAGGAGTGTGACCAAGGCTTCCCTTTTCGGCGTCCGTGGAGGAGGCCTCTTTGGAGGAAAGGATGACAAAAAGTGAGTGGGATTTACGACAAGAAGATTCCGTCAAATTTTGAAGTAATTTGTTTCACGCAGAGTTTACTAACCACCATTGATTCCATCCCTAAAAGTGAAGCAGAAGTAGAACAGGGAGAGAAGAAGATGTACCCAGCCATGTCACAAGAAGAAATTGAGGACTGGATGGAACATATTCCTGTTTTCGCTGTCACTGATGCTAACGGAGCTGGTGTCATCTTGAAACCTGATGAAGATACAAGTGTTTTTTACTTCTTCTTCAACCCATTGGCCGCCAACGCAACTTTGACTCAATTGCAGAAAGTTAACGAGGGTATGGAATTGAAGGTTTCCGCATTTTCGTTGGGAAAAATCTGGTTCAAACTTTTGAATGCGGATCCAAACCAAGAAGTGTTGGTAAGTACAGACGGTTTCAGCACTGTAATAAGAAAGACAATATCATTCTGACCATTATTGTCAATAGCTCAAGGCACCTGACTCTGACGACAAAAAGACTGCTACTGGAATTCAATACCGCCTTGTTCCTGACACTAAGGATTTGCTTGGAGCTCGAATGTTGCTGACCATGTCACCAGAAGACAGCGAGGCGTTGAAGACTGGCGAGACAATGACACAAGAAATGGCGCAAAAGGCTATTGAAAAGGCAATGACCGAGTCACCAAAGTTCAAGGAAACTTACAACGAGATTCCCGTTTTCACAATTGCTCAAATGCGCATGCAAAAACAAGCTGCTGAGGGTGAGACTGGAGAACCCGTGACCCTTCTTCCCATGTACTTCAGCTTGCAAAATATGGTTGGAACTTGGCAGCAATTCATGTCATCCGCAGCTCCCGATATGCAAGGAGTTGAGCCAGCAATCAACTTGATGTCGCTTCATGATTTGGTTGCCATGATGAAAAAGGATTCAGAAATCGACTTCCGAAATGTTGTTCTCGTTCCAGCTGCTCCTGAGGGTGAAGGACAATCAGCAGCCGCTGGACGTCCTGCTGGACCTGCCAATGCAATGGCTGGAATGGGTGGTGCTACTCTAGGTGACATCTAATTCCTGCGAAATGGGAAGCATAATGATAGAGTTGTTTTATCTGTGTATTCATTGATTTCATCTACATGCTGTCGACAGCAGCACGAAGCGCCTCGCACGTTTCTTTGGCGTCTCCCAATAGAACATCTGCATTATCCTTGAAAAGAATTGGGTTTTGCATGCCTGCATACCCTGTATTTCCGATCGATCGCTTAAAGACGAAGACTTGGCCACTTTTCCAAACACGCAAGACTGGCATGCCATAGATTGAACAACTTGGATCATCCTCTGCCGCGCTACTCACAGTGTCAGATGCACCAATTACAAGAGTGACATCCGTATCTGAATGATACATGAGCACATTGGTTAGATTGTCAGTAAACACAACATATGGGGCCGATGCCTTTTGTTCTCATACCTTCAAAGTCCTCATTGATTTCCTCCATTTCAAACACCATGTCATATGGTACTCCAGCTTCTGCGAGTAATACATTCAGCTGCCCAGGCATTCGTCCTGCAACAGGATGGATTCTTTACAAAAAAGAGTCAGATTTAGTGCGCGCTCGCTATAAGCCATATTTGTGTCAAAAACTTACCCAAAGCGGACATTTTTGCCCATTGCTTTCAACTTCTTTGCAATATCTGCAATAGCAAATTGCCCTTGAGCAACAGCAAGACCATAGCCAGGAGCGATGATGATATTCCTTGCTTCTCTCAAGGCTTCCGCGACGAGGTCCACATTTGTCGTAGTGATCTCGCCTTCAATGACCGCTGCCTCTCCTTGCAAAGCGGAAGGTTGGGGTGTTCCTGCGCCACCAAGGATAACATTCAAGATATCGCGTCCCATGGCTTCGCACATGATCCAAGTCAAAATAGCTGCATAACGAAGACAATGATGTGAGGATATGTGTGATGGTCCCATCTGCATTGATAGTAGCTCATACCTCCAGAAAAACCAATGAGCGCGCCCACCTGGGCCAAGAGCGGGTAGTCCAACAAGAAACCCTCAGCAGCCAAAGCCCAGCCCGAATAAGAGTTTAGAACGGTGATTACGACTGGCATATCTGCACCTCCGATGCTTGCTGTGAGATGATATCCGAGGATGGAGGATGTAGCGCCCACGAGTCCCAAGGAAGCAAGCTGGACAGAAGCTGGATCCATATCCAATGCTCCGCTTGCAAGAGAAGGGTCCAAGAAAGTCGCAAATCCAGTTGCGCAAATAGCCAGCATACCCAGGTTGATCAAGTCACGTCCTGGAAGGCTCAGTGCTTTGGAGCTCATCATGCCTGCAAGCTTGCCAAAGGCAACTAGGGAGCCACTGAACGTGACCCCACCGATCAGTGTGGCTAGATAGATAGTAGCCAGAACTCCTCCATCCAAGTTGGGGTTTCCCAAGAACTCGCCTGCTGCGCCAGCCATTGCTGCCAATCCCACCAACGAGTGGAAAGCAGCTACAGTCTGGGGGAGCTCCGTAGGTCCAACTTTGGATGCTAGTGCAGCACCAACGGCTGCTCCAACACCTCCCATGACTCCAGCTTGAGCAAAAGAAGCTGTAGAAGCGCCTGATAGTGCCATATCCGACGCAGTGGCTGCAAGACCTAACCCAACACCTGTCAGTCCTAGCACGTTTCCAGTTCTCGCGGTTTTTTGATTCGCTAATCCAGCGATGGCAGAAATACAAAGGATAGACGCGGCAATTTCAACCGTACCCGACATAACTCCAAGGTCCCCAATCGGTGAAAATACAGCTACTGCCATGCCAGTAAGGATCATGGCAACTGGAACCAAGTAGAACTCGAAGTATTCCTTTGGATCTTCGGGACGGCGAAATAGATCAAGCATTTTCCCACTGATAAGGAAGCCTCCAGAGATATTGATGAAACTCAAAAGAGTTGCGATCGCTCCCATCCAATGCGCTGCAGAATCTGGAATCAAACCCGTAGTATCGCTAGATGCATGACCCAATAGAATCATGCCGCCGAGTGCCGTCAAACCAGAGATTGCGTTAGTCACAGCCATAAGAGGAGAGTGAAGAGCGGGCGCTACACCCCATACAACCTAAAAATAGAGGGCATAGTATTGTCAGTGACATGCTTGAAACAGCCAAATCGGTTGATCGGTAGACGTTCTTACCTGATAGCCGGCAAGCCCTGCAAGTGCAAAGGCTGTAAGCATGTTGACAGAAGATTCGGACTCTCCATTCAATCCAAATGCTATCAATGCCATGGCTGCAATGCTGGCATACATCGAATTTTGAATGTATTCTTCCTTGCTGTTTTTGTCGAGGAGTGCCTTCTCCTGTCCAGGTGTCAGAACCTCAACCTCAACAGTCTCAGCTTTTGGTGGCGGAGGTGGTGAGAATGGAATGATTTTGTCTGGCCATCTAGCCTCTCCGTTGTATGCAATTAGCATATTTTGCACTGCATCATCTTTGAGATCAACTTGAAACATTCCCTTCTCCTTGGTAGTTTGAGGCCCGATGCTCAAGATGAATTTTGCGACGTTGTTTGCAAACTACCCGGGGACATCGTTAGTTAGCAAAATCAAACAACATCATAGATACTCCTCAGTAGCAAACTCACCAGTGTGCTTGCTGTACTAGCCAATCGTGACGGAAGATCAGTGTATCCAACGATTTTGACACCATTTGACGTAGTAATCACTTCATCCGCAACTGTCTGAGCCACATTTCCACCATTGGCAGCGGCCAAATCGACGCATACTGAACCCGGTCTCATTGCATTGAGCATTTCTTCGTTCACCAGGATGGGTGCTTTTCTACCAGGAATCAATGCAGTTGTAATGATAATATCAACGTCTTTCGCTTGTTGTAGCATCATAGCTGCTTGAGCTTTCTTGTAGTTGTCCGACATTTCCTTGGCATATCCTCCTCCGCCACTTCCGTCTTCATCAATATCCACCTCCAGAAAAGTTGCACCCATTGATTCCACTTGCTCTTTGGTGACAGGTCGAACATCGAAAGCTCGAACAATTGCCCCCATATTCTTTGCAGTTTGAATAGCTGCAAGCCCTGCAACCCCAGCACCGAGGACAAGAACTTTTGCAGGAGGAACCTTTCCTGCTGCAGTCATTTGACCAGCAAAGAATCGTGGAAAGGCCTCGGCAGCTTCAACTACAGCTCGGTATCCAGCAATATTTGCTTGACTTGATAGAGTATCGAAGGTTTGCCCTCGACTCAACAGGCGAGGAACGCAATCGAGTGCAAAAATGTTCGTATTTTGGTCTACCAACTCCTGATAGAGCTCTGGATTGATGGAAGGGCTAAGCAAGCCAACCAAAGTTTTTCCTTCTAGTTTTGGCACTTCTTCTTCATTCGGAGGTCGGATTTTGGAAATGATATCTGAGTCTTGAAATACCTGTTCTCGTGACAACACCAGAGCGCCAGCACCAACATAGGCAGCGTCTCCAAAAGAAGCTTTTTCCCCTGCTCCGGCTTCGACAATGACGGTGAAACCAGCCTTGACCAGCGATTGAACAGAATCCGGAGTCTATAATCAATATTACGGACCAATGATCAGGCGACAAGAAGGTTCGTCGTTTGCAATGTGGTCGTGAACATACCTGCGATACTCTGTTCTCGCCTTTGAAAGTTTCCTTCAAAACGCCAATAGTGAGATCGCTGTAGGGAATCGGCTGCCCTAGAAACTTGCTCTCTATCGATTCAAAAGCTTTACCGACGGAATCCTCCGCTACGCTTGTCGCCTTGTTATCATCAACACTTTTTCCAACTTTCAGTGCCTGAAACGATCTTGATGTCAACACGACTTTGCGAGCTGCCAATGGCGCTATGGACGGCGCAAATCCACTTGACAAGCCATGGAGTAAAAGGGATGTGGTGAGAAACAACAGATTACTAATCTTCATGGTCAAGTTCTTCTCAGAAGATGTGTCTTCGACCAAGGATCGACAGCTGCTTGACTCCGAGAGGCGAAGAAATCAAAGAAGATCCATCAGTAGAGGTTCGCAATTGTGATCGTCCGAGACATTTAGTATTTGTACTAATGAAGTTCAAATCACCTTATTTTAATGACAAACTCCACCACCGTACAGTACTGGTACTGTACGGAGGAGAGAAAATATCGAAAACCAATGAGCACCATAACAACGTTTGGCTATTGATTATTCATCAAGGCTTCAATAAACTTCTTGGGGCAAGGGCGGTCTCGTATCGTGTTTTCGGGAGCTGTTTTATCCAACGTTTCTTCCAGCCTCTTGGCAATAGAAAATGCGGCTCCTGATAGAAGATGCAAAACCTGCCAAACGGGTTAGCAAAAAACGAAAGCGATTGCTAATCAAGCAGACTATGTACTCTCGTACCTGCATTTCACCAAGCTTAAGATGAGAAATAGTCCACTCGGCACTTTGATAGTTTTGGTTGTCGTTGAGACTCAGGAGATGTGTTTTTTCTTCCTCCAGGTTTCTTGAGTACTGCACAAGAGATGTACCAGCTAGTCGAGCCAGACTTTGTAGTGAACGAATCATAGAACGTGAGAATTCATTCGCAAGAAAGTAAGATTTCTTCACGACGGCAACCTACCATGACAAAGCCCTATGTTCTAGCGAATCGGAATTTTGCTCTAGCACGAAATCAGGATTGCCAAGATTTTCCTTCAGCATATCTAGTGCTTTTCCATCGTAATCACTGTTGACGACGGAAATAATCCGGCAAGTCTCTATGAGTTTTGAGAAGTCGATATTAGTTCGCTGTGGATCGAGCTCTGGGATCCCATTCGCATTGACGGTACTGCTAGATTCTGCGGGTCGTGATGCCGGTGATCGGGGAGGAGCGTTAACAATCCATCGCTTCCGATTGTTGGCTATCTGAAGAAGGTGCTCCAATTTAAGTTTCTTGAGCGCAAACTCGTTAGGGTGTGAAGCTGGACCTTCCACGCAATCAACATAGCCATCGTCATACTGTAGATATCTCGTTAGATGCTTCCTTTGGACTGATTTATCGGTGCGACTGCTACCAACAGCGTGAGAATGGTATGAAAATTCGAGGTCCATTCCTGTGTCCAACATCCTGTGAAAGAGCGCGATAGATGCCTGTGTCCATCCACTTCCGTCTCCATTCACAAACCCGAACTTTGCAAATAGATGAGAGTCTGTAAATTTCCCATACGAATCGAACAGCTCCCAACCAGCGGGAATCTGGGTTTTCGAATCAATAACAAATGCCCGTTTCGACTTGACGTAGCCTATGCCAAGAAGAGATGGTGGAACGGACGTCCAGGATCAGAAAGATGAAATAGATGGCGAAAACCCGAGAATTAGTCTAAGACATGATTGGAACTTACGATAACCCACATTCGGATTCGGATGGTGGTTCAACATATCAAGAATTGGCACAAGAGCTTGGCAGCCTGACGTAAAATTGAAACCATGTTCACCGTAAAACTCCATCTCGTCGTTGTCCATATCCTCTTCGGGTGAACCTGGACCCGGGTTAAAACTACGAGACAGAACGTTGATACGAGCCACCTTGTAGTCTAGCTCACTGACCATGTCTGAATATCTGCTATTCGATGCTTTGACAAGCGCCGAATACTCAGACTCCACCATGTCTCGATACGCCAGTGCAACAGCATAGTTCAAAGAATGCGTACCCAACGCCTCCTTCAAATTTTGCTTCTCCCACATAAGAGGATGATACATTGATTGCTCGCTAGAGGGTAGAAGTTTTAAATATGATCGTTGTACAGTATCCATTGAATCTTGGGACTGGCTGAGCTTCATAGCAATCCAAGCGGCCAAAAAGGCTCCACTGGCAAGGGCATTGCCAGTTTTTGCATGTCGTGCAGAAATCAAATGTTCTCGGACGAATTCATCTCGAAGGGCGTCCAAATCCCAAAATTGCAGGCTGCGAGGGATGGTGTAGAGGGTCTCACCTCGCTTGATCGGACGAGCAGCCTGCAAATATCTTCGCACAGGAATGACGAATGGAGCGCACGAAGCTGACCGACAAATTGCCGACAGAAAAGATATCATCATCGGATCTGCATGTTCCATTTTGTTCCATGCAATGCCCATCATCATGGCAACGACGAGAATGACAGATGCAAATTTGAGTTGGGAAAACGCATTTTCACTAATTCGTTGGTTGTCAATGTTTCGCGATGACGCTTTCGTCGTTGTGCTCTCGTCTGTGCCACTTCCTGCTTCAGGCCTCCGTCTCTTCTTCCCTGCCGTCGAAGCTACGTTTCGTTTCTTCGCACCCATCGTGTTGCTTGGTAGCGTCGACAATCGCTTCGCAAAAAATGACGACGATGAAATCTGATTTCCTTCTTTGCCTTGGTCATTGACCGAAGCCCCAAACAAAAGTCCGAATCCGAAATGTCCCCCAAATTGAAAATGATGTGATTTTGTGTCGGCCAGAAGGACAGACATTTTGCACACACCGCTTTACTAGTTTTTCCACCGTACGGACATACGAGAAACTGCTTTCCTCATCGTAAATTGGTTCTGTTGACCAAAACAAGGATAAAAAAGTACAAGCAAGATGGTGCGTAAGAGATTAATGATGCAATTTTGGAGACTATTGGAATTGCTACACGATGTAGTGGAACACAGTTTTCGCCGACAGGGTTGTGGCACTGGTTCTGTAGACGGCTGTTATTTCAAAGTTCTGTTGAAGTTATCACTGTCGATGCCATTGCCAATGGATAATTTGAAAACACTTCAAAACAGTTGGAGCAACCAGCGCGTGGAAGATGGAAACAAACTGCAATCTTTGAGCTTATACTAACAGTGGATTTGTTTTAATATTACAGACGAAAGGTACGACTTCATTCGGAAAGAGGCACAATAAGTCCCACACTAGCTGCCGTCGATGCGGTAAGGTTTCTTTCCACATCCAAAAGAAGACCTGCTCGTCTTGCGGATACCCAAGCAAGAAGATGAGACAATACAATTGGGGCCAAAAGGCCAAGGGACGCCGCACAGTTGGAACTGGTCGCATGCGTTTCCAAAAGACATTGACCCGCAGATTCAAGAATGGATTCAGAGAGGGAACCCAAGCAAAGAAGCAAACTGTTAAGGCTAACTAGATGCTGAAAATGTACTAGAAACTGCTCCGAACTTTTCGATATCAACCCGACGTTCCCCTGTTTGAAGTGTTGCGGCAAAGAAATGGTTGTTTTGTTATTGATTTTTGACGTCTAGAATTAGGTTGATTTGTAGACGTCTGCATCACTGTAGTGTCAGATGATATTGGACGGGACAAAGGGGGGTTCCTACTCAATTTTTTGATGATAGGTTTGATTGAGCCAAGTTGTGATTGTTCTCCAAGTGCAGCGTCTCTTATCGTTTCCACCTTCGTACTTGTATATCTTCGCACTGCAACGACTTTTTGGCTTGCGTTTTGTCTATAAGTGGCAACGAATTCAAAATTGGTGGGAATGAAAGACGAAGCATACCACTATTACACGTGTACCCATGCCTTGAAGAAATGAGCGCAGTCTATTACATTTTTACTCTTCTGCCTTGGGTTCTTCTTTCTCCCCAATTCGTGTCATTTCGACAGCCTTCTCGGAGCAGCTTGCCAATTCGTCTAGCAAGTCTTCAACTTCAAACGAGCCCAAATCACCAAGCTTTCGGCTTCGGATGGCAAGCTTTCCTTCTTCCATCTCCTTCATCCCAACAACAGCCATGATGGGTACCCGTTGCTGTTCAGCATTACGGATTTGCTTTGCAAGACGCTCGTTTCCTCTGTCAACCTCAACTCGGATTCCTGCCTTTTTGGCCTTGGCAGCAATCTCGTGACAGAAATCTTGGACAGCATCAGTGACAGGGAGAAGCTTCATTTGAGTTGGAGCCAGCCAAAGAGGGAAGTCACCAGCGCAGTTCTCAGTCAAGATACCAAAGAAGCGTTCCATAGATCCAAAGATTGCTCTGTGCACCATGATTGGTCGTTCTCGGTTGTTGTCTGCATCAACATATTCCAAACCAAAGCGCTCTGGAAGGTTGAAATCGCATTGGACTGTAGAGCATTGCCATTGGCGCCCAATAGCATCGCGGATCTTGACATCAATCTTCGGTCCGTAGAAGGCACCGCCCCCTTCATCAACGCCATATTCCCATCCCTTCTTTTCAAGGGCTCCTCGAAGGGCGACCGTGGCAGCCTCCCAAATATCGTCACCCCCAACAGACTTCTCTGGGCGAGTGGAAAGCATAATGTCATACTTGTCGAAACCAAAACGAGTCAAGATGGTCTCAATTAGATCCAGAACGCCAACAATTTCATCCTCGAGTTGCTCAGGGAGACAGAAGATATGTGCGTCATCCTGAGTGAAACCACGGACTCTCATGAGTCCATGCAAAGTTCCAGATCGTTCGTATCTACGTTGGGAAGACATGTGTTAGAATCTGCGTTGCAAAAAATGACCCAAAGACAACAGTACACTTGAGGACACATACCTGTAGACAGTTCCAAGTTCAGCCCATCGAACTGGAAGATCACGGTAAGACCGAAGCTCGTCCTTGTACATCAGACAGTGGAAAGGACAGTTCATTGGCTTGATTTGATATTGATCGTTCTCAACGTCCATTTGATCAAACATATCCGAGCGGTAGAAATCAAAGTGACCAGAGGTCTTCCACAAGTCAAGGTTCGCAATGTGTGGAGTGTAGATGATATCGTATCCATCATCCGTGTGAGCGTCCTTCCAGAATTCTTCAATCTTGGAGCGAACCTTGGATCCCTTCGGATGCCAGAAAACAAGACCACCTCCAGCATCTTCTTGAATGGAGAAAAGGTCTAACTTCTTTCCAAGAACACGATGGTCTCGCTTCTTGGCTTCTTCCATCATCTTCTTGTATTGCTTCAATTGTTGTGGATCCTTCCATGCGGTAGCGTAAACACGCTGCAACATTTCACGGTTCTCATCTCCACGCCAGTAGGCTCCAGCCACACTCTGGAGGGCAACAGCCTTCTTTGGGATCTTGGCGGTGCTCTCCACGTGAGGTCCGGCACAAAGATCCCACCACTCGTCTCCAATATGGTACAAGGTGATTGGTTCTTCCAAACCGGCCAAAATTTCCATTTTGAAAGGCTCATTAAGTGCCTTGATTCTTTTTTCTGCCTCTTCACGAGAAACTTCCTCTCTTGTGATGGGGTAATTCTTTGAAATAATCTTGTCCATGGCCTTCTTGATACTCTTCAAATCTTGATCTGTCAACTTTCTAGCTTCGATAGTTTCTCCGGTTTCAGGGTCAGTAGTTTCTGGAAAGAAGAAATCATAGTAGAATCCATTATCGATCCAAGGACCAATGGTGACTTGTGCTTCTGGGTAAATCTGTTGCACCGCCATGGCCAGAACGTGCGCCGAAGAGTGACGGATTCGAAGCAGTTCGTTGTCGTCTTCATTCGTTGGCAACTGGACAATCTCTGCTTCCTCTGTTTCTGCTGGAACGACAGTGGCCATGAATCTAGAAGTGATGTCCTTTGCAAAATATCCCAAGGTGGATGAAGGATTGCTACCCAGCTGAGAAACTCGTGCCACCCTAGATGGTGAAAAGGCTGCAACTCTGGCTGCCGTTGAGAACAAAGCAAACATGGTGACTCCGCTGATCTTCATTCTTTGTTCAGTTAAGGGAAATGAGAAATCTAGATATGTGAGCTATCCACAATGATCCTGCTGTTTGCGTTGAACAGGAAAGATCTCGATCGAAAATAGCGAGTGCGGTGAAGCGAGGAGAGAAATTGCGGTTTGTTCTGTTGGACAAACGTGTGACCTGTCGATGATGTGTTTCTGATGTTCGTTTGCGGACGTCGACCGTACGGCGGGAGGTCCGGGAAAAATAATAGTCTGCCCATGCACCCAAAAATAATTCCCTTTGACAAGTGGCAGATTGACTTTTAGGGGGATCATTGAAATTTGATGATGTCCTGCTGTTCCTCTAAATTGAAAATTCAAAATGGAAGAATAAATTGGCGACCGCTGCGGAGGGTTCGTGTTGCAGTTTCGAATGAGAAGTTCACTCACCATTTTTATCAAATTCCCCAATTTGAAATTGATCCGAAAAGACATCACAAGTTCTTCCGGAGCCCTCCCGTGTGTCCAAATCCGAAGCAGCAGCTGCCGGCTGAATTTTATTTAAAAGTTAACGTCCGTCACCCAACTTGCATGTCAGAATTCTGCAGCCATTTCAGAATTTCGGCATTTGGTGAAATCCCGCTGGTAGTAAATCTACGTACAAGTGTAGTGGGCTGTTGCCCAAGTTGTTCTTCTGCTCGGAAGTGGCTGTGACGTCCGTCTGCGGTCAGGAGAGAACTCATTCAATGCGTCGCCGACATTCTGGTTTCATTCTTTTTCCAACAAAACCAACTCAACTTTTGCTGTTTTGGATCCCAACAAACCCAAATATAGATACCATAGAATGTGAGTCAACAAGATCCTGGGTTGTTACATCGAATGCCGCTGTTGTGTGAATTTTGGTGTTCATTCCGAGATGTGAAGGCAAGAGAAAAGCCAACAATGAAAAGTGACGACCGAAATGTCATGGGAATCATGTTTGAAAAAGATCTGGGTCACGAATTCCTCTCTCTACGTGCTTTTCAGTATCAAAAAGGAATTTTCGAATCCACCTTTTTCCTTCTCCTGATTTTTGAGAACCAACGTCGGAATGTCTCCCTCAAGAACGTCTTTGGCAAACACCTCGGGCTTCGTCAGTCCACCCCATTGCTTCCATAAATCGAGTCGTCTTTCAAGTATTGCATTCCACTGCTCATATCTATTCTACATTTTGAATTCCAACTAACAGAGACTACAGAATCAAAAGCTCACCATCTTGAAATCGCAACCTGAAAACGCCAACACAAAGTCAAAGAAACCAACACCATTCCGCATTGACACAATATCAATCATAAGAGAGAAATAGATCCCAGTTCAGACGAAATCAACGAGATGAATTGTTCCATTTGAGGTGTCCTTGTTGGCATAGACAACGGACAACAGAATATACACTTTTCACAATCTTATCATGGAAAACACACCTGAGCAACAAGTGGAAGGTCAAGCGATCGTTACAGTGCTTGCAGCAGTACTGGAGCGATTGGTGAATGCCAACTCCTCGCTAGCAAAAGCAGATCCAGGACAAATAACAAAGTTTCATGCGTTGAAGTCTCCCGGGATTGGAATACTTCCCTACCTCGAACGGTGAGTTGCTTGCTTCTTGCTTGGAAACAAGATTTGATTTTACGGTTACCTCGTATTTGCTACTTTTGTTATGCTCACATCACATATGCCCTTGATTTGCTGGATTCCTTGTATCCAATGCAGCGTTTACAAATACGCATCATGTTCCAATGAATGCTTCATCCTGGCTCTGATATACATTGATCGATTGATCCAAAGAAACAACTTTCTGCTCACAGAATTGAATGTCCACCGTGTTGTTATTACTGCAACTCTGCTGGCTGCAAAATTCTTTGATGATGCTTACTACAATAATGCCTACTACTCAAAGGTTGGAGGTGTTATGGTTAGTGAAATGAATGGATTGGAGGTAGATTTCCTATTTCGAATAAACTTCAGTCTTCATGTAACGCCGGAGGTGTTTGAGAAATACAAAGCGGAACTAGTGGCGCATTCAGCAAATATGGGCCTTTCAGTACCAGCACCCCAGATTCCACCATCAATACCAGAAGAACCGGAATCAAGCCACCAAACATATGCAGTGCAGCAACAACAGCAGCAGCAGATTCAACCACAACACACAGTTTCAGCTACTTTCCAAGCTGGAGCAGCACCAAATCAAATACAAAACCAATCATTCGTTTCAAACGACACAACAATGCATAATGCAGCTACACAGGAAGTTCTGGTACCAATTGGAGGTCAACCGTCACAAAACATCGTTAGATCCAACACGGAACAAATGATACAGAATGAGTTCACGCAATATTTGCAAAGAGCTACTTCCTTACCTTATCCCGCACCTAGTGAACAGCAGAAATATGTCGAAGCTGTACCGACATATCACAGTGCACCAATGATATCGTCGGTAGGGATTGATGCCGATCAATATCTGCAATTGAACAAACACCTTTACCCGCTCGAAACAACCCTCGTACATCATCATCATGGGATGGAAACTTGTCACGAGAACGGATACGCACAAGGAGCTCTTGTCGCTGGACGCTACTAGAATAATTTTTTACTGTACTATCATCACTTTTTCAAGCCTTCACTTTTGGGTGTACTGAACTTGTATGATATCTGCTCGCCAGCGCGACACTGCTGGATAATCTTCCCGACGACAGACGGGCTCGTGATCGAATCAATCCCATCTGACATCAAGCATCATGATGACGATCTCTCTTTCTCCAACAGTCAGCCATCACGATCACAATCGGAACCAAATCAGATTAGTACTGTCCCGACAAATCAGTAGTTGCCATGACCACGACCATTCAGAAAGAAGAAGAAGCAGATCCAACTGCAGACGTCGATAATGGTGACGACAGCATCGGCGAGGAGTCGTTTCAAACATGTGGAAACGACCAGAGTGCACAAGCTGACAACGAACAGCAGCCAACACAACCTCTCAATTTGGGAGAAACAACACCAACTGACACCACTACTGATATTGAGGAAAGCATCAGGATTTGTGTGAATCCTTCGACACCAGCCGTGAAGAAAAAAGCGACTTCCAAAGAAAGCGCATGTGATGCACCACAAATCCCCTCCTTCATCAAGGTTGGGCTGGAGAAAAAGCAGTCTCCCCGAGCCATCAAATCATGGGCTGCAATGGCGCTCACACTGGACGGTAGAGACAAAATTACAAAAGTTATACAGTATACCACTCGGTTCTTGGGGTGGTATCTAGCTGGTGGTTCATTCAAGACTCAGTCGCTCCGTTTCACTGCGTTATACAAGGCACTCGCCAATTCAAGAAAGGCATTTCGTCTGGGACGATCATTGATTGAGATTGAGAAATTACGTCCCGTTCCAGGTATGATAGTATGGCACTTACAGAACGAGGAAGATCAAGGGTCGGGGTCCACAGACAGCAAACACTTCGATGAGGAGCAAAAGCCTCGACGGTCTCTTCTTCGTTCATGCAGCACCGTTGCCTATCAAAAAATGTATCGTCCATTATTATCTCGAATGTCCTCTACGATGTTACCAGACGATGAACCTAATCAAGAACTATGGAAAATATGTGGAATGTCGATAAAGATTATGGGGCTACTTCTTTTCTGGGCTGGAGACAATTGCAATTTTCTGGTATCGACTGGTGCATTTGATGATTACAATGTTCCAGTGGAAGAAAGAATGAAACGGCGAAAGCAAAGGCAGACCTACTTTAGTACGAAAGCAAGCAAAGCATATTTTGTTGGGTCGTTGGCTGGTCTGGTGGTGAACTGGTATGCATACTTGAAGTTTCATAGGGAGTCGATTGCAAGGCTACAAAACGAAGACAGTAATGCCTCGAATGTAAACACAGAGAACTGGTCTCAGAAGGTCAAACAGTTGAAGCAGAAGCAATTTTCGCTCTTGCTGAGTCTTCTAAAGGTACGTTGTTTTTCACGAGGCTCAATGAATCTTGCAACCTTGAGACTGATTCGTATTATTTTGCTGCTGAAGAGCTGTTGTGATGTTACTGTGTTTAGTAATCAACCGGGAATCGACCTTCACAAAAAGTGGAGAGGAAAGAAGAATCACGAGGGTATACATTGCATGTGTGGTCTAATCTCTGCTGGAACAGTCATTTACAACAACTTTCCTGACTCGAAGTAGCTACTAGCACTGAAAAAGGGAAGAAAAGATGATTGCGGGTTCAAATGAGCATCTAGCCCAAGGTTGCACGAGCAACTTCAGAATGATGAAGAGGCAAACAGCAATGCTAGATAACATTCATTAAGCAAATTTTGAAATCAAAGCACCTACCTTTGATGTTTCGCTGTACCAGAAACCAGCTTTTGCATGTGCAGAGTACCAGGAGCATAATAAGTTCAACAAGGTGGTAAAGGTATTTTAACGCGCGGTGTTGCGCTTCGGTGTACCGTGCAAAACAAACATCACAAATTTGGTATTTAGACAGTTCACCTGTTTGAGCTGCTGTAGCGACATGGAAAGTGGGAGTCTCCCAGTTGATATAGAAAACAATCAATTTGTGAGCCATGTTGCTATTCGAAAGTTTGATCCGGAATCAATGAAGGGCAGCAGTGGCGATGCAAGTGGAAAAGCTGACGATGAGAATCCAAATCTTGCCAAATCAATAAACGAGGCTTCCTTTGAGTTAGCAGTTGAATGTACTGATGATGGTTTTAAGATTTCGAAAGATGCAGAGGTCACGATATACAAATCGATGCCACCGTCCCGCGTTGGTGGACCATGGAGCGGATCAATCGAGGGGACGACAACTGTGGGTCCATCAACCAAGAACACTGCGTCTGGATCCGTCACGCTTGATTACAAAGCGTCTCCATGGTCAAACTTATCACTTGGAATGATTCGAGGTCATGAGTTATTTTATCCGCTTGTTAGTCTGGGAGGAACGCTTATGCATGGAGGATCCAAGTTTGGCGTAACTTTTTATCACAACGTCAACTATCTGCATGCGATGGTTCTCGAACACTCGATGTTTTCCATTTCATTCCACCACGCCTTTCCCAATACAAGATGGGTGCTCATGTCCGCTATATCACGCCGTAAGGAACTGTCATTAGCAATCACAAATTCCAAACTTAGCGGAAGATTGTGTTGGAATTTAAGAAAGCCAAACGAAGTGGAAACTCGCTTCGATGTTCGCCCAATGATTTCCAAGGACAAAAGAGCTCATCTCTTTTGCAATTTTCGTCCCGGTTCATGGCAGCTTGGTGCTTCACTGATACAATCACTACACTCACAAATGGCAACTATCGGAATGGGGGTTCGGTTGTACTCAATTCGAGGTTTGGAGTGGATCTTGTCATGGAATCGAGGAGATGCAACAATCCGGATACCGATCCTTATTTCCCGCACAATAAAACCTATGAGCGCTGTTCAAGCTCTTTATTTTGGTATGGTATCTTTCTTTATTCAGGAAGGAATTGCTGAGGTTTGGGGTTGGAAGAGTATTGAGGACGAGGGCGAAGAAGACAATTCAGCTCCCGTTTTTGTAAACACAGCCAAAACTCGGGAGGACGCTGAGATGCAAAAAGAACTCATGATGCGGCAGGCGAAACGTCGTAAAAGGGATGAAGCTGAGAAGGATGGTTTGGTGATCCAAAGTGCCGTATACGAAGCTAGAGAAGGTGACAGCTGGGATGTTACGGTTCCGCTACAATTTTGGGTCTCGAAGTCTTCGCTGACTCTCCCAAAAACGTCAAAAAGTCAGCTATTGGGTTTCTATAATGTTGCGGAGAAAGTAGTCAGACAGAGAACTCCAGAAGCAATGGTGCCGTTGTCCTGGTGGCAGGATAGTTGGAAGGACCTGTGGGAGTCGACAGAGGAGGTGGGTAACTTGGTGTCGTCAGATACAGCACTGGTAACGTTACGAGTTACATATGACTTTAAGGGAGCATCATACACCATAACAGTACGCGACGAAGAAGAGCTGATACTTCCAAATCCACGGGCCACCCAACTTGCTAAGGCAAAAGACTAGACCCAAGCTCAGAGATCGTATAAAATCGTTCTACGAAACATTACAACGCCGACATGGTGATCATCTACGCACGCGTTGCTTCTTGTATTGACCTGGTCGTTGTCGTTGAGTCTCCCATCCTTTACTTTTGTCTCCTCTCTGGCCCAAGGCTGGTAATTGAGCAGCCGTATTTTGAAAGACATTGCCACCATCTTTTTTCTCATCGGCGTTGTCGTCTAGAAGAAAGTCATCTTCCTCCTCGTCATCCACTTCTTTATTGGGTATCAAACGTTGCAAGCTCAAGTCAGGTTTCTTCTGAATATTTTCATCGTCACTGTCATCATCACTGCTACTTGAATCGCTATCGCTATCGTCACTGGATGTATCACTCTGAACGGGATGTGCTGTCTCGGTTTGTTTCGCTTCAGCATCTTCTTCATCATCACTGGAAGAATCACTACTTGAAGACGAGTCACCAACTGATTTAACAGAAGACTTCACTTCAACGCTTTTGTTGTCATCGGCTTCTTCCTCTTTATTCAGCTCTGTCTCAGCTTGTTCTGCTGCCTGTAACAATGCGTCATGATTTGAGGCCACCACAAACCTAGAATCGTCGGTTCCCTGCTCCTTCTTCTGTTTGATGTCCTTCCGTGAAATAGAGCCCCCAAATATCTTCTCTTCATCTTGAATCGTCCAATCTTTGGGTAATCGAGCATATTGATCTTTTGGAATCCAGTTGCATCGACCAGGGGCTGAAGAGGATGATAACAGCTTAAGTATACGCTTTCGTGTGACAGCTCTCCGGTAGAGTTGACGGCTTTGATCAACTACTCGGCTTCCTTTCTGATAAAGGGGCATATATTTTACATCATTTGGATGATGTGCAACGTAAACTTGATCCAAGGCTAGTTTGTATAGCTCGTCCTTTCTACTTTTTCCATTTCTTTCTTGCTTTTCTTTTCGCACCAGTCGTTGGCGATCCAAGAACTTTTGTCCATGCGATCTTTCGGCATGTTTCTTTTCCTGTAGATGCTGCTCCTTTTCACCAATTTCCAACTTCAAGTCGTGGATCTTTTTCTGCAGCTCTTTACGACGGTCGTCTTCATCTTCAGGAAGCTTTGACAATAGTCGCTCATGTCCCCGAAGCTGCTTCTTCAGGGAGCCTTTCTTGCTGGAGAACTTGGACTTTCCTTTTCGCCACGACTTGAATTTACGTTCCAGGCCGTGCTTGGTAGGAGCCTTTGTCATTGTCAGTGATAGTTGTACGAGTCTACTATGAATTCAATTTCGTTTGGGGCAAGTTTTGAGATGATCAAAATTTTGATTGATCGTGGAGGGGTCTGCTCGTCGCTCGCCTTGTCCGTTGGTCGAAATATAAAAATAGTCAATAAAAGCACACAAACCAAACTTGTGAAACCAGAACCATCGCAGCTTCAATGGTTTGTGCTGCGCTTTCTTCATCATGACACAATCGACAGCAGTAAACAACAGGATACCTATCACTTTGATCACAATATGTTTCGGCTTTGCTTGCATACTGCGAATATTAATCGGTTTTGGTCATCATTCGGGTGAAAACAATTACCACGGCAGCAGCAAGGCGTATGGTGGAGACTTTGAAGCCCAGAGGCACTGGATGGAAATTACATATTGGCTTCCAGTTGGTGATTGGTATTGGTACGACTTGGATTACTGGGGATTGGACTACCCACCTCTTACAGCCTACCATTCCTACCTGTGTGGGTGGCTGTCGCATCGTCTCGCGGGGCCAGAGACTGTTGCATTGGATTCTTCGAGAGGAATAGAAGATCCAGTTCACAAAGCGTATATGCGAGCGACGGTCTTGGTGTTTGACTTTCTAATATTTGGAACTGCGGTGTGTTATTCGTCCTTTCGAAACGACCGAGGGTCGATGTGGGTTTCATTTATCACGCTTTGTCAGCCAGCAATACTTTTGGTCGATCATGGTTCGTAAACAAAGCTTAGTCTGCTCTTTGCTCCCCCCGAGGTTTCCTCACATAATGAAATGCAATTCGACTCTACCTCCAGGTCACTTCCAGTACAATTCCATTGCTTTGGGATTTTCCATTGCAGCATTTGCTTTCATTTCGCAAGATAGATTCCGATCCTGCATCTATGGCTCCATCCTCTTTTGCTTGGCATTGAACTTCAAGCAGATGACGCTTTACTATGCGCCTGTAGTCTTCTTCTACCTTTTGGGACGTTGCATCAGTACACCAAAACGCTTCTTTCAACGATTGATACTGTTAGGCGTTACGGTTCTAACTTGCTTTGGTGTATTGTGGTTGCCTTTCATCGTTACTGGGCCATCAGATATGATGACTACTCCACTGGAGCGGATGATGCAGATTGTTAGGCGTATCTTTCCATTTGAGCGTGGTCTCTTCGAGGGAAAGGTTTCGAATCTTTGGTGCGCTCTTAACACCCGTCCAATATCCATTAGAGACCGTATTGATTCGTCGGTGCAGCCCTTGCTGGCACTTGTTCTGACATTGATAATGATAGCTCCTTCCAGCTTCGCACTTTTCTGTCTTGGAATGAAAGGCGATGAAATGGCAACGAGCAAAATCAACAATCAAAATCACTGGAAGAGGCTACTTTGGGGAACCATGTCATGTTCGCTGTCGTTTTTCTTGGCTAGCTTTCAAGTTCATGAAAAGAGTATACTGATGTCGTTGGCACCATGTTCGCTACTGCTGTGGGAAGACCCAAAATTCGTTCTTTGGTTCTCAAGAGTTTGCGTGTGGACCTTGTGGCCACTACTCCAAGTAGACAGGCTACATACTCCATACTTTTGCATGCTGATAATCTTTGAGATGTTGGTACATCTTGGTCAAGATCATTTCAGCAGCAAGCCGTCGGTGTTCTCGGGGATATTTTCGATGATTCCCTGGCTTACGTATGCTATTATGATTGGGCTTCATGCTATTGAGTTTTCCTTAGGTCCTCCAGCTGCGCTTCCAGATTTGTACCCCGTTCTATGGAGTGTAGTTGGCTGCGCACTGTTTTGCTTGGCCTACATAATCTCTTGTGCCAAAGTACTTCTGCCGGTAGAAGGCAAGAATAAAGTGGAGTAGTTAGTACTCGTACCAGGTTGGTTTTACATGTTGCCAGCTGGCTCGTTTTTTAACGCTCGTGTCTGCTATCCACTATGTAACCCACAATTTCGAGTCAGTTGTTTTCCGCGCCAGCCTCCAATGATTTTTGGTTGTAAACAAAGCAAATGGTGAAAAACAAATCATTCCGCCAGTCTCAACCAAGAGCATCAAGATATGAACGGATCCGATGGACGGCGCCCATCTGCGCTACGGTCGAAAAGTCCTGGAAATGGATCAACGGTTAGCTTTTCTGTGAACGAAGAAAAGAAAGTTGATATAAATTCACAGCCAAAGCAGCCGGGGAAGAAAGAAAAGAAAAAAGGACTCTTGAAGAGATTATTCAGTGACAAGCGGAAACAATCCGCGGACGTACAAGAAGCAGCTGATGAAAATGATTTTGGAGAAGCTGAAGACCCTGTGATGACTGTATTTGCAGAACGGAATACGCAAAGAGTCCGGTTTTCAATTGCAGAGGAACCAGAGGAGGAGCAAACGCCGAAGGACAAGGCGTCGGGAAACAATGTTAAACAGTTCATGTCTCGGGCTCTGTTCAGTGGTAACAAATCATCTAAAAAGTTTAAGGAAGAAATGGAGCGTGAAGTAGCGCAACTCGGTGGCTCGTTAGTTTGGGATAGTCCAGAAGGTTCGACTGGACCTGAAGTATCACTGATCAACAAGGGAGGGAAGATCAGCTCTAATAACGTTGTGACATTTACAGATGATCCTAAGATAAGGGCTCGGCATGCGAAACTACTGAGTAAGGCTCACAAGGCGCAACATACATACTTTCGATACGAGTTTGCGGTCAAGTGCTATCTCAAAGCGTTAAACCTGTTGAAGAGTGCAAATTACCCGGAGACGCACGCCTTAGCGACGAAAACAGTCGAGCTACTGAACAATTCGCATCAAATTTTGAGTTCATACAATAGTTCCGTGCGCATTGTAAAGATTGGCATCAAGCACGAAGACAAGGGAGAACTTGTGAAGGCTCTCAAGATGTACACAATTGCATATCGAATTCGACGGGATAATCTCAGCCGCAACCATCCTAGCCATGTTGTTCTGCTGAATATGTTGGGGAGCATTCAAGTGAAACGTGGTGACTTAAAGGAAGCAATGTTGATCTACGAGCTTGCATTGAAGGATGGGACAGTGACTCCGAATGAAAATGAGATTGACGCATATGGAAAACCTCCGATTGGCAATTTACTCGCGAAAAGTGTGACATTTAGAGAAATAGGAATTATAAAGGAGCGTTGGGGGCATCTGGATGAAGCGAGGGATTACTATCATCAAAGTCTGGAATGCGTCCAAGAATGGAAAGAGGCATACAATGACGATGATGAATCTTTCACAGATGACGTTGAATCCAACGATTCCCTTGATTACTCTTTGTCCAATGTCCGGCTTGAAAAATCCACTGATGAACCTGGACAATTCGAGGAGGAGAAGGGAGAGATGGAACTTTGTCTTGTCCCTATGACGATGTCGGCAGGCAACAGATCGCCAGCACCTACAAATAGGTACGAAGAGATCTTTCCAAGTCGGTTGGAAAAGGAATTTGAACGGAAGAGCAAGCCATCGAAAGATAGCCCAAACAAAACTGAGACTGACAGAAAAGACATCAACAGCAACTTGAGCAAGGACGCTTTTGCTGATATGGATCTTGCCTTGACGCTCCATCATATTGCGCAACTCTATAGGAAACAAGGGAACTTTCCTGAAGCACTCCAAGCGTTTGAAGTCGCCCTTCGAGGGATGAAATACTCGCTAGGAAGGTACCACCCAAATGTAGCAGCTGTGCTTGGGAATGTTGGCAACCTTCAGAAAGAAATGGGCGACCTGGATGCGGCCTACAAAACCTACCAGGAAGTCCTTGCCATAGAGTCCTATCGGCTTGGCCTCAGTCATCCCGATGTTGCGATTACGGTACGTTAATCTTGTGGTGCTTGCGATCCGTTGATTAATGACCGGTTATCTTACAATCCTTACAATAGCTTCACAATGTCGCAACAATTGACGCTGCTCGTGGGAAATATAGGCAATCATTAGATTTGTACTCCAAGGTACTTGGGTTGCAAAGAAAACTGTTTGGAACTGAACACCTGTCGGTTGCAATCACAAGTGCATGCATGGGGGATGTATACGAAAAGCTTGGCGAAAGCGCAACTGCGATTCAGTATTTTGAAGATGCTTTGAAGATAAAGTCGGCAAAGCAAGGTCGCCATTCGTTGGACGTCGCGAGAATACTCCACAAACTTGGGAAGCTTGCAATTCAGGGTCAAGACTACTATACAGCTGGATCACATATTTCTAGAGCTGTGCTCATTTATCGACTGAACAAAGTCCATGATGATCACGAATGGACGGTAGATGCCAATCGCGACGCTGCAGATATTGATGCTGCGATCGCACTGAAACCGGATGAAAATCGACCAGATGACTTGTGATCTTCTTGCTGAAAAGATCAGTAGGATGATTCAATTGCATAGTACAACAGTGGTCACTTCAGCTAGCACGGCTCATTCTATATCTAAATACTGTACGATATTAAACAGCTTTCAAGT